CTAATGTAATTATTTGTCCTCCATACCAGCAGCTAACCTGATGAGCATAATGTTATAATTTCTGATAGGAATGGTGGCCAACACATACAATAAAAATAAATAATAATAAACCACAATTACCCCATAAGATAATGACATTTTAAATGATTATTTTTCTTATTGTCAACAAATCCCCAAAAAAGACCGTACAAGTATTGTTTGTATCAAAGCTTGATATCTTTTTTTCTCCAGCACTGTATATTTCCAGACATTTCTTGCCTTTGAGCAATACTTTCACAATCACACACACTGATGAACTGATAACAAGTGCCTGCTGTGCCCTTGAACTGGTAGCCTACAGGGATTGACAGCTAAGCATGCCCCACAATGCCTCTGGGTACACAGAGGAAATTCTCCCTCTAGGATATCCCTTGTGCTAATCCACATATTAGACCACAAGTCCCGGCTCAGCTCGCTGACTGCAGAAGGCATTATTAAGATTCTAATCGCATGCATTGTGCGATTATGCAGCAATGCGCCGCCCCACGCTGACAACAATGACACGTCACACTCTTAACAGCACCGCCTGGACTGTACTCAGTATTATCCAGTTTGTGTTGGACACACTAGAAAATATATAATTTGTCAAAAAGTTGTCCAGTCGTTGGATTTATGGTAAATGGTAAATGGACCTGTACTTATAGCGCCTTTTTAGTTTACCGACCACTCGAAGCGCTTTTACACTACGTGCCACATTCACCTTTTCACACACAGCTGTTCAGTACAGCAAAACTCAAAGGCAGGGCAAAAAGCCTGCCTTCATAGTGAGGGATCAGATGTAATATTGGTTCAAATTGGGACCTTTCCTCAAAGACATACATGGTGTTACCTTCATTGTACAAACATTAGAAGTTATGGAAGTCGCTGTGTGAAGAATGAAAACAAACACACACCTGGCCCCCCGCTGTGTGGTGTGAGGGGGTGTTGAAGCATACTGACTCCTTTGCTCCTTTTTGTCAGTGAGTCAGAAGTCTAATTTAGGAATACTTAAACTGCCAAGTACAATAAAAAAGTGACATTGGCAAGTAAATTCTGTTCAGAACTACCCTTAATCCACATTTCAACAACAGTGCCTATATTCTTTTAATACCTTCTGTACCCTGAGAAAGCCCTTTTCAAGTCTCTTTCCAGCTTGTATGGTTTAAGGCAGCATATTAACCTGTATTAGGGGAGAATTGGAGGGCACATCTTACATAGATTAGGCTTTATGCACAACCATAGCCTCATTCATAGAAATGAGAGGTAATGTTTCCTCATCCTTAAAACAGACTCAACATATTGCTCCTGAGTGCCTGTCAATGATAATTTCCTCTGTCCCAATGGTGCTGGCTACACCACATGATCTCTGTGTTTGAAGCTATGCATTTAATAGTTTCCAACTTATCCACGAAGAAGCCTGAAAGTGGGTCTTTGTAAAGGCTTTTTGTTGCTTAACTACTCAAAGCAAGGATTCTTTCCATACCACATGGAGAAGAAAATGAGCGTGGCAATGATATTTCTTTGCACGGCTCTATTCTCGTGTTTAATCTCAAAGATTTTCATTGTCTCGCAAGTTTTGTGACCTGCTTTTATTTATTACAGTTTTTAGAAACAAGGATCTGACAGCAACAATAAGTGACCTTCCAGTTTTAACATAGAGAGAACATCCACATACATAAACCATCCAACATATTATTCATTAATCACTGTCATTCCTGTTCATGCTGATGATTTACTGCCTGATCTTCACACAGGAGAGCTTTACCAGATGTGTGGAAGACATTAGCTTGTAGAAGTTCTAGAGGACTGACTAAGAACCACTGCTAGCAGGATGCTGAATAAGGAATCAGTGATGCATATCAATTACTAATAGACCGTAGTCCTCTAACATCTTGGATGAGACTTGTATGTTACCATTTTGGCATTCCAATTGAGTAGAGTGACCATCTAGTAAAATTCCTGGTTTGATCCTCGGCTCCCCCGGTCCAGTCGAGGAGGCCTTGGGCAAGATACTGAACCCCAACTTGTTCCCAAACTGCTGTGTGAATGGGAGAGGAAGCGCTGTATCGCTCCTGATGAGCAGTTGACACCTTGAATGCCATCAGTGCGTGAATGGGTTGAAGTGTTATAAAGTGCTTTGAGTGGTCAATAGACCAGAAAGTGCTGTGTACAGTGCCGGCCCGTGGCATAGGCAGTATAGGCAAATGGTTGAGTTTTCTGACGTGACCCCAGAAACCATTAACAATGTCAAAATGACCAAAACTTCCCAGTGCCCAGGGAAAGAAAAAAAGAAAAGAACAGGAGAAAAAACACGACAAAGACAGAGGTAGAGTGAAGATAATGTGATGAAATGATTTATCTGTCGCTGAACGATAGTAACCTTTAGCCTAACACGGTTTGCTAAACGATAAATAGCGTTAGCTCGTTTTAACGTCAGTTCATGTTATAGAGGGGCCAATAATATATATAATACTCCCACCTTCTATTTCTCAGGGACATTTGTAAAGATTACATCTGTTCAGCAGCTGTTAACATTTGTCTATTTGTATTTATTATTGTTAGGTAACGTTTGCTCTGCTTGTAACAGTCACACACCTTTATATATTAGAGTTGGAAGCCTTGTTGTTGTTGTGTTACAGTTCAGTATTGTCTAAAGTGTGTTTATAGTGTTAAACTTTACATCCATGTTAAAGTGCACATCATTCATGTTAATACATTTCCATATGTTATATTATACTGCATTATTTGCATTCTGCTAATCAGCATTTCACTGTAATGACAATAAAATTAAATCTAATCTAATCTGCATATCAGAAAAATGGCACTGTATATCATTCATGTACAGTACAGTGAAAGTAATGTATCTCTTAGGTTGTTCATCTTTATTATTTAATTTTATTCTTGGAATCATTTCTTTTAGTATTAGACTGTAACACCCAACGGTGTCTCTTACTCCTCTTCTCTCTTCAGATGCGCTGTTGAAATATCTAAATCCAACTCCTGCAAATCCTGGGCCGTCTAATGTCATTGCCACTTCAACAGCATCAAGTGATCCTCCTGTCGCCTCCACCTCAGAGGAACCCAGTGATGCAGCATCAGGAATAAAGGCTGCACCAACAGACCCTGCTGAGTGGCCATCTCCTCTAACTGATGACGTACGAACAGGGTTAGTTCACAGAGGTCCATTTGTGTGGGCTATTTATATTACATTTCTTGTATTATTTATTTCTAATTTATTATTTTCTTGTTAACGGTTTTGATTGAGCAACTTGTTTCTCTACAAATAAAAGAAAATGTCAAAGACAAAGCTATTCAGTTTCTTGCGTGAGTATATATATGTATATAACTGGCAGTGGAATTTACTGCGATGCAAGGGGGGCACCACCTAATCTTGCCTAGGGCGCCAAATTGGTTAGGGCTGGGCCTGGCTGTGTAAGTCCATTTATCATTAACTGTGTCTATACAAAATACATTTGTAGAACAATACGGTGAAGGGAGGGAGTTGCAATCTGTAATTAAACGACTAGAAAGGAGCAGATCTAGAGGGGTGACATGGGGTGAGCTGTGCAAATTTAACACAATAGTCTAAAAAAGCTATTATAAGTGTTACACACTTTCTAAATGATAATGAAATGTGCTTCCTTTCTTATCTTTACTACAATAGGATACACTGGGCATCCTTTACGAAAAGGAGACCACAGCAGGCTAATGTAAATGTAGAAACAACACAGCACCCATATTATACTTGAAATCCAAATCCATGTATAGATTTCTACTTTTTCAAACCTATCCAGTTAGGAGTCTTAAGAACAAGCATATTAGTATCAGTATCAATATATTACAACAGTATTATCATCATAACAAAATGCAGTATACATTAATGCTGTTTTGCTAAATCCCCACAATGTGGAATGCACTAAAAAGTTAAGGTAAAGTCAGGAAACGTTATACACTTTTAACTAAATATAATTCACTCTGGTACCTTGTGGAAATGCAATCAGCATTCTCCTTAACATCTGTTCTTGAGCTCATGACATTTTCCACCAAGTTAAAGTGTTTGGTTTGTGCATTCTGGGCTACTGTAGAAACATGGCGGTTCAACATAGCAGACTTCATAGAAGAGGACCCACTCCCTTTGCAGATAAAAACGGCTCATTCAAATGGTAAATGGATTGTACTTATATAGCGCCTTTCTAGTCTTTTGACCACTCAATGCGCTGTACACTACATGCCACACTCACCCCATTCACACACATTCATACACTGATGGCAGTGGCTGCCATGCAAGGTGCAAACTATGAATATTATATTCCATTTCTGCCAATAGATCCTCCTAAATGTTACACAATGGACCATTGATTTAAGGATGAGATTATTTCTTCAATGACTGTGACTTAATTTTATTGAATCGGTAATGTTGACTGCATTGTGGCTGGGTTTGGTTGCCTTCATCTGGTAAATTAAAAAAAGCCTGGCTGAATGATCTGTGTGCAGCAAGCCTAGCTTAAGGATATTTACAGTAAAAGAGTTGTTAGGAAGGGGTCAAGTGATGTAACTGATGTAACTGATGAAAGTGATGTTTTGATCAACCACTGCATGAGGAGTTCGCCCTCTCTTCAGGATACTCATAACAAAGACAAAGATACTATTTTATTCCTGTGTTCACTGAAAGACTGAATCGGAGTCTGGCTTATAAAACAGACTTGTATATATAGTTTATACTGTTTGTTATGTTATTATCTGTGACTTGGTCTCCATCCATGGAGGGATGTGCCTCTTTTTGATTTTATTATTTTTTCCTGTGCTTTTCCTACTGTTAAAAGTCAAAGCAGTGTCTGACACAGGACTGCCATGCTGCTGCTTTGTGTGTATTGGTTTGCATTGTGTGCCCCCATGTGGTAGAACCATGTCAATGAAAGCTCCAATGTGCTGTGGTTGAGCAGCATATGTGTAACACATTACAAAGTTGGGAAACACTGCACTTCTTTGCATAGAGGGCATCTTAAAACCTTTAATAAAACAAATGAAATACAAATATGGAACAAATTTCCTGTAGTACAAAGAGTTTACTAACACACAAGTCACTATCCACACAATGTAGCAGAGAAAACAAGTAGATTGCAGTTTGATGTCATTGCTACAGATGAAAGCTCTTCATCTTAATCTCAACATGGGCTTTAGAGAGAACAGAGGAGTAGATATGTAAATAAACACCAACTGACCTGTTTCAGTTCGACAGTTCTGAAGTGTTATTTGAAATACATACATCACATTGACATATTGTTTATTCTGTTGCAGTAACAGTGAGGCAGTGTGGCATTTCCAAACACATCAATATCGCTGATACAGCATAACACTTCCCCGGCTCCAATGTGATATCATACCCCAGCTACAGTCTAGAGAAGGTTCTGTCAGATCCATTCAACGGACAGACGTATGCGTATGTATGCCTTGGTGACATTCAGCACATGGAAATGAAATGCGAAGCCCTTTTGTTATGTTCGCCAGCTATGAATAATTGTGAAGGCCCAGCCAACATCAGCCAACACATTTTACAAGGAGGAGCAAAGACAGACGTCCATACAGGGCTGCTAGGCTGCGTCTATGAGCACGAATCAGCACATAAGTAGGGTCAAACAAGCAGCTAATTTATTTCAGGCCACAGTCATACATGCAAAATGTAGTCTACATAATGTGCAACATATAACAACATATTCTAAAGAGGGAAAAAGAGGACACATGTTTCTGTAATAACATATAGGGATGGGAATTGATGACTTGATGCCATTATCAATTCTGCTGATTCTTTATCGGTTCCCTCATAGTGTTTTGCCCACCAGATTAGCTCCGGTTCCATTCAAGATTATTGGAACATTGGTGCTATATAGCCCACATTTTCACCAGTTTTGAGTAGAACCACAGTAATCGAATGCATCATCAACAGAGAGCGCTGCTATTTCTATCTATCTATCAATGCAACAACTTGCAAAATATGACACACCCACTTTCCTAAGGAAAACCTGCTATTTTTTGGTTCGAGCTGGGAACCAACTTTTAGGTTGTGAACCAATGTATTTTTGGTCGTAATACTCCCAACAGCTCAAAACTAGGTGCACAAACCAGAACGGAGCCTGTTCCCTGTTGGTGGAAAAGGCCTATTATTGATTCCTGATCAATTCTCTGTTAGTTTTTCCATTAAATTAGCTCTGGTTCTTGTACTGGTTCCGTTCAAGATTCTTGAAACCTTGGTGCTCTGTAGGGAATGAGCCTGCATTTCCACCAGTTTTGAGCACGACAACATTACAGTTCCGCAGTGCACGGTCAGAAAAACATCTTGACATCAATAAAATTAATTGACAATTAGGAACCGATTCTCAACTGGAACCAGTCCTCGATTCCCATCCCTAAATAACGAGAAAGCAAAAGTAGATGACCTTTGCTGAATGAGCCAGGAACATGAGCTGCAACCTGCTGAGATCAGACTGCAGATGCATCTTTTAACAATCAGCCAAACAAACCAAAACATGTCTTTAAACGGTCTCAACATACAGTATAACTTTTTTTCTTAAATATATACAAATCTATATATTATTTATATATATCACACACTCATATGTCGTATATATTGATCATAAAATAATACAAAAATAAAATGCTGGTCTCCAATATGAACCAGTGCTTGATTAGTATTAATTGAGAAGCTACTGAAACAGCTCATGCACAGAGAGGTTTCAGTATTTGTTGAGAGGTTTAAAAACATGCTGGATGTGTTTGGATGAAAAAGCAGCGTGTTAATGATTATTCTGACCTCATTTAATGTATGATTACATAACGTAACACTATAACATTCACTAGTTTTTGCATGAAAAGGAAAACATTCTCAGTCACTTAGATTTCATCACATCAAAGGGCCCAGTAAGGGGGCGGGGGGTGTTATGAGGGGGCAACATTAAAAAAATACAAATCAAAAAGTTTCACATTTTGGGAGGTTAAAACTCACAGGAAAGCAGATCCACAACTTAGTGGGCTCATGAAACATAAAAAAAAGGTACAGGCACTTCTTTTTCTGTAAAAAGTAGGTCAGCTCAAAGCTGTAAGGAAAAGCCAAAATAGGAAAATATTACAATAACATCAACCATTTCCTCTTTTAATATCTCCGTTCTGCTTCCATCCTGAGGCCTTCACATCTTCGTTCCAGCCTCCTGTCTGTCTAAGCACGGCCAAAGGCTACACCCATGTGGAAATATCACTTTGTGTCTTCACAAAGTGTTCAACTACACTGATGTCTTCTGCATTCAGTAACATTACAGCATCAGGGTTAAATAAGTTTCAATATCCATGTACAGCTGACAAATCCTAATCATGCAATTAAAGCTGCAAGCAGCATTGGGCGGGACCTCGCACTCCACGCAACTCAGGGCATGCTGCGGCCGCGTCATGTGCTGTCATTACACGTGCGGACCACAACATGAAAATTTCCCGTAAATCAGCTCAACATTGATCAAAATTGCCACGCAGCGCTTACTTCTTGTTGGCAGTAGGTGGCGCTCTCACTATATCTGAATATTGTCATGTAGACGTGTTCAGGGTGGGACTCCTATCAAATGTGATAAAGTTTTGTTGAGATTGGACCATGTACACTGAAGTTATGAGGACATGTACAGGGTGGGACCGTTACAGAATATGTGAAGTTTAGTGGAGATTAGACATTGTACATTTAAGTTTTGAGTACTATCTATTTCATGGCGAATCGTCGAAATTCAATGTTCAGCTGTTCAAGGTACAGTCACAAATAGCACAACTTTTAATCAGCAACATTATTTAACTGTACTGACCAATTTTGATGTTGGTCCGATAAATTGCCTGGGAGGAGTTTGTTCAAATACAAGGCAAAAAATTGCAGAAAATGGCTGCAAAATTCAAAATGGCCAAGTTTGACGGCACACCACAGACACGCCGTTAAACGTACAGTCACAAATAGCACAACTTTGAATCAGCACCATTTTTTGACTGTACTGACCAATTTTGAAGCAGATCTGATAAATTCCCTAGGAGGAGTTCGTTCAAATACAAGGCAAAAAATTCACCAAAAATGAGCACGGAATTCAAAATGGCCAACTTTGACGGCATGCCACGGACACGCCCTTCAACATACATGCACAAACAGCACAACTTTTAATCAGCACCATTTTTTGACTGTATTGACCAATTTTGAAGTAGATCCGATAAATTCCCTAGGGAATTGAGTGTGCACTTTTATCATGAACACAGATGTTGTTTGTTAAATGGCAATGTGATGTGATGAAATGAGTCATAATGTTTAAATAAGATTTAAACTAAAGATTAGAATAAAACTAAAATTAATTCAACAATTGATTTGCTTTATTGAGCTGCCCGTTTCTGTTGTCATCATCCATCATCATGCTGTAAAGTTGGCCATTTTACCATGGAGCCTTATAGAGATTGACTCACTTCTGGAGCGAGTTTCAAGAGGCCGTTAGAGGAACTGCAGTTTTTGTTACTTCCGTGTTACTTGTCATCCACAGAGGTTGCCATCTGAGTACAATCTGTAGTTAAAACCGGTTCAGATTCTGTCACCAGCCAATGAGTGAGGAGTTGTGGGTACAGGCAACATGAAGAGAAGTTAAACATGGTTCATTTGCACATTCTACCCACACTGTAATGATACAGGTAGAAAATTGGCAAATTTTGCAGTTTACATGCACTCACTAACTCACTTATTAAGTACTGCTTTGGGAAACGTGAAGAAATTGAACATTTGTGAAAACGCACTTTCTCGCTCTAAATTGTACAGTTACTGGTAGTTACAATATGATTTTAAGACAAAAGCATCTAAGAGGAGGTCTTGAACCAAATTATCCAGCAACCCATCCACACACACACAAATGTTTGCAATTTGGTCATCAGACCACCAACGCCACAAAATGTAGAAGAAATAGAAATGAATACTTTGTGAAGACACTGCAGTGGACATATTTTTGATATACCTCTCATGTAGGTAAATATGTACTATTTTGGCCATTTCAATATTTGTCCATATGCATGTTAGTAAATATTATAAATCGTTCAAATAAAACTGAATATATACTCGGTAAAATGGTCAAAGAAATTGTCAATATGCAGACAACAAATATTGAAAAAAGTTTCATATCAAGATATTTATTGGATGTATCAGAACATGTATGCAAATATATGTTTTATTTTTAATAAAATATGTCATATTTCCATTTGGGAGAATCAGCTTGACTACCATTGGTCTCCTAGACAAACAGCCCAGAAAGTAGTATCTTCCACAGATCCAACATGCAAACTAACACTGTGACAATCAGCAAAGAAATGAACAGTACACACACACGCACGCACGCACGCACGCACGCACGCACACACTACATTCACAACTGAGATACCTCACTCAGAATTCATGGAATTCAAGCAATGTCCACCACCACAAATGATTACCATTGAACACAGAACTTGAGAGTTGGAGGCATAGATGTTAGGAAACAGTAAACAAGTTTAAAAGTCCAACTGCACTACAAACTTGCACACAGTACTCTGAAGGCTACATGGGCATCACACTGTTATTGAAACTCCACATTTGTAAATGCAACATTTTAAAAAATGTCAAGCAGTACACGCAAACAGTGAGCAAAAGTACCTATACCTGCTTGATCTATCGCTGTGTTTGTAGGCTGTTTAATCTACATAGCTAAGGTGTCACTGGTCTAAGGCTCATTATTTTCAGTTTTTGATTTTAAATAAATCTGGAAATGTATTGGTGTTTACATTTTTAAACTTTAAAAATACAAAAACTAAAAAAAAATAAAAACAAATTGTGTTTGCATCACAAGCACTCTGTAGTTTCACAGATTGTTTTTTTTAAGTTGCACTTTCAATATTTTTACATTAATAATGTGCCAGATAACTATAAGCAATATGAAAGAGGTCACTCATAATGACATACCTGAGGAGAATTCTAACCCAATTCTGCAGTTCCCCTTGTCCTTTGTTTAGTTCATTTTTCGCTCTGATAAACCCCCTGTACACTTCCTGCAGCTATGGCTGTTTAATCAAATACCATTTTTTTGGATTCCAGTGCTTGGGTAGTAATATTTTGTTTTTTATTCATCTGAGAAGCTCTCAGGGTTATGGTAGTTTTGCTAGCTAAAGTCCCACCCTTTTTGCTCTGTGCTCTAATAACAGTTGAGCGAGCCTCGGTCAGGCCCTCAGTCGACTTTCTCCTTTCCTGTACTTAGATATGCTATGTGCTAGGCTAATCTATGTTGAAAAGACAACCAAGTTTTAAAAGATAATTGAAAGATAAAAGTGTCATATAGTCACATATTAAGTTCACTAAATGTTAGCTAACTAACAGTTTATGTAAACCGGATAGCTAGTTAGCTAGCATTTTGCTAACATTAGCTTTCAGATGTAACTACATAGCTAAAGATTGATGTAGGTTAGCTACCTAGTTAACTAGCATTATGTTCTGTAGAAAAAACGTTGGCTAACTTGGTTGTCTTTTCAACATGAAAAGTACAGGAAAGGAGAACGTTGACCGACGTTCTGACCGAGACTTGCTCAACTGTTATTGGAGCACAGAGTGCCAGCTGAGGAAGGCTCACATTTTTGGAGTACTGACATATAAAGATGAACGACATGACAAGCTCCCAACAGTGACACCAAAACATCTCAATCACCCCCCGATGAATGATAGGTCATAACGCCTGCTGCCTCCATGTTAGCAGATAAAAAGATCAAAGTGCGCATCAAATTTAAATTCAATTTAAAATAAATCCGTCATTTTAGGTAGTTCTTATCATGCTGATGTATGTTCAAGTTTTATTTGATGCAAAAAAAAATTTAGCATCAAATTTCCCATCATCTACTGATCGCTATGGCGCAGACTGGTTCCAAATGATGTCACCATTTTAAGATGGCAGCGACCGTATCCGGATATTTAGGCTTGTTTTTGTACACTGGGAGGGAGTGGAGACCTGACGCCCATGTTTTATATCATTTTATATGTAGATGATTTTGGGACATAACTAGCAGCTAGCAGCAATAACAGATTTTTGTCACAAGAGGACCTTATTCATACTGCAGTAAGAAACAGAAATGTTTGAATGGGAATGGAAATGAAATTGTTGTAAAACCTCTAACCTTTAAAAATCATGTCCGTGCAAAACTGAACATGATGAGCCTCATCTATGGTACAAGAAGCCATAGGCTGATCACTGGAGATTGTGACAATGTCATATTAGTTGTCTACTTATTTCACAAGCATAATATTATATCTAGGTTATGGAATGCAGTTCAAATGCTGTTTGAGGGTCTTCTGCAGGGTGGGAAATTAACACCTGTCACCAGCCAAATTCTGGCATATATGCTGTGTTCACTGCCCCAGTCACTTTGGTAGGTAATCAATGTTTTTGTCAAATAAAAACTTTTGTCTGATTTGACAAAGTTTGATTGGTAAAATAGTTATAGTGGCTTAGGAAGTCTTAATACACCACCAGCCACTGTGGCCATGGCTTTGGTCTCGCATATTGCTTCCAACAATCCTTAACAAAACCAAAAGAGCTAGAGAGACCCGAAAGAGTAATGCCAGTTACTGGTGATACAAAAGCCTGGTGATAGTAGCAACAAAAGGCTGGGTTACGCCCTCATTCTTTGCCTAAAGCCCAGTGAGGTCTACAATGGCCTTGATGAAGATGGTGTCGTCGCGTATGTAGGAGTTTTTAGAGTCCAGCTTGGAGAGTGGACAGAAGAGTGGGCAGCCGCTGGCAATGTTCATATCGCTGACGGGCCTCTGAAAGGATGAGGAGGAGATGTCGGGCCGGAAGGCATCGATTATGTGCTCCCTGTTGTTCTGGTCGAGCAGCATTAGGGTGACCTGGGCACAGATGTTAGGAGTCTAGCCTTACATCTGCTCTGATGAAAAAACTAGAGCTGACCCACTAATGCATTTCCAGTCCTGATGACACGTTAAGGTGCTAGTTATAATATGATTAAGAGAGAATTCATAAAGGATCATATAAAAGGTAGAAGTGCAACCCACTACCCACTCAATCTAAAACTAAATATAAAAATAACAATAACAATACAAAACTAACAACTTGGTGCATTATAAACACATTATTTAGTGTCCATTAAATACTGTGACATTAATTGCTTTCTTTTGGAGTTAGATGAGAAGAGAACAGTCTCATTTCATTATGTGTCCATTTGAAGCTAGAATCAGGATATGGCTAGCTTACTTAGCATGAAGACTGTTAGTGGGGAAAACCCTAACCCTTTGATGAACATAAGCTAATCTAAGACTAGTTTCAGCACGTAACTTAAACCAAAATAGTTTTAAACTGTGTGTGTGCTAAATTTATCAGGTTGCCATAGAAGCTTGTTGTGGAGTTCAGCCCCAAGTGGACAAAAAAAAAAAAAACCCCAATTTAACCTCCTAAGTCCCACCCCTTTTTGCTCTGTGCTACCATAACAGTTGAGCAAGCCTGAGTCAACCTTGTTCTTTCCTGTACTTAGATATGCTATAAAAAACAACGACATTTTGAAGATGGGTTAGAAGTTAAAAATTACATATAGCTATATCTTAAGTTAGCTAACGTGTTAAGCTAATTAACGATACAATTGCTATGCGTGTACAGATTACACAAACAAGATACAGCATCTTCAACTTGATGGTGTTTGGGTGGTTTGGTTATGAAATCCAATCCAGTCGGTCAAAAGTGGGCGTGGGTTAGCAAATACAGAGCAATGAGGGAAAAACTGATAATTTAGACTTCCACAACATTCTTTTGAGATGTAAACCTCTGACCCATGACACAACTCTGCAAGCTACTACGAGTCGTAAGCCAGTGGTCAAGGTCAGGTTAATGTGATGGCCGGGGATAGCTGATGCCCAAATCACATTTGATTGAGATACATTTATTTAAAATACACATAAAAATTACTGTTTGTTTGGCATATAATAGGAAATCAACTATTAGCACAGGGAAAACTTAAAAAAGTATATTTTATTTCCACTGTGTCCGTCACTTTAAAGGCATACTATGCTGGATATTTCACTCAAAGTTGTTGCCTTCCCCCGACTCAACTGAGGTAGAACAAGGTAGACAGTGAAGAGGGTAGGGAGCACCATTACCAACAACAAAGCAGTGAATCGGAGAAAAAAAAAACGTTTATATTCTGATTGTTTACTGGCAGTTACGTTCTAACATGTGAGTCCCGATGTCAGACCCTGCCCAAAGGTTGACGCCCAGAAATGTCCCACACACAGCAAATTAAGAAAATACAGAGACCCTGCAGCCCTCTGCAGATACAAACACCACCACACACTTCTAGTGATGATTGAGATCGATCATGTTTGTATGGGTCTATGCATTTTTTTTCTTTTAAGAAAATCCTACCTAACATGCCTTTAACACCCATATGAGATTGGTATCAATCCTCTTATCTCCCTCTCAAAAAGAAAGCAAAATAAGCATATACAGACTATACAGTATATACAACCCTGATTATAATGAATGTTACCTTCTGATTAAAAGGCCACTTGAGGAGTGCGTCGCTGTGTCCTCTCATCACCACAAAGAACAGAGACAAGTGGGTGCCACGTCCTGTCCCGTCACCATTCAGGTAGATCCGCAGGCACATCTTGTAGCCGTATTTACTGGTATAAAAGGCTGGAAAACATAATACACCAATAAAGTGTATTATTAATTTATTGCAAGAAGTGCCTCATAATTGTCTGGATTATAACTCAAGTTGTTACCAGGAGAGAACATAGCAGGGGCGCGCCCGGCCACAGCGTCCTGCCTCTTCTTGGTGAAATCTGAGATCTTCCAGACAAAGATGCCGTCGTATGTGGCTGCAGACATCTCCCTCATCTTGCCATCCATCTCCACGATGGACAGGTCCCTCAAACTCACCGTTCTTTCCAGCTGACGAACCTGAAGCCAAGCAACACATGAAGAACGGTTTACTTAACAAGCTACTGTTGAGTCTTCAGTGAGACCACAACAAGATGCTCCCTCGATAAACAGACTGCTGTAGTGTAATGTGACAAATGTGATGAGCAAACACCTAGTCAAGCTTTTAAACAATGATTCTAATGATTCTAATTCTCTTTTAATTCCTGGTGCTTTTACAATAATTCTCCTTTTGGATCATTAAGATTTCAAAATTGACCTGATGGACATTGCAGCTTGACTGCACAGGTCATGTGTCATTTTGTCACCTTGTTGTTGAGGATCTCGATCTTGTCCTGGTCCAGTCGGTGCTGGCGGTTGTAGGCCTCCATAGTGGTGCAGGAGTGCTCCATCTCTCTGTTTAGGACGCAGACAATGTTCTCGAACGTGCTCACTTTGAGCTCCAGCTCCTGGCAGCGCCGGTTCAGCTCGGCCACTTTGGTCTTTTCACTCTGGAGCTGCAGCTCCAGGGCAGCGCCCATGGCGCTGGGCAGTGGGGTGAAGGAGGTGGCGATGGTTGGGGCACACGCACCCTGCACGGGAGCAGCACCACCCCCACCCACCTGGCTCATCTTCAGCTCCAAATCCCTGAGGGACTGGTGGAGCTCCTGCAGCTTGTGGCTGGCTACTTCCAGGCTCTGGGGCTGCAGGCTCTCCAAGCTCACCTTGATGCCCATGATGAAATGCAGGAGCAGGTTGAGGTGCTCATACGAACACTGCCGCTCATGTTCATGGATCTTTTCTTTCTCCACCTTGGTGTCAAAGAAAGATACCAGCAGAAACACATGAGGGACATAAACAAAGGACTATTGTCCATTACATACTACGACAGATATACTATAACAGAAATGCCATTTTAATGATGTATGAGAAATTGTGCCACAAAAGAAGAAAACAATGTGCAGCAAAGAAATAATGGAACTAATAATGGATGTATACACTGTACAAAGTATTCATCCCCGCAGATTTTCATGTTTTGTTTAACCACACTAACACTGAACAGTCCAAAATGCTTTGAAGTGAAAGTGATCTCACAAATTGAGTAAAAATACAAAACATACGCAAGGGAGGCTTTGGCTTGGGAGGTAGAGTGGATCTAAACGGAAGACCGGCAGTTCATTACCCAATGTTGAAGTGTCCTTGGGCAAGATACTGAACCCCAAATGGCTGCTGAAGGCTGGGTCATCGGTGTGTGTGTGTGTGTGTGTGTAAATGTGCATTAGTTATTTTCTGGTGGAGTTGGCACCTTGCATAGCAGCTTCATTGTATGAATGGTGAATAAGACATGTAGTGTAAAGGGCTTTGAGTGATCAGAAGACTAGAAAGACATCATATAAATGCCCTCCATTTACCATTCAGTTTACTATGACGTATTTTTGGAAGTTGAATGATGCTACGTGTAATGAAGGTGTGCAATTGATCACAGGTTAGGATCGCTACAGTCCAATAGGTGATCTGTTTCCTGTCAAAAACTACAGGATGATGACAAAATTAATTCCAAAACTAATTCAAAATAACAATAATCAAAAGGAGAAGGATGCAAGAAAATGTACACCTGCTTTTGATTTAGTTTTAGTCTTTTAAAGAAAATGAAATGTATTGTATGTATTACTCAAATTAGATTTTTTAGTCTCGGTTCATTTCAGACTAATTTCTAGTTTTTAGTCTTACAAATGACTGATGAAAATGAGTGCATTGAATGAGAGGGTAGGATTTAGTTTCATCTATCAATGTACTCACAGATTGCAACTCACTCGTTTCACACTCCCTTTCCAAACGCAAAGGAGAAACTACGGCGGCCACGAGTGTGGTTTGTGTATTGATGCTATTTTGTGTGGATTCACTGAGAGCAACGTAAAACCGGAGTCAGATTCCTTGTATGTGTGCACATACCCAGCCTATAAAGCTATGGCTAAAAATGGCTCATTGTAAGGTAACAAAAACACAACAATCCTTATTTTCAGGTAATTATACACTAATGAAAACCTACTTAAAATTATATTCCATTTCGACAATAGATGCTTCGAAATATTACATAATGGGAGCTTTAAAACATTAATTTCCAGTGGTTTTCGGTTATATTCACTCTCACTTGTGTACTAAAAAGTGTCTTGTTATATTTAGCTTGAGTGGTCAGACAACAATAACGCAGTAATATTTTCTTTGCTCGTTCTTTTTTTTTTTTGTATTACTTTATTAATCCCACAACGGGGAAATTTGATAGGAATATAAAAGACAGCCTTTAATTTGTGTCTTTAAATCAGTAGTTTTCTCCCTCCAAGAACTGGTTACGTAATGCAAGGTGGCGATTATCTTGCAAAAGCTAAATCAACTGCTGAAGAAGAAAAAGCTTTGGGCAGCCGAGGTTATTGTTTTACTAATCAGGAGCTTCAGTGTGCGATTCCACAGGTACATGCAGGCTGTTGAATACCACATTAAAACAGCAATCACTTCATTTGTCCATTCAGCACAGCAACATTCATCATCATTTACACATTTTGTGAAACAAATGATCCTCAGCATGTATATTTCGTCATAGTTTTCGTTGAGCAAGTGCCTCTGCCATGTGAGCTAAACGTGGCATCATCAAATCATCATACACATCCCCAGCGTGAAGCATGGTGCTGGCAGCATCCTGCTGTGTGGATGTTTCGCTGCAGAAGGTCCTGGAGGAAAGGTAAAATAATCCCAGAGGACGACCTGCTGCAATTTCAGCATTACACCAACGCCAAACATAGAGCCAAAGCTACATGGGAACTAAACTGAACTAATTCATTGTTCCCACGTGGTCTCCATACAATTTGACAGAGCAAGAATGATCAATCTTGATGGAAAAAAAAAGAAGAAAAGAAAACTTAACTCAAGGTCTGTTTACTTTTTTAAGGGATTTTAACCACATATCATAGTCTTCTTCAGCCAATGGAGTTTTCTAAATTACATAATTTAATCTCAATTCAACCAAATTTGAGCAGTTTCGTAAAGGAGAATAGAAGACCAGCTGCAGTATAAAGCTGGAAGTTGATCCAGGTCTCTCCACATAGATTTTAGAGAGCAACTACACTGATTGTACACAAAGTGTGCTAAGGCAAAAACGTTGTATAAAGCCCTTAGTATATCCAAAGTGAGCTGTGTTAAGTCTGATAAATGTTCCTCAAGTGATGTCACGTGAGTTGGTGTTAATTGGAGAACACAAAAAATGTTGGTGTGGAAGAGGTTACCAGACCTCTGTAGCTGGCTCCTCATCTCTGCTGCAGGGTAGAGGCTCCAGGCTAAATGAGCCCCTGCTACTGTAACACCCAGGAAAAAACAGATTCACAATTATAGAAGAATCGCAATTCTTATCTTCTACGATTATGAACTGAAACATGGTTTCAAGTATAGTTTAAATTTTCTCCTCGCTGTTGGAAATCTTGACTTTTCTTGCGCCTTTTCTGCCTGAATCTCTGCCCGAATCTCTGCCCGAACTGTCGGTGGTTGAAATGCATTGTGGGTAATGAAGGTGCCAGGGTTAGGGTTAGGCCAGATTTGGCCAGGTCTGCTGCATCAATTTTTTTTTTTTTTTACTCTTTCAAGACCGTTACTGCAACCAAAGGTGGTTCTACTTAACACTGCATTCAAATGTATGCTTTCTAAGCCTCCATAAATTGAACTAAATTGCTTTCATTCTGTTAATCAGTGTCAGTTGATCGTTACATTTCATGTTATTATAAAATAGTAACACATGAAAAAAGTTAGGTGAATACTTCATATAGGCATTGCACATTTACACACACAAACACACATGGTTCATACTCAACAACACAGGATTTATTTATAGGCATGTGGCAACAGATCCTGTAATAACTGTTGAATAATGTAATACCAAGGCAACTAATGTTCTAAATATAATAAAGACTGTAGATCTATCAACAGAATAACATTTTGTTTGTATTAGATAACACAATAGTGGGGGAAAATCATGTTATTTGTGCTTTTTAAAGTTAAAGCATCAGTTTGAAAATTTTAGTTTAGTCACTTTATAAACTACTAAGTGAGACATTTAGTTATATTTTGCCAAGTCATTACATGAGCCAGTAGTTATGACATTAGCCATTGCTACAGATATAGCAAATTATGACAAAAATGTCTACTTACAGACGTATCGCAGCCAACAACATGAAATCTGCATGGTGCTTTAAATTTACTGCAGAACTTAATATGGTCCACATACTGCAAAACAAAAAAATCAATGAAAGAAGCTAATGATCTAGAGAATACGTTACAGAATTTGATCCCTACCTAAATGGTAAATGAGGTCAATCTTACAGAATTATGAAAAATCACTGGACAATAAATATCTGGGATACCTTTTCTCTGGGGATCTTTTTCTTTGCACAACCTTCACATATCATCGGGTATTTTGGACAGATTTCATCATGAGCCTAAACAAAAGTAAGTAAAGTTAGTTCACAATAAAAGAAATATCTCATCCTATGGCAGTGGCTTTACTTGGGCTCCTTCACTTAAAACTTATATTTGTCCACATTTTGTATGTTGAATTAGCCATTAGCAGTTCCTGTTTGCAATGTTAAGTATAACAGTATAGCTAACTTTAACTGGATTACCGAAGAAATGCAGCAAAGCGCCACAGGTCGGACTCGAACCCATGGCCACTGCAGCAAGGAATCAGCCTTATTACTTAGGTAGGGCCCCCCCTCTCCCGGGGGGCCCCCGGGGGGCCTTAAAAATCCCTTTTTTAATAATTATTTTTTAAAAAAAAATTGTTAAAAAATTCTTTGCTTCTTATAAATGTGAATATTTTCTGCTTTCTTAAGTCCTCTATGACAGTAAACTGAATATCTTGTTGTGGACCAAACAAGACATTTGATGATAATGAAAATCCCTAACCAGAGTTTCCAAGTCTCAAGGAGTCAGTACCTAAAGGACCAGTGTGTAGGATTTAGTGGCATCTAGCGGTCAAGGTTCAGATAGCAACTTACTGAACACTACTGAACACTGCTGACATCTGTATTTGTCGACATAGGAATGTGAAGTGTGTAGGTAAAATTGGTGACCATGAAACACTTGAAAAATGAGAAAGGTCCTATCTAGAGCCAGTGTTTCCATTCTGGATAAGAATGGCTCATTCTAAGGTAACAAAAACAAACCCGAAACACAGGAACTTCCCTTGTTATGACCCAAGTTCTGAACTTGCATCACATTATTACAACTGCGACAGTTGCAGTTTCTAAGGATGGCGGTGAGATATCCTTAGAAACTGCAACTGTCGCAGTTAATAATAATAAGTAATAATGTGATGCAAGTACAGAACTTGGATGAACACTACGGGAGAGATAATAAGTGAACCTCAAGTTTAGAATAATTAATCACAGACATTGACCATAACGTTTGTATCTGTACAGCTAAACTAAATAAGCCTGCAAGTATCTTACAATATTACAATACAATGTATCCCTGAAACAACTCCCTAAATAAAGTCATATACAGGCTCAATACTATATATAACACAGAGCGGCCTGACCTTGATGTTCTTTAACAGGAAGGGTTCTTTGCAGTATTTGCAGTGGAGAGTCCTCTCTGGACACTCTCTCTCGTTGTGGCGCTCCTGTTCGTTGGCTCTCATCAGCTCTTTGCAGGAAGGACACAGGATGATCATGAAGTCACAGTTGCCCTCGTGGCTGGCCTGCGGGTGACCAACACAGACACTTTTCAACATGTCTTTTTATGTTCAATTACTGTTTGCGGAACATGGATGTACATACACATAGGGATGTAGACTTGAGTTAAGACATACAAGTACAGGCCCATTAAGGTCATGCTGGTTTGTTACATGAAGTTAGTTCATAATATAATTCAAGTTCTGCATCAAAGCTGCCAGCTACTTTTTTAGAATTTTATTAAAGTCAACACATCAACAAACAGCAACGACCATGAAAAGGTTTAAATGGGATGTATATAAAAGTAACCCCTGTGAGAAAAAAGCTCAGAATTCAGACTGCTCTGAATGCAACCTTTTTTTCTACTTTCATTTCTTTATATGGTCATCTGCTCCAGGCACAGTAAGCACACACTCATCCACCTGTGCAGTCAGTTATTCGACTGCTCTGCTCAGGACAACTCTTCAGGTTATTTGTTTGTACAGTTTGTCTCACAGAAAGTGCTTTTTTGGCTGTGAACTGTGACTATATATTGCTGGTTTTCCCTCCGATGTCCGCCGGCTGCTCTGCCTCAACTCTCTGTGGTTAACGTCATTTACTGGACAGACAGCTTCACTCTTTTGCGAAAAGCAGCTAACTGCTAAGCATAGCTGCCATTAGTTCAGTTGTATTTTACAATTATCTGTTAGGTAAAATGGCTGGAGTCTGTTTTTGGAGTCTGGTGGGCCATAGCCAGATTGTTTTGGTCTGAGCTACTGGGGCTCTAGCTCGGCTTCTCGTGGCAATGGATTTCGTATATATATCCTTTGAAATGTCAACTATACTATTTATTTGACCGCACAAAGAATTGTTTGGAGTGCACAAATGTAGTCATTTTATCCTGAAGGTCCAGCTTTATTTAAGTCCTGGTTAATTTGGTAACAGCAAGTGCAAGTGTTAATTCTATAGTAAAAACTCTTCAACTCTTCAACCTTAAAATAGCTTCAAAATGATTTTTATACTACACTGAGTTGTAATGGGGTGAATGGTGCCTCTGTCATTCCCACTCTGCATCCCATCAACCAATTCTAGCTTTACAGTAGTCAGCATGCACCAACCATGTAAGTGCTTTTGGTGAACATGGATCATATTTTATGGTAAAAATGTTGATAAGTGATTTACAGCTTCCTCATGGACAGTAAAGTAACTGCTGCTATATGCAGCTGCTGTTGCCTAGTTAGCTTAGCTGTATAGCCCTGGACACCTTGGACTGTGTGCTAAGGAAACTGGGGTCAGGACAATGTCTGTGTTTACACTGGTAGCACAGGAGCTTTGTGTCATGGCAGGATGAAGTTTTTGGGCCTGGGACAGGGGGGGTGAATGCTGACAGAACGGTGCTGGCGTTGTGCTAGAACAGGAGCCGGGCAAGCGAACAATGTAGCCGGATTCAGCAGTTTTTGTGGACATAACTAATGGCAGAGGCCAAGAGGAAGACGGAGGAAGCTAAGGAGAGAAAAGCTGCAGGACAAGAGGAAATCTGGTTTTTAGTTGTTGGCGAGAGCTTTACGAGTACACTGGGTTTCCTGTGGCTGCTTCACAATAAAAGGCCACTCTGTGTTTTGCCAGATGAACACTTTTAATGTGAAGCAGAAGCAGTAGGAAATTAAATTAGGCTGATACTAATTAGATAAAATTATGATGGATTACATGCTGCATCGTTGCCTGTGAACTGAGTCATTTTGTAAATGTGGAACTTTAGAAATACCACAATGTGATCAGTGGCAGAGACATTATTCATGAAAGCATTAGGAAACAATTGTATGGGCTTTGAAAGGGCAGAAGCAAAACACACACACATTTCCCGGCCTTCTTTGCAATAGTGTGCACCTCAAATTCTTTGATCGTCCCCGCCCATGTGCATCCTTCATTGGGACAGACGGCTGCCAGGGCCTCCACTTCTCTCCGAGCTGCATTGTCAGGGAATGCCTGCAGGGAGAAGCAGAGCTTGTTGTCAGCTGCAGTCTGGTTGGTGTCTTCAGTTCCAGTCTGGAGGGTTGTGTTACAAACACTGCATCAGTTTACTGAGGAGCACGATACTTAGAGCTCACTTTTCTCTCCTGGCTCCAATTTCTCCAGCACATATGAGACTACAGTTGCTCCATCTATTGTTTACGCTGCCAAGAGTTAAAGAGCATTCACACAGTTTTATGTTGTGTTGGCTCTAGAAAACACACAATGACCATAACATCACATCGCTGACTCTTAGGCTTATTTTAAGGGTTTTTAGATCCAGAGAAATGTTGGCCCTCATCCCCTAAAACCCCAAAATACCAAACCTGGCTGAACACTACTCCCAATGACACACTCTTCATGACGTTAACAAACTAGGGATCTTAAGTGCATACTAATGCTGTACTTTATGTAACTGAGAAACTCTGAAGAAGATGTAGACTAAAACATTTACTTACACCACCTTGCTTGAGAATGGAGGTGGGTTCTTCAAACAAGTCCTCTTTGATGCAAGCGCTGCATTTCTGTGGCCCCGAACTTAAAGGGAGATAAAGTAAATATTTACATTGGTATAGATACTTTTAGAGGAGGGACCAAAGCCCTATTCGTACAGGAATAGTATTATCAGGGGACCTCGTGTGATTTAAAAAAAAAACCTTGTCTGTGTTTCATGCAGCACATTCACACTTCACATAATAAAGTCAAAGGAAAGAATGTGTCACACAGCCAGCAGTGGACAGCAAACAGAATATCAGGACTGATGTTTAATCCCAGATACATTCAGTAAATTACATTATTGTAAGATTCATACTATATCAAACAGGTTTTAGACCTGGCTGAGAAAAGCTATATTTCTCTGGACGTTTCAGTAGATTGTGTTCTAGATGCCATTCTATAGAAAAGTAAATGCACAAAAGTTACTTTGTGATGTTGGGGAGTGCTGTGTGTGAGAACCTGTTAACTAAAGCCTTGTGCCAGTGGCGTTTGCACAGTGGGGAAAAGCCTGACACTGGAGACAGCTGCAGGAACTGTACTGATCGTCCGTCTATTTATGTGCAGCACTATATTTCTTCCCCTGTCACCCCACATTAAGTTCCTCTCTGTTGTATTAAAATACCAATTGATACCTTGCAAAAAATACAAAATATGACCCCAAATCACAAAGATTGCCTATTTCACCAATCACAGGACATCTGTTTTTGGTGAAATATGGTCAGTAATCTGCAGTGCAATTTTTACTTTACAAATGACAGAAATGGCAGATTCACACAGGATAAAGATCACAGACGACCTGAAATTATTCACAATGACTATAGGTCCCCTGGTAATGCCAGTTCTGTGCTAATAGGGCTCAAGTCGGTTTTTTTTGCAAGTCGCAAGTAAGCCTCAAGTCTTTGCAGTCAAGTTCCAAGTCCTAAACTTTGCTTTTCCAGTCTTAAGTCATAATGCGCTCTTCACCAAATGGAATGCCATTTTAACTACGGAACAAACGAAAACTCTTTGGTATAATTTTTTTCAACTGCTGCTCACTAACGTAAAGTTATTTATTCATGATTCTCTCTCTCTCTGCAACTAGACTGGATGCTGTTGGATTGGCCGCAACAACACGGATCTGGGAATTAAGTGTCGACTTGCTGATACTAAGCAAAGCATATTAAGATCATAATTCCTGTATAACAACTTCCTTATTTTATTAAAGCAGTAATTTGCAAGTAATTGAGGTTAAACTTTTAGTTAATAGAGCAGTAGCTGTAGAATATGATCATGCAGTATAAGGTATTAATAAGTGTATTACGTATCCTGAACCATCCCTTAGTTATGCTGCTATAGGCCTAGACTATCGTGGGATTTCCCATGGTGCACTGAGCTCCTCTCTTCCTCTCTCTTTCTGCACTCATTCATGTCCCATTAATGCATGTTACTAACTTCACTTCTTCCCCGGAGTTCTTGTGCTTTCTCGTCTCACAGGTTCTTGTCGATCCTGGTGGAGCCTCCTGCCATGGTCCTGCTAGATTGCCATTACCAATACTGTTGTTGCTGTGCACCTGTCTGTCTGTCTGTCTGTCTCTCTCTCTGTCTGTCTCTCTCTCTCTCACCCCAACTGGTCGAGACAGACGACCACCCAACTAGAGCCGGAGGATCTGTCCTAGGTTTCTGCCTTTTAACAGGCAGTTTTTCCTTGCCCTTGTTGCCAAGGTCTTGCTCATGGTGGTACTGTTGGGTCTCTGTAATTAATGTTTTAAAGAGTTCGGTCTAGACCTGCTCTATTTGAAAAGTGTCCTGAGATAACTTCTGTTATGAATTGGAGCTATACAAATAAAATTGAATTGAATGAGTCCTTACTGCAGCTGTGGCCCTTTGCTGCATGTGATCCCTTCTCTCTCCCCCATTTCCTATTACTCTTCATAATATGCTTGCTAATAAGCAACTATTTATTGTGTATCCTAATATAAATTGTTACCAAGTAACCTGATTTATTGGCCATATGTCAGTATTATTATTAATCGAAATGAATGTGTTAAATTTAACACTAAACTGGGGTGGCGGCTGGGGTTGCCAGGGAACTCATGCCCACTAGATCCGCCCCTGGATAGGCTCTCGTCAGGTCACGGTATCTAACGTTACTTTATGGATAAAGGTCGTCTTAAACTTCCATGAAAAAATGCCTAGTTTAATGTCGGTTCGCTTATCGACATAGATACGCAATTGGTAAAATATGTTAGAAAGACTTTAACCTTCTAGTACATTCGGCATACATACCAACCTGATATTACTTTGAACCACACTGTTAAGTTTAGGTCTCCGACATTTCCACAGCTTGCTCCGGCCAACCAGAGCAGAGGTTAGCGGGACCTGACTGGGAGGACGGATACCTGGCCAACCCATCACACAAATTGAGATTTGATTGGGATTAAGTGGTGATTGGTGAATTATCTGTACGCCGATGTATTCAGAGGGTCTTACCTATATATATATCGTAACTTGTCTTTGTGGGTCGTACGCCGTATTACCGGTGACAATAAGCCGGGCAGTGTTACATTGGCAGTTATTTGAAGGAGGTTTGGTGAGGAGCACTGATTGCTCACACAGGCTACGCGTCTAGCTAGCTCGCTAGCAACCATGACACTACTCACCTCACAATTTTGTTGAAACAGAACGAACAGAAGCGGTGACCACACTGAGCCTGTAAAGGCCTTCTGAGGATTTTATGGCACGAATTGCACAAGTGCTTGTCTTCGAGGTTGTTGGCCAGAATTTTCTTTGGGAAGCCCGGTTTGTTGCCTTCCAGGGAAGATGGTGGAGACGGCTCCTGTGCAGCCATTATTCCCCTTGAACAATATCGGGGTACTAAGCGGGGTGTGTTCAAGACAGCAAACACAGCTGAGTGTAATTTTGGAAACGACTCATTGCTCTTTGACAAGTTTTTTAAAAATGTGTATTCCTGCTTATGTTCAGAACGGATAACGATGCTTGGTCCTCATGGGCACAAACAAATAAGAGCATGCGTTTTTATGTGATAAAAGTGACAGCTGAGGATGCTACGCTACAGTTGTAAGTTACTATGTCTACCGCTAGGCGCCGTACGCCCGGGAGAGGAGCATCGAGGCGAGTACCACCACCAGGAAGCGACTGCGTGGATTGGACGCTGACAGTTGCGGCATGTTAGCGCCACTTATCCGGCACAATCTCGGAAATGTTGTCAGTGTGTCTTCAAAATAAAAGCAAGATGTTTTTGATGAGTAAGATTAGTTAAATGCATTGACAGGATCTTTGTGACTTGATGCTACACATTGTTATTGGCCAATAATCAGTAAACGGGCCGTCCCTTCACCTGGTAGTAAATGTTAGCAAATGAGAAATGTCATGTTTTGTTTTCCCTCAGTATGGATATTGGAATAAATGGTATGGATTTATAGGTATGTCGAGATTGATGAACAATATTTTGAGTTAGTATCTCAAAATAATGACTACACAAAGGCATTATTTTAATAATGATCATAAATCATTTTGAGATGCAAAGTCAAAATATTTTTTATTATAGTAATATAGTTTCTCATGCTTTAAACAATCTTTTTTCCCCCACATCACATTGGCAGAAATGTGCTTCCATATATTGGTGTTAGTGTATATGTGAAATATGAACTGTTTTCTTCTGGTGAAAAATTACGAAAGATCTATTTTCATTCTAGTTTATGAATTCGCTATATCAGCTGCAATTATCTGTAACCTGTGACTTTTTTCCCTTTTAAAATCTGTCTTGGGCTCTAATATGGATATGTGTAAGGAGCCCCTCAGTGATCAGCAGACTAAATAGAATGTGCAACGGTTACCCTGAATGAAAATCTGCAGAACTTGGCATAATGTTTTTTTGTTTGTAATAGGATATAATGATTTAAGAAAAGCAAAGCAAAAATAAGCAAACACAATACATTTAAGCAACATAAAATTATCTGCAGCCGACTGAAATAGATATCACATTTGTTAAATTTCAGTAGATCTTTTGAATCTGAGATTTTATTTTTGGAAAAAAATTTGTTGGAAAAGTCAACCAGCATTAAATGTAGTTTGTATTCATAATGAATGGACTGTACTTTTGTAGTGCTTTCTAGTCTTTGGACCACTACCTTTCACACAGTGATGGCAAAACAGAAACTAAATATTCACACAGCATCAGGAGCAATATGGGGTTCAGTGCTCAAGGATACTTTGACATACAGTGAGGAGGAGCCAGGGATTGAACCAACAACATTCCGATTAGTGGATGACCCGCTTTACATCTGAGCCACTCAAAAATATCCATGTATCCCAGAGCAAATTGTCCTACAAAATTCACCAGCGTAACTGAAGCAACTGAAATTATCTGCATGACTGGACACCACAGGGGCAGAGAGAGAAAATATGTGTTTTTGTAATTTTAGTGAACTGACCCTTTAATATATATCGATCAGCCATAACATTATGACAACCTGGGTACCCTGCCAAATAAATCCTACCCACTGATAGGTGCCACAATACTGAGATAATCAGTGTTCTTCACTTTACTTTTTAGTGCTCATAATGTTATGGCTGATCAGTGTATACACTGTATGACCAGAACTCAGTGGACACCTGGCCTTCACACCTATATAAGCTTACTGTTGACATTACTTCCAGAGGCACTTTGGAACTTTAGTGAGCTTCAGCACTTGAGGCCACCTCCTCGATCCTCGGCTCCTCCCGCTGCATATGTAAGTGTCCTTGAGCAAGACACTGAACCCCATCCCGATTCTGTGCCATCAATGTGTGAATGTGTATTAATGGGTGAATTTGAGTGGTCGTAAGACTAGAAAGGTGCTATATAAGTGCAGTCCATTTACCACTACAATAATAGCACTTATGTGGCAGAGATGGCATTCACTAAATAATAATAATAATAATAATAATTTTGATAGACAAAGCTAAATACACAAAATAATAATATAAGAATAATAATAATAAGAGAAGAAGTCATAAAAATAAAATAGATAGAAGATAAAAAGACAACATCACATAAAGGCAAGTCTATAAAAAGTCACTGATTGTTCAAACCTTACCTCCTTAGGCAGGCATTAAAGTCACTGAGCTCTTTACACCTGATTCTTGGCTTTGTGACTTTATGCACCTTTTTGAGCAATGGATGTGGCTGAAATGCCTGAACTCAATAGGAGTGTCCACTGACTTTTGGCCACATAGTGTATATGTAGTAGGAAAATTGTGGAGCTGACAAATAATAATTTAAAGTATAATTTCAAGTAGTACATGATGGAAATTTGCCCTTAGGCAATATTATTAGGAATTACTCTATTAACTTTCACTGTTATGCAGATGATACCCAGTTATACCTTTCGATCAAGCCTGATGAAATTAATCAATTATCTAAGTTACAAACGTGTCTTAAGGACTTAAAATCCTGGATGAGCTGCAATTTTCTGATGCTAAACTCAGAAAAAAACGAAATTATTGTACCAGGCCCCAAAAACCTCAGAGACTCACTGTCTAAAGATGTAGTTACTCTAGATAGTATTACTTTGGCCTCCAGCACCACTGTCAGGAATCTTTGATCAGGACATGTCCTTTAATTAAAGCAAGCAAACCTCTAGGACTGCCTTTTTTCACTTACGTAGTATTACAAAAATTAGACACATCCTGTCACAGACGGAAGCAGAAAAACAAATCCATGCATTTGTTACTTCTAGGCTGGATTACGGCAACTTTTAATTATCAGGCTGCCCCAATAAATCCATTAAGACGCTCCAATTAATTCAGAACTCTGCAGCACGAGTACTGACAGGAACTAGGAAAAGAGATCACATCTCTCCTGTACTAGCTTCTCTGCACTGGCTCCCTGTAAAATTCAGAATAGAATTTAAAATCCTCCTCCTCACCTATAAAGCTCTTCATGGTCAGGCCCCTTCATATCTTAAAGCGCTCATAGCACCCTATTACCCCACTAGAACACTACGTTCTCTGAATGCTGGGCTGTGGTTCCTATAGTCTCTCAAAGTAGAACAGGAGCCAGAGCCTTCAGTTACCAAGCTCCTCTCCTGTGGAACCAGCTTCCAGTTGTGGTTCGGGAGGCAGACACCCTCACCACATTCAAGAGTAGGCTTAAGACGTTCCTCTTTGATAAAGCTTATACACTGAACAAAATTATAAACGCAACACTTTTGGTTTTGCCCCCATTCATCATGAGCTGAACTCAAAAACAGAAGTGTTGCGTTGATAATTTTGTTCAGTGTGGTTAGGGCTGGATCAGGTGAGTCCTGAACCATCCCTTAGTTATGCTGCTATAGGCCTAGACTATCGGGGGATTTCCCATGATGCACTGAGCTCCTCATCATCAGCACACATTCATGTCCCATTAATGCATACAACTTCACTTCTTCCCTGGAGTTCTTGTGCTTTCTCGTCTCGCAGGTTCTCATGGATCCTGGTGGAGCCTCCTGCCATTGTCCTGCTTGACTCCCATTGTTAATATCACTGATATTATTGTTATTATTACTACAGATACTATTATTACTATAATCACTGCTCATTGTCCCCCATCGTTGTTGTCGTCGTTGGCGTCGTCATCATCTTCTTCATGTTCATCATCATCAGTCACTACTATTAGTGTCGTTGTTGCTACTGTTGTTGCTGTGCACCTTTGTCTCTGTCCTTCTGTCGTTACCTCTGTTCTCTCTCTCTCTCTCTCTCTCTCTCTCTCTCTCTCTCTCTCTCTCTGTCCCTCTCTCTCTCTCTCTCTCTCTCTCTCACCCCAACTGGTCGAGGCAGACGACCACCCACCTAGAGCCGAGGGGTCTGTCCAAGGTTTCTGCCTTTTAAAAGGCAGTTTTTCCTTGCCCTTGTCGCCAAATGCTTGCTCATGGTGGTACTGTTGGGTCTCTGTAAATAATGTTATAAAGAGTTCGGTCTAGACCTGCTCTATTTGAAAAGTGTCCTGAGATAACTTCTGTTATGATTTGGTGCTATACAAATAAAACTGAATTGAACTGAATTGAAATAATATTCCTTAAAGCAATACTCAAACCACTTTGACATTAGAAGAAGATTTGCTTTACTTTAAACTGAAAAATAGTGCAATAGTGTGGCAGTAGTGTTTTTTTTTACTTACATTACACAACAGAATTTGCTGCTAGAATTCTTGTACTGTTATTTCTTAATGATTTCCTATACATATATATATACATATATAGTCTGCTTGGAACAATAATGTGTTTCTGATGTGTCCACTTTTTTTTATCCTTAAAAAGTCATCCACTCTCTATCTCTTTCTACCTCTAGTTTATATTTTTAGTTTATATAAAGTTTTCCTGCTGGACACAAGATGTCTCCTACTTCACTGTAAAGTCCATTCTCAGTGGATGTGCACTAAAATCAGATTTTCACTGAGCACAGAGAAACTTTCCACTTTCAGCAGATGGATGTGAAAACCTCACACTTGTCAAACTCTGCACATACATCATTCTACACAGTGAAGCTCAAACATCCAACAGTAGGAACAAGAAGAAACTGATTTTTGACTGGAGGGGTAACTTTAATCACAAGCTTTATTTTGAAAGGTTTAACGGAAGTCATGCGTTTTAGAGTCCCGTTTTGACGCTGGGTCGGCGTAGCTGCTTTCTTTGCAAAGGAATGCCGTGGCTATATCTCTGTCGGGATGGAGGTCTGACTGACGTTTTGATAAAAACATGTCGGGACTGCACTTTCTTATCTTATTAAATAACCGTGAGTATTTGTAGCCGATGCCACCCGGAAGAAAACCATCAGGCTAGCTGCCGTTTAATATCAATGAGCGTACAGGAGAGGGGAAAGCTAAGCTAACGTTAATATCGGCAGTATATAGTAGCTAGCTAAAACGGAGCCAGAGGATAACGTTACCTCTTAGCCAGGGTAGGTAACAAACCGGGCTGCCTCATCACTGTTTGAAGCCCGTGTAACCTTCACTTACCCTTAGAGTATATTGGCTTTAACACTTTAAAGGAAAAATGCTTCAAAAACAGTTCTCTCTTAACCGAGCTAACAGCCTAGGCTGCTAAAGCTAGCTGGATACCGTTTAGGGGAAATTCAGCCCTAAATGGAACTCACTGTGCGTTATTATTACAGCATTGCACTGTTGAGCGTTGAATTTGAGCTGATCTTTTCTTAAGCTGAACAGAGACGCACTGTACTGATAATACTGACACAACTACCATTAGGATTTTACAGGAGACATGCTCTGATACACTGCAGTAAACGCACCTTCCATGTATGACTAATATGGCTCTAATATTCCACTTAAAGATACATCAGCCAGTTCCGAATGTACTGTTACTGCAAATATCACATATAGCCCCAGTCTGTGCTAGGGCTGCACAATTAATTGAAATCGCAATATGGCCAAATGCAATATCCAAAACACAAAAAGCTGCAGTAGTTTGATGAAGGTAAAATGTGTGATATCATTATAATGAAGCACTCTAGCTCTTAAGAGATGCTCTAGCCTACAAATCTTGTTCTCCAAATGAAAGAAAATGTGTTTTTTTTGGGGTCACATCATCCTGATTTCAATTGTGATGCAGAAATTATCATTCCCATTAATCATGAATCAAATCGCCACTGCAACATTTGTCAAAATAATCGCAATATTTTTTACCATATCCTGCTGCCTTAGTTTGTACCTTTTTTATGTATTGGCATTACATTGGAGTGACAGAGCTGATAGAGAGGTGATAGGTATATTCATACTGGGGCAGTGTATTGGCAAGAATCTATTTTTAGGAAAATGGTAGTATAAAGAATATACTGCGACATGCTTCAAATATTAGTTAAAAAAATGTAAACACAAAAATCAATGGTGTTTTTGAGAATTGATACAATATCGCACTAATCATGTCAGCTCCAATACGACAAATATAACTTGTAATAAAACTTTTAGGGATGCAATGATTGTGAAAGTTTGGACAGATACCGATGTTTAAAATAACAATTTGACAGATAGCTGATGCCGATGGTTTTTTTTTGTTATTTATTCGCCCAAAGAAATCTACAGAGACAAGTCTGTGTTTTTTTATATCTTTCCACTGAAATAACCAAAATATTTTATGTATGTGTGTATTTCCTTTAAAATCACTAGATCTGGCTGCACATTTCTCTCACGTCTTGTAATGATGACATTACATTGCATGAGCTTATGTGTGTGAAAAACGTGCCTTTTTATATTATGCCTGCAGCTTTAAAGTCAATTCCCAAACATAACTTTTAAATGTCTCTGTTTTTTTTGTTTGTTTTTTTTACAGATGATGCTCAAAACAACATGGTAGTAACCTCCACCTGTAGCTGGCAAGCAAGAACATCTGGTCAGATTTAAGAGAACTGCTGCATATTTCCGAGTCAACATTTAGCACTTCGGCATTGTATTTGCTCCTAAGCATGGACCCATAACTTCCTCAGTGATCAGGGTTCACAGTTCTACTCTTCCTTCAGTTGCTGTGTGACGAACTGTCAGGAGGAGTTACAGCTGTTACTGCGTGTCGCCGTACAAGCCTGTGAAGCTTCGTCAAGATGTTTTCAGCGCTTAAGAAGCTGGTGGGATCTGAGCCAGGGCAGCTCAGGGACAAGAACATCCCAGCTGGCCTGCAGTCCATGAACCAAAGTCTGCAGAGGCGCTTCGCCAAAGGGGTCCAGTATAACAGTAAGTAATGTGGCCAATCAGACGACTAAAGAAAGCAGAAAATATTCACATTGGAAAAGCTGAAATCAGAAATTGGAATTTTTTTCTTAAGCTGTTAAAACACACCTGCCCGCCGTCAATGGGCTTAAGGTTAGGGTTATACAGATGCAGTTGGGTCAGGGGATAGGCGTAGGGTTAGGGTGGGTGTTAAGAGGTTAAGAAATGACAACGAAAGATTAAAGATCCATATAGTTGGCAGTTAATGTAATAGCTAACAACTAATCGATTAATTCGACTAATCATTGTAGCCCAAAAGACTTTATGTCCGTCCCATTTATAAATATAATATGTTGCTTCGCAGTTGTAAAGGGTTTTCTGACAGACTTTCCCTCCCAAGTGAAAATAGTCATCCGGGGAGATAGAAACACCGGGAAGAGTACTTTATGGCATCGACTGCAGGGCAAGAAGTTTGTGGAGGAGTACCTGCCCACTCAGGAGATCCAAGCAACAAGTATCCATTGGAATTACAAAAGTAAGTCATTGCAACTCTGAACATTGCAGCTTATTTGATCTTATCACCACTGCTTTGGTTATGTTTCTGTTTTGGTAAATATTTGACGTCTGCTGTTTCTGCCTCGTCAATTTGTCTCAGTGGCTCCATATCAAGGTAAAACAACAGAGACCATGTGTTCAGATTTATCCCTACCAAACTGAGTTTTAGAGTAGGCAGGGCTCCAGACTAACTTTTTGCATTGGTTGCACTGGTGCACCAGCACAAAATTTTGGTGCACCCAAATTTTTCATTGCGTCGCCTTTAACGCCATAGGGTCACCTTTTTATCGCTCTCCATAACTTTTATATAATGTGAATGATTTTTAAACAAGAATAAGGTGTAGAGAAATGCTTGTCTTTATTTTAAGCACAATTATATATAAAAAGAAAAATAAAGTGTTTAAAGTGCTTCCCTGAGCTGAAATTGAACATTTCAAACTAAAACACTAAGCAAAATAAAACATTTCCAAATAAAAGTTCTATACGAAACGTTGTTGACCCGCTCACAAATGCACTATTTCCGGCCATATTCTGACCGCACTCCTGACAGTACACGCAGTGCATTGCGTTACGTCTTTTGTTGTACCTCAGCCAGGGGAATTGTTTCAGCCAGTCCTGTCTGAAGGAATATATTTTGACCCTTTTAATTTGGGTCTCGGAGCCGGGCTCTATCCCAGACTCTGTTGTCTCCTCCTCTGGTTCCGAGTCTGATGCTGTCGCCGAAGGACCGGGTCTCTGCAATTTTTAAACACACACAAAGACCCGCCCGAGCTCTGTCTCTTTCGGTCACAGAACACAGAAAATGATGCGCTTGCGAAATAAATGTATGTTTTCACCCGGGCATGCTACCTAGAAAAATTATCAGTCGCACTCTTAAAAATTTTGGTCGCACTCTGGAGCCCTGGTAGGTGTCCTGTATTCCTGTTAGTCGTTCCATACCAAGCAAACCTTGTTCCACCACTACTACTTCCAGTGTTTTTTAGTTACTGGATTCATATTAGAGTAATTTAAAGCTCCAGTGTGTAACATTTAGTAGGATCTATTGGCAGAAATTAAATCTAATATTCATAGGTATGTTTTCATTAGTGTATATTAGCCTGAATCTAAGAATCTTTGTGTTTTTGTTACCTTTAGAATGAGACATTTTATCTACAGAGGGAGTGGGTCCTCTTATATGGAATCCGCCATGTTTCTACTGTAGCCCCAGAATAGAAAAATCATAAAAATTTGCTGCCTTCTTGCTACCTTAAATACGGTTAAAATGTCGAGCTAAATGTTCTGGCCTGTGTGACCCCATGCTGAGCACATCAGCCGTCAGCTAAATGTGGCTTTGGATATGGGGCGCATACATAATAACGTGTCATAATGAGTTGCTATTTAAAAACATTGATGATGACAACCGCTGCATTTCCTCAGGTTGATTAAAAAAAATATGTGAATATTATTTTTCTCTACTGCAACTGTTATTTAGTGTTAAATCATAGGAATTTCTTGTGTAAAGTGTTTTGTCTTTATATTAATATATTTAAGTATACTTTAAGTTGTTAGGCATTCATATATATTATGTTCAGTTTTGGGCATCTATTGCCTTCAAGGAATAGCGATAGGAAAGGGGGGAGGGAGAGAGAGGGGCTGACTTACAGCAAAGGGCCACAGGTCTACTTGAACCCATGGTAGCAAGGCAGCAAGGACTCAGCCTTGTTACAGTTCTCAACCAGGTGAGCTGCCAGGGCACCTTCAAGTTCTAATTTGCTTTAGCAATAAAAGAAGTTTTGAATGTTGTCGACCATCATTTTGTGCTTATTTTTTAAAAAAGGTTTTAGCACCAGTGTCAGGAAAAACCCGAACATTACCCAACCCTAGAGGCGAGGGGGTTGTAATCTGCAACATGACTGCTAGATGCCACTAAATCCTACACACTGGTCCTTTAACAGCCCTTTACATTAATTTTATTTCCCTTTTTGGCCCAAGAACATGAATAATGAAAATGCCCTTTCTGTGTCTCTCAGCTACTGATGATGTGGTCAAAGTAGAGGTGTGGGACGTGGTAGACAAAGGTGAGTGTTGACACACATGGCAATTAAAGAACCAGACTTTCTACTGAGGCTTACGTCACTATAAGATGTTACACCTTTCTCTCTCTACTGCAGTCAGCCTGCTACAGTACAGTCATGACATCAAATAGAGGCATAGTTGCTTATATGCTTTTTTGTCCTCAGTGTTGATGTTGTCTTTCTTTGCACCTCTCTTGCATTCATCTCAGGCCAAAAATATCCTCTTCCTGAAGGTGTAGGTGAGCGCCACTATAGTGTGTAGAAATTGAACTTGCCTGTGTGCCGTGGGTTTGCCCTGCCTTGTTCCACTCTTTATCTGAATGTCAATACGCTCAAGGTTTGGCTATCCCCTGTGTGGCTACATTTGGCTGAATTTTAGGCTGTACATAGCTAGAGCCTGAGCCTCTGAACCGTGTGAGCCATAACTTAATGCCCAGCAGTGTGTATTTAAAGGGTAATGCGTAATTAATTAAAATTAGGCTGCAAGATGCTTTTCCTTAAGAAAAGTGCCTGTGCTGCTCTGCTTGCTTTACTCATCGTAAAACAAAGACTAAACTGTGTGTTATATATTTTTTTCTTTTCAGTTTGACTAAACTTCTGATGTCTTGTTCATTCAGGCAAAGGCAAAAGGCGTGGAGACAATTTAAAACTGGAGAATGAGCCCCAAGAGGTGATTATCACATGACTGTCATGTGTTCAGGAAAAAAGCCTGACTTATGGAATGTGGGTCAGTGATGGTATTGGCTAAAGAAGTCTTATATGGTTTAAATGATCCAAAATGTAAGTATTATGTTGCCTATATTGTGTGATCATACAACATTTGTTTAATGTGAGTATGTGTGTTGCAGTCAGATGAGGTGGCCCTGGATGCCGAGTTCCTGGATGTGTACAAGAACTGTAACGGAGTCATCATGATGTTCGACATTACCAAGCAGTGGTAAGAGTCATCCGTCTGTCCTAACGCTGTCTCATCAGTGAACTCGAATGCTACAATATGCATGGACAGATTAGGTTTCAGTGTGTCTGCATGAGGCTGAGAGTTTCCACTTGTAGATTTTGTTCAGCTTGAAAGGCAAAACCCTTCAAAGATGTTTCAACATTGCTATTTTTGGGCATCATTTTTAGTTAGTTTGACTCCGGTTTTACATTGCTCACAATGTACAAACACAGACTAAGCATAAATAAAGAGGACTTGACAAAATAGTCATAAAACACCTATGTATAGTTATACATATATATTAACAATAACATTTGTAGACAGTTGACAATAGTGTAGTGGTGCAGATTGCAAAGGATAATGCAACAATAGGTATTTAAATGTTTGTTGTTGATGTGCCATGCTGGTGTACTGACCTTGTAGTAACCGTATTCATATCCCTTTCAGTATGTATTCATGCTTGTTTATGTTATTTCAGCACATACAGTAAATACATGCTGCTTTGACACTTAAAGATGGGTGTGGTTATAATTTCTTTTTCTTATTGTGAACAAATCCCATAAAAACACCAAAACCAACAGTGAATGTCTGTATTATTAGGATACTAAGTATTGTGTGTATATCAGAGCCTGATATACATTTTTCCTCTGTGCCACAGAACTCCATTGTTGTTGTCATAAACTATTAAAAACACATCAATTAGTCACACTGTTGCCCAATGAACACACACATTTTGACTCAATCTCACATACACCAAATAAATCGTTAATTCACAGATTCAGTGGCTGTACTGGTGTGACACCATGACTCCACTATATCTTTACATGTAAATAGTAATAAATGGTAGTTGATTGTTGCTATATTATTGTTCTAAATATAAAAGACATCTAAAATGTCTTCAGTAGGAATCAGTACAGGGAGAAGAGTAGGGGAGAAAGAACGCAGCCTTGGGGGGAACCGGTGCTGATGGTCTGAGAGTCAGAGACATTTTCCCCAGCTTTACGTGCTGTTTCCTGTCAGACAGGAAGTCTGTGATCCACCTGCAGGTGGAGTCAGGCACAGTGAGCTGGGAGAGCTTGTCCTGTAGCAGAGCTGGGATGATGGTGTTAAACGCAGAGCTGAAGTCCACAAACAGGATCCTGGCGTAGGTTCCTGGGGAGTCCAGATGCTGGAGGGTCAAGTGCAGGGCCATGTTAACTGCATCATCTACAGACCAGTTGGCTCTGTAGGCGAACTGCAGGGGGTCCAGGAGTGGGTCCGTTATGGCTTTCAGGTGGGAAAGCACAAGGCGCTCAAAAGACTTCATGACCGCAGAGGTGAGGGCAACTGGTCTGTAGTCATTTAGTCCTGTGGTCCTTGCTTTTTTGGGGACAGGGATGATGGTGGATGACTTGAAGTAGGCTGGCACATGACATGACTCCAATGAGGTGTTGAAGATGTCCGTGAACACCGGAGACAGCTGGTCAGCACAGTGCTTTAGGGTGGATGGAGAGACAGAATCTGATCCAGCTGCTTTGCGGGGGTTCTGCCTCTTATAGAGCTTGTTGACGTCCCTCTTGTAGGCAGAGAGTTGTCGCTGTGGTGGAGGAGGAGGGATTCACATAGGTGTAAAGTTGTGGAGTGGCCCAGGCTTCTGTTGAGCTAGGGGGGAGGGACTGGTGAGGTGGGGCTGTTGAGGGGTGTGACACGGGGGACGGTGTCAGGACTGCTCCTTTATCTGTCGAAGCGGCAGTGCCAGGCGCAAGTTGTTGAGTGGGGGGTTTTGGTCTTGTAGTTTATCTGTCTGAGCCCCTTCCAGACAGAACCAGTCGTTGGCTGAGAACTGATGTTGAAGTTTCTCAGTACTGTCGTTTAACTTCTCTCACCACCTTCCTAAACTTGTACTTATGGTGCTATCCATTTGTCTCGTAAATCCCCCGCCCGAGTTGCTCTGACACGAGAACGTGACGTTATTGCCTGGCTTGTACCACTTATAGTGTTCCCAGTGTTTCCTCTATGTTGATTTTGGAGTGGCCGCCACGGTATCAGAATTGGGGCAGACGCACGATGTAGTCACAGCTGCCTTTTAAATGATCCTGCCGACATAATGCACCCCCGTTGGCTGCTGCTCACATTGCAGTTTAACAACAAGTAGAACTATTCAGAGGTTATTGGGGCTGTCCAGTTTAACTCCACATACTGTTGTGTTGATGTAGCTTATTGTCAAAACGTTCGTATTCTTCCAAGTCGACTATTAAACTAACAGCTCCACCAAAAATGTCACCGCGGTGGGTCCGTTTTAATTGGACAACGTTCAACTTGTCAGTTCTCAGCTCAACGTCCTGATATCAAACATCTGGAAACATTAAAACGGTAAATGTATTTGTTTGTATCGCAGCGAAGTGTCAGTTCTGTTTCATACGTAAAACGTTTGCCGACAGGACAGGGGGGCGTGACGGGGGGGTTTTCTACAGAAACACTAACATTTCAAGTAATTCCGTTATTGCAAGTCTTACATTTCAATAATATTTTGGCATTTTCGCCTATTTCAATTTCAACAAGAGCTGTCACGTTTTTCTCGAGCCACTAGGGGCAGTGGCAGGCTATTGTTATTGTTAGCTACATTAGCCTATTTAACAAACCAGCTCGAAAACAAAACTTTATATTGTATTGCACGCACAGCAACACCGTGCAATGCATAAATTGGTGACCGGACTAAAGCAGCAATGTAAACAAATGTGTAAGAGCATTAAAAATCGACATTAAAACGACCAACATAGTACAAATACAAAGAAAATACATCTCAATATGGGCGCAGCCATCTTTGTTTTGCGAGTCGTATGTTCACCCTCGTTTAGCTCGGTGTACTCTGAGGAGCCCCGAGTGGGACGGCTGAAATTACGACCAAAAGGGGGTGTGTCTTGGTGAAATGTCACGAGATAGCTGCAAGATTTACGCTTTCCAACTCGGCTGGGGGATTTACGAGGCAAATGGATAGCACCATTAGACTCCTTAAACTTGTCCCTGTCTCCACTCCTAAACGCTTGCTCCTTCTGCAACCGTAACTGTCTGAGTTTGGCTGTGAACCAGGGTTTGTCGTTGTTCAACTCACCCTGGTGCGTGATGGTATACAGCAGTCCTCACAGAAGCTGATGTATGATGTCACAGCCTCTGTGTACTCATCCAGACTTTCAGTAGCAGTCCTGAAAACATCCCAGTCCGTAGAGTCCAAACATGCCTGGAGATCCTCCACAGCTTCACTGGTCCACTGCTTTAATGTCCTCACAGCAGGTTTACAGATCTTTAATTTCTGCCTGTATGAAGGGATCAGGTGGACCATGACGTGGTCAGAGAGGCCCAGTGCGGCGCGGGGGACAGCGTGATAAGCTCTGCTGACTGTAGTGTAACAGTGATCCAGTATGTTCTTCTCTCTGGTCGGGGATTTAATAAACTGTTTGTATTTAGGAAGATCGTGACTGAGGTTTCCTTTGTTAAAGTCACCAAGCACAATAACTAAGGAGTCCGTGTTAGTCCGCTCCACACACAGTATCTGGTCGGCGAGCATGCGCTGTGCATCCTGCATGTTGGCCTGCAGTGGAATGTAAACACCGACCAGAATGAATGAAACGAACTCATGGGGGGAGTAAAAAGGTTTGCAGTTTATGATCAAATATTCCAGAGTAGAAGAGCAGTGCTGTTGGCTCACTGTCACATCATTGCACCAGCTACTGTTGGTATAAAAACAGATACCTCCACCTTTCGATTTGCCGGAGAGTTCCGTGTTACGATCCGCTCTGAGGAGTTGGAAGCCTGCCAGCTGCAGCACAGAGTCCGGTACCGATCCACACAGCCACGTCTCCGTGAAGCATAAAACAGAGGATGAAGAAAAGTCCCTGTTTTTCCCCAGAAGTAGCTGAAGTTTGTCCATTTTGTTGCATAGTGAACGCACGTTGGAGAGGAATATTCCAGGTAGTGGTGTGCGATGTCCGTGCTGCACCGGCACGTTTCCCTCTCCTCCTGCGTTTCACTGCGTGAGCAAAGTTGAGCGCACCTTTGACCACAATGTCCAATAATTCCACGGAAGAAAGAGGAAAAGTGGGAAAGAGATCAGCTGGAGTTGTTCCCCTAATGTTCATGAGCTCTTCTCTAGTGAAAGAGCTCCGGGTATCATAGCCCAAAACTGAATTAACAAACAAAACAAGTAAAAACAAAGCGCACCAACACACCAAGGCAACCGTCCGTGGCGCCATCTTAGGTCTTGGGTTAGGGTTAGGGTTATAGTGCCAGCCTTATCCTATAAGAATTATAATAAAAGCCCTCATAGTTGAAGACTATGCAGATACAGATATGTATAGTTTGTGCATGTATGGAACCTTCACACCTGAAGACCCCACTAAATTTAAGTCCACCATCATGTATTTTCAGGTCACAACATGTAGCAACAGCAGCTAGACATCTTTAAACATCTGCGCAAAATGTGTAACTGGCTAAACATCTGACATTAAATCACACAATGAACTACAGCAATTTGATCAACATCGTTGTTTTCAGTGTATCTGGGTCTGAATTAAGAAATCGATTAAACATTTTAAACAGGATTCTTAATTCTACCCAATCATGAGACTCCCACGTGTCCTGGAAAACCCATAAATTTAGAGGCTAGCTTTCCATTCATGGAAAGATCTGGAAATTGATAAAAATGGACAGATATCCTGGAAATGTTTAATTGTATTGTAGCCCCTCACTCAGATCACCTACGTAAACTTGGGTTAGAGGAAAACTGTAGTAAACCGTAGTTAAATCACCTGAGACACTGCAGAAAAAATCATCTGTTGTGTGAACTTTGGGAAAGTGAGCCCATATACTCTGATCACCTACCTGTAATCACCCTAAGTCACTCATTGTGTAAAAAGTAAGGAATAAACCTGGGGAGAATGTGTCAATATTAGGTCTACCGGTAAATTATACAACCATTGTTGTCCTGTATTGTCAAGAAAACTCATGGAAATCTTTATTGGCCTAAGTTTTCTTCACTCACCCACAGATGAGTTATAATGCAAATTTGTCAATTGCAGGACTTTTAACTACATCCTGAGGGAGCTTCCGAAAGTACCCACCCATGTGCCGGTATGCGTGCTGGGGAACCACAGGGACATGGGCGAGCATCGCGTCATCCTCCCCGATGATATAAGAGACCTGATTGCTGGACTTAACAGGTAGAGATCAGCACTTAGCCAAACAGTCAAATGACAGGACTGGAAACAAAAACTCTCACTGAAAAGGAAGCTGATTTGAAGCTGGATTTTGCATTTGACAGCGGTCATGTAGCAGTATCAGTGAAGCAGTTACATATATACTTTCTCAATCACACATGATAATGTTACTACGCCCTCTTAATTTCCCTATAGATCACATCAGCAAATGGTGGTTAAAGTGAAAACCATGAGTGACTCGATTAAAGAAAATGTTTTGGAGGAACAACAAAAAGGAGAACAAAATGAGTCAGACATTAAATAGTGAAGAAGAGGAAACACATTTATCCAGCCCTAGCTCACGAAACAAAAACCGAAAAAAAGCTGACATTCTGTGTGATCCTTGATAAGGGTGTCCTCAACATACTTACTTCTGTCAACATAATAGCTTGATAATGTTGTTTTTGTCTTTGGATGTAAAATAGGTCTCAAATTAAACCCTGAACAGCCAATCTAAAACAAATCATTTGTACAACAAGACAATAATTTGTGTTTCAGATCGTATTATTCACTCCCCCAGATGAATAATTTATTTCACATAGTAGAATTAAAGGAATGTTTCCCAACATACTTATCAAGCTCTGTAAAATACCAGAAAATCCCTGCTCCCAACCTCCAGGAGCCGTGCAGCCAAAAAAAAAAAAATATTAAATTGAATTTAATTCAGATTACTATGTGTAATTTTAAAAGCTCATTGTAGTTCCCCTCAGCTCTACAGAGCTTTTTAGCCTCTTTTAGCCAATTGTTTTGGTTTTACTGCCAACAAACTCATCTCTCATCAACCTCGTTCCCAGCAGCAGCTGTTCAGGGATGAAACTTTAAAAACTCACTGTACACTACCTGCTCAGCAGCAAACAGGGGACACACACAGTTAGAGACTAGCTGGTGAACATACTGCAGCATTTAGCAGCTAAGGAAAGCCACAGGAGTTGGAGTTAGAGACCACAAACAGCTAAATGTATCATCCTTTATTAGGTGGATACAAACTCCAAATGAATGATAAGGTAGTGATAACATGTCAGATACTGTTCTGCTGCCCTTAAGTGGCCAAAAAGTAACTAATGCAGCTTTAATGTGTTCACAGTATTTACATTGGTATAATGAAGGGGATTACTAGGACATATTTGCAACATGGAAAAAAAATACTGCATACCTTAGAAATAGTCATGAAAGAACCATTAAAACGTGTGTTTTACAGGCCAATGGGATCATCTTACATCCACTATGCTGAGTCCTCAATGAAGAATGGCTTTGGCTTGAAATATCTGCACAGGTTTTTCAACATCCCCTTCCTGCAGCTACAGGTTACTTTTGATCTCTTATACACCATTAGTGCCATAATTGTTTTTATTTTTATTTAGTTGTTTTTATACTAGTTTAGTAGTAGTATTATAATCCACTTTAACTTAAGTGGAGAAGATAGGATTGCTGTATTGTTTGTCCTGTGTAACATTCTTTCTAAACATGCTTTCATACAGTGTGAATATGATGGCTTAATCTGAGGTTTGTGTGTACGTGTGTGTTTGCCTGCAGAGAGAGACACTCCTGAGGCAGCTGGAAACCAACCAGCTGGACATGGATGCAACCTTGGAGGAGCTCTGTGTCCAGCAGGAGACTGAAGATCAAAACTATGAGATGTACTGTCTGCATTCTTTGTACAGAGCCCCTAGTGGGACATAAGTAAAAGCTTTTTCTTTCACAAGTTTATGATGCACACCAGATAGTATACCATGTGCACATGATATGCACTGGCATCAGAAACTGGGAACACACTATAGCCGGCAGCTGTGTTTCCATCCAGCTCTTGAATTGGGGCGGCTGTGGCTCAGAGGCAGAGTGGGTCGTCCACTAATCGGAAGGTTGTTGGTTCGATCCCCAGCTCCTCCCACCACATGTCGAAGTATCCTTGAGCTGAGATAGATACTGAACCCCAAAAACGCATTCATACACATTCATACACCTTCCAATTAGTAGACGACCCGCTCTTTTCTGAGCCCTAGTCCCGAATCCTCCTCCCCTGGTAGACTTGTAGAACATCCGTAGTAGCCGAGTGCACACGTTGAAGGACCTCCTCAGAAAGAACAGCCTGCTCTGTCCTTTCCTGTAGAGGGCCTCAGTGTGGTCCGTCCAGTTTGTTGTTGAGTGTCACCCCCAGGAACTTGTAGGTTCTCTAAATCTCTACCCTCTCGCCCCTAATTGCAACTGGGAAGGGGGTCCTCTTGTTGTGGCGGAAGTCCACCACCAGCTCTTTGGTTTTCCCTGTGTTGAGCTGTAGGTGGTTTCTGTCGCACCATCCAATGAAGTTCTCGATCAGGTCGTTTCCCTGGTGATCCAGGGTTTGTTGTTGGGGAAACAGCAAATCCGCTTGGTGGGAATGACGCTGTCCTCACAGAACCTGATGTAGTCTGTGACACCCTCGATGTCGTCTCTGTGACAGCAAGCCATCCTTACAACTTCTTACCGCTGTGTTTCTTCCTATCTGTCCGAAATAGCGAAAAGCCGGCTAGTTCCACTGAACAGTCTGATATATTCCCATTCAGCCATGTCTCAATCAGACATAACATGCTGCACTCCCGATACTCACATTGTTCACTGACCAGGGCCGAGAGCTCGTCCATCTTGTTTGTCAGTAAGCATACATTCCCCATGCTTTCAGCTTCAGCTGGTTAGCTAATGTTTTGCTAACTTAAGATGTATATAGATGTGATACATATGTTGCTTTTATATTTTAACCATCTTCAAAATGTGGCTGTCTAATCAAAATAGAGAGCCTAGCACATAGCATATCCTAGCACATACCATACTACCATTCTAGCAGAAGTACAGGAAAGGAGAAAGTCAACCAAGGTACTGGCCGAGGCTTGCTCAACTGTTATTGTAGGAGTGAAAAGGGGTGGGACTTAGGAAGGGTCAATTATGAATTGTTGTGCCATTTGGGTACATTTCATTCAGTTTTTATTCTTAATGTCAGAATAAAAATAGTTTTCTTTTTCGTGGGTACAGGCCAAGTTATTGTTCTTGACAATTTCGGCAATATATTGTAAACATGTAAAGTTGGTAGTGCATAGAGTTACAATGGTTACAAGAAGTACCAATACGCATTTGTCTGGCCAGTCAATGCTGAATGTGCAAAAAATTTAACTAACAAAAACATCGATCTAGGTTCATTACATTTCTTGTATATTCTTCTTGACGAAGAGACTTATGAAGTTGTTTTGTTCTGTATTTCTCTGTATCCCAGAATATGACTAATCTGTAGGTGTTTTTTAGTTTTTTTGCTGATAAACTAGCTTCCAGCACAGGGCGATGTCACGACAATTGAACTATTCATGATGAAGGTCATCATGAATAGTTCAATTGTCGTCCTCAGCCTCAGTCATCATTCCACATTTTATTGAGCAGCCCTGTTGTGATTTCTGCAGTTTCTTGGAGAACTTGGAGTCTCGCAGTAAGGGCTATGGCTCTCCTGGTCCAGCCAACGGTCAGAGTCCCTCCTCAGGCTCCCAGTCCCCCATCGTCCCTCCCAGTGGGGCATCCACAGGCAGCTCCAGCCCCAGCACCCCTCAGCCCCCCATTCCCTCTCAGGCACTTCCACAATCCCCATCTGTTTCCGCCTGCGCTCCTCCAGCCCCCTCGACGGTGGTCAGCGTGGCAGCTTCACCTACAGTTGAGTCAAAGCCATCGGCCCAGTCGCCCGAACACCTTCAGCCCTCAGCTGTTTCTGGGGCGCCTCCCTCTCAGAAACGCAGCTTCATCTCCCGTTTGTTTGGTTCAACTTCTGCTACTGATGCTCCTGCTCCTGGACCAGGTAGGATTCTACAGATTACTCACGCAGTAAAAGCCTCCCGCCAGTCCACATTCCCTCTGCTCTGCAATTGTGTGCACACTGTCTGCAACCATTGATGTAACAGCAAGAATCTGTCACCTGTCATCTGTTTGTTTTGTATACTCGCTATAGTGGACCTTCTCATATCTACATGTATATTGCCTGTTAATGATCCAATTTCTGGTTGCTTAATGTAGTCCATTTCCCAGAAACTGCAGCTTATATGAATGTTTGTAAGCAAGTGCTGTCCTTATTGTCAAGAAAAACTCAGGAAAATGATTTGTTAAAAAGATTGGGAACTCTGAATATTCCATTTCTAACAACACATCCTCCCAAATGTTACACACTTGACCTTTAGAAAATCATGTTTGAAGGTCTAAATGAATGATGTTTGCTAGTAGTAGTCACAAGACACTTAGCAGTTGAGAAATGCAGAGCTTTTCAGGCGATCAAAGGACTGGCTGGTATTGGAATGTCATGTGATTTCACTGTTTCATTGAATTTCTAGTTTAAATAACAAAGCAACACACGGCAGAGCTGTGATGGGAGATTTCTAACACTAAACTTTAGATTTTAATAAAGTGAATTTGTTTAGTAGTTACTCACACACACTATGTTTTCCTCAGAGGATCCGCCTGCACCAGTGTGTCCTGCTAAGGTTCAGAGCGTAGATGATTTTGTGCCAGATGAGAGACTGGATAAAAGCTTCCTGGAGGACAGCCTGCCCTCCAAGACCAAGGTGCCTCAGCCTGCACCAGCTCCGGCTGTGGACAGTGACAGGTGAGATATTTTAAGAATCCTTTTCAGTTAGCTTGTTAATTCTTTGGGTCGAAGCAAGTATTTGTTGATTTCCTTTATTTGTATCTTTTTTGCATTGAAATTAGCCTTGATGTGGATGAAAAACAATGCTTTATTTGTTAAAACTTTCACTTTTTTTTATCTGACATAATATGCAACTTATATATAATAGAATACTGTGCATTAAGAAGTCTGCATATGTACAGTAGATGTGGCTGAGGTTCTGGTTTAGAGCAGCACAGTAGCCCACAATCGTAGACCAACCCTCTCGCCATGAGTAAAGGTAAAGAGGTTTCTGTCTTTTCTCTGTCCCAGTGATGGTGAAGGCAGAGGAAACCCCATGGTGTCTCGTTTCCAGGACGAGCTCGATCCTGATGACACTGAACCCAGCCTTCCCCAACCTAAGACCCTGCCCCCCAGCAAAGCTATCACTCTGACCAGTGACGAGGAGGAGGGAGTACCAGCAGCCCCCACTGTCACACACGACCAAGACCTGGACAGTGAATCTGAGCTGAAAGCGTAAGTCCTTTCTCTCTGTCTGTCACTGGGAGCCAAAGTGAAAGTTAACCAACCATGGGATTACTATTGACTAACGTCTTAAATGAACAAGATTTTGTTGCTTTTCTGTACTTTAATACATAATTTTATATCATTATAAAATTACATTATAATATCCTGTATTATAATTGTTTTGACAGAAAAGGCTATGCAGAAAAGAGCTGATGACACTCAGTTAAAGGCATGGTCTGATTTCAAACCATCCACATATATAAAGATGGATGAAATGACAGCTCTCCAAAAGTGAAGCCAAAATGTTTTGATTGCCCCCCGGTGGCTGACTGCAGTATAGTTCATAAAGCCTACTGCCTCCATGTTAACAGATGGGACATGGGCCACGTCAAATACATTTTGTCCCATTATTTATTAATTTTTCCCAAAGATGGTGTCTGTCATTTTAGGTTGTTCTTATCACGCTGATGTATGTGTTGCTCGCGAGTGAGTCGGCCAGGCGTATGGGCAGGACTTTGATACCCCAGCGGCAATTCCGATCACTACTGTGCATACTCTGGCTCCAAGTGGCGAAATATGACAGCGACCATGTCCTGTATATTTTAGCTTCATTTTTGTACAGTGGGAGAAAGTGGAGACATGGCGTTGTATCCGAAATTCCTCCAACACGGCCTAGAATGCGGTATCAGCAAAGGCAAAAACAAAACACATAAAAAAACACATACATACATATGGCTTACAGTTACAGTGGATATAAAAAGTCTACACACCCCTGTTAAAATGCCAGGTTTTTGTGATGTAAAAAAAATGGGACAAAGATAAATCATGTCCAAACTTTTTCCACCTTTAATGTGACCTATAATGTGAACAATTCAATTGAAAAACAAACTGAAATCTTTTAGGTGGAAAAATAAAAAATAGAAAACTTACAATAACCTGGTTGCATAAGTGTGCACACCCTCTTATAACTGGGGATGTGGCTGTGTTCAGAATTGACCAATCACATTCAAACTCATGTTAAATAGTAGTCAGTACACACCTGCCATCATTTAAAATGACTCTGATTAATCCCAAATAAAGTTCAGCTGTTCCAGTAGGACTTTCCTGACATTTTCTCAGTTGCATCTCAGAGCAAAAGCCATGGTCCACAAAGAGCTTTCAAAACATCAGAGGGATCTCATTGTTAAAAGGTATCAGTCAGGAGAAGGGTACAAATGAATTTCCAAGGCATTAGATATACCATGGAACACAGTGAAGTCATCATCAAGTGGAGGAAATATGGCACAATAGTGACCTTACCAAGAATTGGACGCCCTTCAAAAATTGATGAAAAGACGAGAAGAAAACTGGTCAGGGAGGCTTCCAAGAGGCCTACAGCAACATTAAAGGAGCTGCAGGAATTTCTGGCAAGTACTGGCTGTGTACTACATGTGACAAAAATCTCCAGTATTCTTCATACGTTTGGGCTATGGGGTAGGGTGGCAAGACGGAAGCCTTTTCCTCCAAAGAAAAACATCCAAGCCCGGCTAAATTTTGCAAAAAAAATACATGAAGTCTCCCAAAAGCATGAGGGAAAATGTGTTATGGTCTGATGAAACTAAGGTTGAACTTTCTGGCCATAATTTCAAAAGGTATGTTTGGCGCAGAAACAACACTGCACATCATCCATAGAACACCATACCCACAGTGAAGCATGGTGGTGGCAGCATCATGCTTTGGGGCTGTTTTTCTTCAGCTGGAACCGGGGCCTTAATCAAGGTGGAAGGAATTATGAACAGTTCCAAATATCAGTCAATTTTGGCACGAAACCTTCAGGCTTCAGTTAGGAAGCTGAAGTGGAATTTCACCTTTCAGCACGACAACGACCCAAAGCATAAATCCAAATCAACAAAAGCATGGCTTCACCAGAAGAATATCAACGTTTTGGAATGGCCCAGCCAGACCCCAGACCTGAATCCCATTGAACATCTGTGGGATGATCTGAAGAGGGCTGTACACAGTCGATGCCCTCGCAATCTGACAGATTTGGAGCGCTTTTGTAAAGAAGAGTGGGCAAATATTGCCAAGTCAAGATGTGCCATGCTAATTGACTCCTACCCAAAAAGACTGAGTGCTGTAATAAAATCAAAAGGTGCTTCAACAAAGTATTAGTTTAAGGGTGTGCACACTTATGCAACCAGGTTATTGTAAGTTTTTTATTTTTTATTTTTCCCCCTAAAAGATTTCAGTTTGTTTTTCAATTGAATTGTTCACATTATAGGTCACATTAAAGGTGGAAAAAGTTTGGACATGATTTATTATTGTCTCATTTTTTTACATCACAAAAACCTGGCATTTTAACAGGGGTGTGTAGACTTTTTATATCCACTGTAAGTTATGCTGGTAGCTTCCATAAAAAGGAATATAAATGCTATATGGCATAGAATTGTCTGGTGCATCCTCTGATGGTATATTAGATTTTTTTGTTTATACAAAATTTATACCACAGCTAATGACATGACGGCTCATGGTTACTTGTGGGTCTTCCAGGTACACAGAGGTCAGAAATGGCAACTGTCAGATCAGCAATAGAAGGACTTGTCAGTGTATATAGGACTAAAATTAAGAATAGATTGGATTAATGAAGCTAATGTTACTTGCACAAAGTTGCAGTCTTCAGTCTCATTTTTAAATATGTGAAGACTAAAAAACAACTACAAAACCAATTTTCCTTCATTTCGTTTGTGTTGTTTCTGCCCATATGGATGTGAAGTAGCTCTTAAATTGCATTTGTAACAGTCTTAAAAAGATATTTGAAAGTTGTGAAGTTGTTAGAAATCGTGTGCTGTGTTGATGAAGTGAGTTACGCAATAGCGCTGTAAGCCAATGTAACCACTGCTGCAGCAGAAGATCAAAGTCGAGAAGAAGAAATAAACAAGTGAAGAACGTGAAAGAAATGTATACCAAAATACTAATTCATTTTAAGGTAAACCAATGTTCCATATCCCCCTATTCCAGACCTGTGATCCACATCACAAAACCAAAGGTGGCATCTAAAGTGCCAGAGGCCAGAGGCCAGACACCCATCTCCCTCACTCTGACTCCAGCAACAGAGCAGCCGGCCCGACACCAAGGCAAGAAGAAGGGAATTGCACCCAAAGCAGAAGATTCGGATACAGACCCTGAGGCCCCTGTAGCCCAGCAGATGCTCTCGTTTGTCATGGATGACCCCGACTTTGAGTCTGAAGCATCAGACACACCAAAAATAGCGAAGGTAAAGTGGAACAGATTTAACAGCACAGCAGATTCACTCCGAGGTTAACTCACAGTTCACAGCTGAACTGCTGAAAGCCTGAGCTTTTAATGTAATTGTTGGATTTCAGTCAGCTATGTCACTCAGTCAAATCCACAGCATGATACAAATCAGCCAGAATACTGATTTTAATTTCACTCCTATCACACTGCCATTTTAAATTCCCCCCTTTTATTTTTTTGAGGAAATATTCCTCGTATTACTGTTCATTTTCGACTGTCCTATTCTTCCCAGGACTCATTTCCAGTCAGAGATGAGCTTCTGTCCGACCTCTCTGACGATGACCTGCAGTTAGCCAAGGTGCCAGAACCTCTGAAGCCCACTGTGATCTCCTTCAAACACAAGGACGACACCGACCTGTTCGGCCTCGGCATCCAGGACGAGGCTCCCGCAGCCAAAGACAGCAGTGAGGAACAGGAAGGCAAGTCACCAAATATCTGCCAATGTGTCTTTGTAACTCTGTGACTCAGTTGGTATTTCGATTAGAATTCACACTAGTATCCACAAAAGAGCTATTGCTATTGTTCTGCTATGTGTAATAGAGTTATTTTATTCACCTGATCAAATTGGCAGGAAGGCAAAGGTGGAACGATCATTGATCTAGATCAATGGTTTGAATCAATACAAAGTGACAACATCGATCATATCGTGTCATCTTTTTTAAAGGTTTAAAAATACAAAATAAAACCTTTAAAGGCTTTATGTATCAGGTTGTCCCACAACCACCAATCAGTCATGAGAGTGATCTCTTTGTCTAATAACATGAACAGCAGCCTCATTTTCTTCCTGATCATTCACAGCGTTGTCTACAGAAAGTTATTGTCCATTTCAGTGGTATCCCAACACACTGACATTTAAATGTGATAATATAACAAATTACAACAAGTCCTGTGGATTTGACACATACAAAAAGATTAATTCTGTACTATAGACCATTGACGGTATATATAATGGACAGAGTTTCCGGGTCTGAAAAGTAAGCCAACACGGAAGCGTCTTAAAACCTGCATCCATTGTAAATTCCAGCAGGTGGAGCTCCATTGGCTGCAATAACAGCGATCCCATTCATGTTAATGGAGAATGAGCTGACTTCTCACTTCATTTATGAGCTCAGTAAACAGTTTCCTGATGACACATTATGATGTTCATTTAGCACATTATGGTCCAATTTAGAGTAAAATAAACAGGGTATGCTTTTGTGCAGGGCTACCTTTTTGATCGACAGGTCCAAACTCAGATCAAACTGTCAAACTAGGCAATGCTGATCAATTACGAAGCAAGATTCTGTTACTGCGTTGCCTATTTTTCACTAAACATAATTTCAGAAACATATTTTAGTTAACTGTTTAGCTGTTATACATTGCTAGCTGTGACCAGGCGAGCTGCCATTGTTTCTGGCTACAGGCGAGTCAAAACTGCGCAGCTAATAAAAGCAGTTCAACTCGCAGTACGTCACATCCGCTGGCTCACGCTGGCTCTGTTTTACTGTCACGGCGGCGACCAAAACGGCACTCCACAAACCAATGGGTGACGTTACGATAGTGTCACGCTTGCTCCAGACCATAAAAGATCTCTGAAAGGTCTGTGATCAATGATTCAACTACATGCCTCTAACATACAAGACATCACGCTCACTCCAAGAGAAGGTGATTATCCGGAATGAATAGAACCATAGTTACATATATAGGTATGTGATGTTTGGATTTCAATGCATGTTTAGAATCTTTGGATGTTAAAGCAATATCAAGGTATAAAGTTTCTGCTTCATAATGTTTTAGTCAAGTGGTTGAAAACTCTTTAAGACTTGAAAAAGGATCCATCTATCTACCACTTCAGTCTATCATCACTATAAGACTTTGTATACATCTGCTCTTCTTTCAGAGAAAGAAAGCAAACACTCCTCCAAAGAAAAGAAGAAAAAGAAGAAGAAAAGCAAAGAGGTAAAGTTATTGTTGTTCATATTACATACTTTGAGTAGTCTAAAAAAACTGTGATCTCAATACAATAAATTTTGTCCTTTCGTTTTCAGGAGGATGAAAAGAGCAAGAAGAAACACAAACACAAGAAAAAGGAGAAAGATGAAGCTGCAGCAGTGGATGAGAAAAAGAAAAAGAAAACCCGGACCAAGAAAACAGAAGTGGACGAGTTGGAGGACTTCCTGGGTGGAGGAGCAGGTTTGGTCAAAAGAGATGACGGTGATTATGAAGAACTATAAAAGCTCCTGTTTTCTGAGGAAATGGAGCCACAGAACAGCAGTGAGGAGTGTGGTCGTTCAGAAAAACCTCTTGGTTCCTTGACTTGTATGTGCATAAAGCAGCATCTCCAAGCCATACGCAATACACAAGGCTACCGATGACACCCAGGTAAAATATCCAAGACACTCTGGTACCTGTATGTTCCTTCTGATTGATTTCCCCATCTGCACTACTGCTGTCACTTTCATTCCAACCTTTAAGAAACAGCGAGGAGACCCACATGTACTGTAGTGAGTTGTGACATTCAAAATTGATGATTGGTGTACCCACAAATTGGCTCTTTGTAATTTCAAATGATTGACTATGTTGGCTTAATTCTCGATTTGATTTGAGACAGTCTGCAAGTGATCCACTCCCAATCCGCTGCTGTAAATACGGTTACCATTTTGTCTGAATGTTTGTTTGTTGGTGTAATAATGGAGAGCATGCTAAACGTGATGACTCACTTCTGAGAGACTCCATAAATGTCCTGTCCTGTCTTTTCTTCTTTGTTTTCTTAAATGGTTGATGGCAGATTTAGTCTTAAGAAGAATTATTAAGAAGAATTTAAGTGAGTTGATTTAAGGATTTTTCCCATGACATCCCCCCTTTTCACCCTTGAAGTATGTCCAAGCTGAGCCGGTTAAATTTGCAAAGTTAAAGGAGCAGTGTGGAGGATTTAGTGGAATCTTGCGGTAAAGTTGCACATTACCACCAACTGAATACAGCTTCCAAAAGTGTAGGAGAAAGGCCAGTGCCCCTATATAAAGCCAGTGTTTGGTTCGTCCTTTCTGGGCTACTGTAAAAACATGACGGACTCCATTAAAGGCGACCCAAAGCTGTAGATAAAATGTCACATTCTAATCAAAACACAATGATTCTTATTTTTAGGTGATTATACACTAATGAAAACATACCTATGAATATTATATTCCATTTCTGACAATAGATCCTCCTAAATGTTACACACTGGACCCTTTTAGGGGAATGGTTTCTCCTCTAACTTTCTCTGTAATCACTTATTCAGTATGGCTGATCACACGTTGATGACAGAGGACAGAACAGAGGTATAACCGGCTGAGACTCAGTAACTGGACCATGTCTGTCAAAGTGGTCATATCCTAGGTTATTGTGCAGCCCCTCTGTTGATGATGTATCCGATTACTATGGGTCTGCTCAGAACTGGTGGAAATACAGGCTTGTTTGCTGGATAGCACCGAGGTCCAAAGAATCTTTAATAGAACTTGTTTAAGAACCAGGACTTGGTTTGGTTTTGGTGGGAAAGGGGCCTCCTGGAAATGAAACATCGCGAATGTTCAGCCTTGCTGAGTGAATTAAGAATGGTCGCTTGTGAAGGGTAAGAGTGAGCTCAGAGTTTAGTTTGATAAAGATACGTTTGCTACTACTTCCTACTTCATGACATGAGAGAGGGAGCGATTGTGTATTCCTCAGGGCTCACTGTGTGTAGTACGTTCAGTGAGTGAGCGAATTGGTTGATACCAGGAGGGACTGTCTAACAGTGAAGTGGACGCATCGTTATCACAGCTTTTTAAAAATTAGCCGGCTCAGTGTGGATGTAGTCTTGTTGTGACACCATCGATACATAAGATAGATGTCTCCACTTCCTCCCATGTATGAAAATACATACAAATTGTGCTAGTGATATCATTCAGAGTCGTGATCGGAATTGCTGCCGTGGTATCAAAGTCCCGCCCATACGCCTGGCTGACTCAATCGCGAGCAGGGCTCAGCTGTCAATCATGATGTAAAAGCCCCTTTCTATAGCATCAAATGACTCATTCAAACCAAATTGATCTGAAAAATGAACACTTGAACATACATCAGCGTGATAAGAACTACATAAAATGACTGACGCCATCTTTGGAAGCAATTTATTTAACGTGAACTTTTGTACGTGCACTACCTGGAGGCAGTGAACATTATGACCTCTACTGCAGTCAGCCACCAGAGGGCAATAGGAATCTTTTGGCTCTACTTCTGGATATATATGTGGATGTGTAAGACAACAGCCACTAAAGCCACTTCGGCAGCGAACAAGTCATCACTGGAGATTTTCTGATTGTGATCTAAATAGCTGTTACTTTCCTCCCCCATTAGCAATCTAACGATGACTTTAACGGCCACCTTCCTCTGCTTCAGCCTGCGGGCTGCGTACAAATTCTGTGTTTTCTGCAATTGCCTTAATGGAGGTTATTACAAGGGAATGACATGCCGCTATCCTCATGAACCATTTTTAAGTGTTCTTACTGTAAAGTGTTAGGTAGCTGGGTTGGGTTCAGAATGTTGTCCTAGCCTTTAATTGGTGAAACAGAATCTATACCATCCTTAAAGCCTGTTATAAGATTGCAGTGACTCCGTGCATTTGTTTTTGTTTTTGTTTTTGTTTGATTCTCAATAGACAGCATCCTTATATAGCAAATTGTAGGATTTTTTGAATATTTCTCTGTAAGTAACATTTCTGAGATTTTCCTCATTGTTTTAGCCTTGTGTTATTTATTGCTTCTGTTTTGGTTTTCTCGCAAAATGTCAGGATTTTGTTTGTGATTTTTGTGCTGAAACTGTCTCATGACACTCGATGCAGCTTTTTATGGGTTACAGTCGTTGGTATTCCCTAACTTTCTCCTGTAATACATCCTCCAACCGTTTACTTCCACTGCTTTTAAGGACGTGTGTGGTGATATGAACTGCTACACTTTTCACACTTTATTTCTTTTGTCCAATGCCTCAGATTTGCCTGCTTATGATAGACGGAGACCACATGCATCTTCCATCCCCAAAATGTTTCAAACGAGTGAAACATTCTTGCATCTAAGACCAACAATGTGTTTTTTTTAGACAGATTTCATACAGTTTCCATCTCCCATACACACTAGTTGCTGGTTTACAAAGAAATTATGTTTGATATTCCAAAGTTGAAACTATGCAGCATTGATCCTGATTACTGTATGCTCTTTTTCTGTCTTTGTCATGTGATTGAGGATAAATGCTGAAAGCACAGTTTCAAGCAAAGCATGAGACTTAAATGTACAGCAAGAAAAGAATGTATAAAGTATATAAATAAATCTATATATCTGAAGAGTTTTGTTCCAAAAATGATACATACAGCATGTGGAAACAATATGTTGACAGGACAGATCCAGTAGGGGGAATTACTCTAAAATAATCCTGTAAGTACAGTTCTGAGAATCCATGTGCACACACTAATATATTTAAGATATTTTTCCCAAATGGATGTGTGAAATTTTGGAATGAAACCTTTCATTTATTTTTCACCCCATGACATGTTCCATCTTTACACTGTGAGTTTGCCTATGTTTGGTTTGTCCAATAAATGCAAACTTATTTCTTCATAAAGGACATTTCTTGTGTCTTTTTTCCTCTTCCAGTCAGTGTTTATTCCTGTTTCTACAGTGTGCTGTTTGAATGCTGTCTGTGCAGTTTGACTCTAGAAGGATGTTTTCACATTTGTCTGCTCAAAGTGGAAAGTTTCTCTGAGCTCACTGAACATTGGATTTGAAGTGTAAGTTATAAGTCAGTCCTGGTCCAGTATCAACTTGTACAGTGTGATGTAGAAACTTTTTTTGTAAAAGAATTTCCAGGAGTTTTTCTTGACAATACGACAACACTCCCCAAATACATTTGAGTCCTTTTTTGTGCATTTATTCATTTCTGTGTGTATTTATCCATTATGAGACTGTTCTGGCTCCATATTTCGACTGACTGGCATGGGAGCCCAAATGAAAAGGGAGAATTCTTTCGTTACACGTCTGGTAAACCAGTTTTGAAGTGTCACACTGTGCAGTTTATCCTAGCAACTTTCATACAAAATACGCACCCACGTTTATGCAGGAAAAGTATCCTAAATTATTTCCATGATTTTTGGTTCCAGGTGTTTCCATGACTGAAAAACTAGTTTCTAAATGTCCAGGTATTTTAGGATGCATGGGAACCCTGACGACAGGAAATGAACAACATCTGCATATTCATAGATTGTAGAATTTTTAGTGCAGTAGAAGGAGTTCAAGGATTTTATTGTGGAAGTTACACTTTTTTTGCACAAAAGACATACAGACAGACTATTTGTATATGTCCTAATATGTAAGGGGGGACGTGGATGATTCTGTGCATGGCTTTGCTGCCAGGTGCAAAACTATTTGCTGAACAGTAAAGAAGGTGCCTGTTGTTATAGTCTCTTATTGATGCTGAAAAAAAAACTAGAATATGGTGGAGTGCCTTTGATCATTTCCCCCCTTATTCCCGCTCACAGAAAGATGCTGCATTCTCATGCTGTGAGTGAGTCAGAGGTCTGCTCACAGTGATATCATCATAAGGCTCCTCTTCCTTCTGAAGAAAAAAAGGAAAAATAGTCAGTTGCTGTCAAGCAATCCATGATGTTGGAATTCTGTTGTAATTTTGTTGCATGAAAAATGGGCAGCATTTTACCTTACATGTGTTTTTATTTTGCTGTGAAAAGAATTATTTGAGAGTTAATTTCCTCAACATGTAAATTGTTTGTATAAAGTAGTGCGGCTTTATTGAAGTAAGACTGTATGAGGTACTTCCATAATCAGTCTGTTACCTCCCCTGCCCTAGTTTGGAGAAGCAGACAGCAGGAGTACCGGCATGGAAGCTAAGCAATGTTCTGATGTCGAACAGAGCTGCAACAAAATGTATTATAGCCACATAAAACAGACCAACCTAAAAAAGTCTATATCAGTTTAAGTGTATGCTTTATTTAGAATATTTTCACTTTACCTTGCTCTCAGACAGCCATTTCCAAACATTGTCATTTTACCTCACAGAACACAGGAGTTGCTGGTCCACCACTGCTTCTGTCACTTAGTTTGTTTATGTTAGCTATAGATCGTTTTCACTGCAGCCATTTTGATGAAAAATAGTATGGTAAACACAGATGTTACCAATTATTATCAAGCTAATGAAAGTTATCTCCATTTATTGCAGCAGAGCCTTTCCAGTGAGCCAACAAGTACAATAGCAGCACCCTGACTTTTGACCTGAATGGAACAGAGCATTAAAGCTGCAGTAGGTAACTTTTAGATAGATAGATAGATAGATACTTTATTCATCCCCAAGGGGAAATTCACAGTTTCCAGCAGTATCCACAAACTGATAATAATAATAATAATAATAAGAGGAGGAGGTCAATTTAGAAGAACTAATAGAATAAAGTAGAATAAATAGCTAAATAACGAGCATGGGGCTAGTGTCCTAAGGTGCATGGTCAAATCCAGTGCTTGAAAGGCCTAAGGTGCATAAGTAGTGTCGGTCAGTCAGTGGTCACATAATGCAGGGTGCACTGCGTCAGGTAGTATAGTTAACTAAAGGGCAGACATATTGGAGTTTAGAGTTTTTCTCCCCTGGGTGGAGTTGAAGAGCCTGATGGCGTGGGGGAGGAACGATCTCCTCAGTCTTTCAGTGGAGTAGGACAGTGACAGCAGCCTGTCGCTGAAGCTGCTCCTCTGCCTGTAGATGGTGCTGTGCAGTGGATGCAGTGGATTGTCCATGATTGACAGGAGCCTGTTCAGCGCCCTTCGCTCTGCCACAGATGTCAGTCTGTCCAGCTCTGTGCCCAACACAGAGCCCGCCTTCCTCACCAGTTTGTCCAGACGGGAGGCATCCTTCTTCTTAATGCTGCCTCCCCAGCACACTGCTGTATAGAAGAGGGCGCTCGCCACAACAGTCTGATAGAATATCTGAAGCAGTTTTTTGCAGATGTTGAAGGACGCCAGCCTTCTGAGGAAGTATAATCGGCTCTGACCTCTTCTGCACAGGGCGTCTGTGTTGGCAGTCCAGTCCAGCCTATCATCCAGGTGTACTCCCAGGTATTTGTATGTCTGTACCAACTCCACATGGTCACTATTGATGGTCACAGGTTCCGGGTGAGCCCTGGGCCTTCTGAGGTCCACCACCATCTCCTTGGTCTTGGTGGTGTTGAGGCGCAGGTGGTTGGAGTCACACCATGTGACAAAAGTCCTGAATGAGTTTCCTGTACTCCTCCTCCTGGTCATTCCTGATACAGCCCACAATAGCCGTGTCATCTGCGAACTTTTGCACGTGACAGGACTCCGAGTTATATTTGAAGTCCGACGTGTACAGGGTGAACAGGACCGGAGAGAGCACGGTCCCTTGCGGCGCTCCCGTGCTACTGACCACAGTGTCAGACCTGCAGTCCCTCAGTCGCCCTCCATGTCCACCATTTCAGTCATATTTGCTGAAACTTTCTCTATATCCTGACAGTAGTACACAAAGGAGATAATCTGTCAAAAATCAGGTCTCTCTGGCTCCTCCTAGTGTTCATGAGATTTGTAAGAGTCAACTGGGATCTATGTCATGGACTGTCAGGATATAGTGAAAGTTTCAGCAAATATGACAAAAAGTAATTTTTTATAAAAATTACCTACTGCAGCTTTAATTAGTATTGTTGGTGACACATGTGTTTACCCAACTAATGTATGTCAAAATGGCACACTCTTGGCAGTGGTGGACCAGCAACTCCCGTCTTCTGCAAAGTACAATTACTATTTTTAGTCTGGTGGCTTTGAAGAGAGAATAGATGGATATAAGTGCTTCAGTTTCCCGTTGGAAAGGGCTGACAGCACGGTAAAGTGGTGAAAGTATTCTAAATACAGAGTATCTTTGAACTGATATAGATATTTTTAGATGTTTTTCTGCAGCCCCCCGTCCACAGCAGTGCATCGCACTGTTTCTGTGCCAGGACTCCTGTCTACTTCTCCAAACTGGGGGAAAGCTGACCTCCGTCTACTGTAGGTAATACTTGGTGTATACAGTAGACGGAGGTCAGCTTTCCCTCATGCAATCCAAAGTTTTTTGGGGGGGTTTTTCGCTGCTGTTTTGTATTTGTGGTATTTGTGGTATTTATGTTTACTTGTGATCACTGTACTCCTTACTGTTCACCATATGACTGCCTAAACTTGCACTATGTGTGTGAACTATGCACACGTCTGTCTTTGTTGGTGGAGCAGCAGAATGACTTACTTCTGAAGAAAACATTGGTGAATATGGTCAGCATGGGGAGCAGAGGAAGCAGAATCCAGCGAGTAATACTCCAGATATAAGCTCCAGAGGCTGCAGGGGGGGATGGCAAAGAAATGTAAATGAGATTTGGGTATTGTGAAAAATCTAAACAACATGATTATTGTGTAAAACACTTAAGCTATTGTATCAAACTGTATCTTTATATCTTACCCTAACTGTTTGAGGAAACCAATCGCCTTAAACCATCTAAGTTTACCAAAGATATGAAAGATATTTGATTTGAGTAGAAATAACTCAAGTATTTCTTGTTAAGGTAATTTGGGTAAATTAAGTTAATTGTACCAATTCCATTTATTTGACTGAAGTTACACTCACCTGCAGCATTTCTCCAAACTTATTTAAAATGTGTTCATAGAATTGATCTGAATAAAGTAAGTTAAATCAATCTCCTTTATATAAATGGTACCACCAAGTTTAAAGTCCCCTCTCCCCTCCCTATGACCACACCGAAGTTCTGCTGCCTGCCCTTGAGGGCTGCCTCTTTTAGTCCTTTTCCACCAACAGGGAACCAGCTATGTTCAAACTCCTAGTTTTGAACTGTTCTGAGCACAGCTAGGTACTATATGCACAGCATTTTTATCCCTTGTCCCACGTCTCACATATTGAGACAATGTCCTACATTTTGCTTGGCTCTAGTTTCCAAAAGACAAACAACTGCAGGACAGCTACTTTTCTAAAATCAGGTTTTTATCGAGTGGCTGTGAAGAAAGCAGGATGGGCTGTCAACATGGGGCTGTGTTTGACGGGAATCAAACTGCGCAGTCGTGGGTCAAGTGCAGGTTAACCTGTCACCTATCTTTGCTACACTACGCCCAACGGGTAGAATTGAGTCACTACAAAGTCACAAGATATGCAGATAGCATAAGCTGGTGGAACTATCACATGAGACCTTAAAAAGAACTGTAAAACTTCCCTTTCCTTTCCTTCCTTTTAATACTGTATTTACTTAATGTGGTACAGTTGCAGTCGTGTATTTCACATCCCTGGGAATGAGACTGAACAATCAACTATCTTTCTCAGCTCTGATTGGTTGTTTTCGTTCAGGCCTGGTGGATTCTTGCAAGTGCCATTAGGAGCACTAGGAGAAACTAGAGAAACCTGATTTTTTTTTTTTTTTTTTTTTTTTTTTACAGATGATCAGTCTCATGTACCACTATCAGGATATAGTGAAAGCAAATATGACAAAAAATTATTTTTATAAAAGTTACCTACTCTAGCTTTAATTAGACATACTTTTTTTTTTTAGACTACCTCTCAGCAACATTGTCCCACACAAACACATTCTGTCCCACATTTGGTTTCTTGGGATCTGGTCTCCCTACTTACAGCACCTTTAACATTTAAAGGCTTCCTTCTACTTACATTTGTGAAAGTAGCCTTCAGCCAGCTTGATGATGGTGTCATTTTCGCTCAGCACACCACACCAGTACATTCCCTCTCCATGGCTTGGCATCAGCACCGCTACAGTGAAGGAGTCTGGACCCTGGGTCACCTCCAGTTTGCCTTCATCCACTAAGTGGGCACCCTGGCTGAAGGTGAGGCCAACGCAACAGTCGCTGGAGCTCTGCCTGCACCAAACCCTTGGCAGGCTCTTGTGCTTCAGTTCGTAGGGACATGTCAGCTTCTGCCTGTACAGTGCCTCACAGCCACCTGCACACAGTCATTTAGTGGTGAATAACCTCCACCAATACAATACAATACAAAAGAAGCCTAACCATTAAAACACAATTGTCACAGTTTATTCCCTTATTCACTATACTCATATTACTGTTTGACTACACTATGAGTCAAGGTGGATACCAGCTCAATTTTTAAATGAAGACTCCTACCCTTTGCATAGTGAATTTCATCTCCTTCCTTCTGGATGGTTACAGTGGCAAGAAAGTATGTGAACCTTTTGGAATTTCATTGTTTTCTGAATAAATTTGTCATAAAATGTGATCTGATCTTCATCTAAGTCAAGGGTATTGACAAACATAATGTGTCTATAAATAACACAAAATTCTGATCTTTCATGTCTTTATTGAACACACTCATTCAACATTCAAAATAGCAGTGGAAAAAGTAAGTGAACCCTTAGAATTAACTGGCTGACCCCCCCCCCCTTGGTGCTTCCTGTAGCTGTGAATCAGACCTGCACATCGTTGGAGGAATTTTAGCTCATTCTTCCTGGCAGAGCTGCTTTAGCTCTGTCATATTCTTTGCCTTGTCTTTTACTGCAAACCAAATCTACCAACAGTCACAAATAAAGTAACCTGAACGTGAACCCGATACATCAAGTACATGGTGGTAGCTAATAGAAAAGAGAAAAACTTGGCATATCAGGAGACAATATGCTAACTGGCTTTGTCACTACATTATGCTGTGGATTCAGGCAGTTGCACCCCCTTTACACTCAATTTCAGCAAGTGGCACTGGGCTAAATACAGCAGTCCAGTAATCTAGTAGTCACAATTTTAAACTCTGTAAGGGAACCTCTGAATTTAAGCTCTCTATCATAGTGAAGGTCTTCACTTACCTGCAGCCAAAAGCAATATCAAAGTTAGAGGATGCATAATCGAAGCACTGACAGTAGTTGTGCTCAAGTCAGATATAGTTAGGAGGAAGAGAAACAATTTTTTTAGTGACAGAGCTTCAGGAAGTGTCAACCCACAGAGATATTATCAGCTCTCTACATGATGTCTTATAACTTGTACCCAGAAAGAGTTTTTTCCTAACTCAACTTAGTAATGACGTTTTGGAAATATATACTTTATACTTCATGATAAAAATACGATAAAAATAAATCAAATTGTACAACAAATAAAATATACGACAAGAAAACAAGTACCTATAAAAGTATAAAAGAAGGGGATAATCTTTTAAGCCATAACATTTTGTGAATGTGATATTTTGCTAAATGTTAAGAAAGTTAATTATGTATGTCATGTAAAACATGCAAGTGTATCTTTTTCAATCTTTTTTTTGAAAGGCTCTTCTGTAAATCAAATCAAGTTACATTAAAATATTCCAGAAATACATGTCCCATGAGTTTCCCCTCACCACTGCAAAAGGTGCATCTCTTGTTTACAGTTGCACTTTTTGCTCCACAGTGAGCAAAGATGGATTTTCTGTGCCAAATCCTTGGGCTTTTATTTTGAAAGGTCAGTATCGAGCGCTCTCATTGGCTCCTCTTTTCGCCAATAAGGGAAACTCTTGTACGCATGTCTTTCTATCTCCATGTGAGTACTGCTTGCCTGCTAGTTAGTTACTAACGTTAGCTGAAGAAAAATCATGGTAAGTAGAAAACGGATTAAAAATGATTATGAGCATGAAGTTAATTCAATATGTTGGTATGGAATTACGCTAGCGAACTACGCAGTTTCATATAGAAAGCTAACGTTAGCTAACGGTAGATATAGCTAGAAATAAATGGTGTGCGCCTGATAGCCTCATTGTATGTAAACAGCCCAGTCTGCTGCTGAACTCCATAGATGTTGTTGAGGAATGACTTGTGTGTGTGTGTGTAATGTATTGTGTAGTGACACTTTACGGTAGCTAACATAATCTGCTAGCTATATTTTTGGAATAGTTAATTATAGAAATAATTTGGCCCAGAAGACTCACAGAACGGCAATTTAAAATGAGGTCAAATAGCAGCTAACGTTCATTTAAAGCTGATATCTGACCGGGCATCTCAAAATAATGACTTAACTAACGTTTGTATCACAAAGTCTGTAGCTGTCAAAGAGACTAGTAAGAAGTAATTATTTTGAGATACTGAGTCAAAATACTGAGAAAGTTTTCTTTAAGACTTCTAGAATCTTTTTCTTTGTCACATTGGCGGAAATGGGCTGAACTGAAATAACTCATCTGTTCTATGGCTGCACACATTGAATAACATTTTTGAAAGACTTTTATATAATAATAATAAAAACAATATATTATACAAATTGAGTGGAAAATATTATTTCATAATTTGAATGTAGTAAGAAAAACGTATGCACTATTGTTAGCCTTTTTATTTTATTAGGAGCATTTCTTAACACCATGCCATCTCTTAAGTTGTTACAGTGCCACCATCTAACATTACCCCTAGAAATAGAAATCGATCTCACATGGTTCCTGGCATATAAACTCAGATTTGCTATCGAAACAAGAATGGACAGACCAAACACTGGCTCTGGACAGGGCCTTTTATGTTTTTCATGAGTTTTGCGGCCACCATAGTTTCTCCTACATGCTTGGAAGTAGGAATAGACCAATTATCGGATCTGATATTAAGCATTTTTCCAATTAAAGGTATCAGTATTTTTTATATGATAGTCAATGAAGAGATTTTCTGATACAATTTCTTTCCTTCCCTATACAAATTTCTGTTCCTGAACTTTGCATATTGGCTAATACTACAGTACAAATTGAAAAACAAATTGATTGAGGCTTACTTGGAAGGCTGAGCTGTATTCAGTTGCTTGCAGTCAGTGAATTCTACACAATGGTCCTGGCCCTGTATCACTTAGCTTGAGGTCATTGGGTGTAATGTTGTTCTAGCTGCGTCGAGAGGTGAGGCAGAGACGAGAGTACCTGTACAGGAAGGCTCAAGAGGACAGGCTCCGAACCATTGAGGAGAAGAAACAGAAGCTGAAGGGTGCACTTGATGGTAGGATGGCATGATCATTATGTTCCATTCTTCTTACAGCATTGTGTGTTATAAGTGGTCAGCCGTGTAAAGGATCCTATCACAAACCCCCCTTTTTTTTTCCTCTGCAGAAAATCGTCTTCTGCCAACCGAGGTACGCAAAGAAGCTTTGCAGCTACAGAAACTACTGGAGTATGACGATGAAGGGGCAGAAGGCTGGTGTTATTATTTCTTTTTGTCATCAATAGTATCCTGTGTCCATCCCATTTAGTCCAAGCATCAGTATAATCATTTATGTTGATCTTCAGGATCTCTCTCTGTGCAGGTGTCAGCTCACACATGGATGATGAGTATAAATGGGCCGGAGTTGAAGATCCTAAGCTCATGGTCACCACATCCAGGGACCCCAGCTCCAGACTCAAAATGTTTGCCAAGGTAAGGCCGGTTTTTACTCTGTGAGGAGCTGCTTGGTTAGGACAACAGATGGAACTAGAGACTGTCAGACTGACCGTCGATTGCTGAGCGCAGACAAAATGATGTAAACGAGCCGTGATGGTCGGTGCATCACTCAGAGCTAATTTGTTGTTGTTTTTTGTTTTATGAATGGGCCAGCTTCTCGCTCACCATGATAAAGTGTGTGTGTGTGTGTGTGTGTGTGTGTGTGTGTGTGTGTGTGTGTGGTGTGTGTGTGTGGATATTTACAGTAGACTTGACTGTGGTTTCCTGAAGGCAGAATCTGAAAATGACAGTTTTGGATTTTTCCCTGGATTACATGTATTCAGAATTTACAGTAACACTTTATTTTGTGTGTTTAATTCCCAAATAAAATAATCATTTTCTTAGAGGTTGCCTATAAAGAACAATGTATTACTTTTTACTAACTAATTAGGAGACTGTTAAATTGGTAGAATGAATTACTAGAATGACCTAGAGAGTGTTTCTCTCAGCACAACAGGTCGTCTGAACACATTTTAATGTGAGACCATTAAACATATGGAGAATCAAGTTTCCAATATTAAATGTATAATTAAATAATATTTAGTTGGGGTTAAATGGGGCGGCTGTAGCTCAGTGGCAGAGCGGGTCGTCCACTAATCTTTTCTCCCACCACGAAGTGTCGAAGTATCCTTGAGCAAGATACTGAACCCCAAATTGCTCCTGATGCCGTGCATCGGTGTGTGAATGTGTATGAATGTTAGTTTCTGTTTGATGGACTTTGCCATCACTGAGTGAATGTGTGTGAAAGGGTGAATGTGGCACGTAGTGTAAAAGCGCTTTGAGTGGTCGGAAGACTAGAAAGGCGCTATACAAGTACAGGTCCATTTACCATTTACCACATTGAGCTGTTCTTTAAAGGAAAAAGAGTTTGAGACCCCTACTCTAGACAGAGTATGGCCCCTCATCCACAGAGATAAACACTCTGTAGCATTAGTTACTACTTTGGTGTTAATCTGCAGTGAGAGGCTGAACGCTGTGTGGAGAAGGACTTGCCTTCAGCTCTGTCCCTGTCTCGTTCTGCTAATTGACACATTGAGGTTGTCATGTTTGAAGTGTCTTCACAGAAAAAAGCTCAGTTGTCAATGTCTGCACACAGTTTGACGCTAATCTTGGTCTCTTTTTGCTGTCAGGGTTCCCACTCTTTTTCCAGAACGTTTTCCAGGACCTTTTCTTGATAATACAGGACAGCCCTTACTCACAAACAGCCATATCCTCTATCAGTAGGGCTAGTATTGACTTTTTTTCTACGATGTAGTGTTAATGATAGTGTCTCAGGTTTATTACAGGTATGTGATCAGCGTTAACTTGCTTTGTGGAGCGCTTGGCTCGTCTCACCACAGCACATTTTTCCACTGCGGTCTCCGGAAAATACACTACAGTTTACTACAGTTCTCCTCTCACCATAACATTACGGACACAGCCAAGAAGTAACAGCTCCAATCAAGTAGAACTTATGTTGTTTTGCTATGAGAGTGAGGAGCTAAAATGCAATGATAAATTATCTTCAGGATGTTTGGTCATTTTAATCAAATTCCAGTTGTTTCCACGAGTGGAAAACTAATCTCTAAATTTCCAGGTTTTCCAGGATGCATTGGAACCGTGTGCTAAAACTATGCAGGAAACATTCCAGTTCAGTGGTCTAGCGATACTTCATCAGCTTAGCAAACTAGCATGCTACAGCTGATACACACTGCCAAAACGTTGGGGAAAAACTAGCAAACTAAAAGTTCCGTGTGTGTGAGTACATACGCAGCACCGGAACACATAACTGCAACTCGAGACCGTGGACGTTTGTGACTCGGTTTCGGAACAGTTACACCCTTAATAATAACAATACATTCATCCATATTTTTTTTATTCTTGTCAGGGCCATAGATGGACTAAAGCCTATCAGGTTGTCACTCCATGGCAGCACAGACAGATAATCCTATATTCACATTTGGGGCCGGTATAAGGCTGCAGTTTGCTGCTCACAGTCATTAATGTGTTACAGCTACAGGAACTGTTGGTGGCTAATGCTGAGGTTAGCCACCAAAAGTAACTGCTGAACAACAGAGACATCTAAGTTACACATTCTCTGTATAAAGTAAGCCTGTCCACACTTGGCAACATGACCTATTTCTTTGGAAGTTTAAAGTTTCTGAAACTTTTAGAGCCTAAATTCAGAGAAAAGAGTAGGGCCAATATTCAAACACTGATTTTTCTGTATTACAGACTGACAGTGGGGAGTAATAGGAAACATGGAAGAGAGCTGAGGATAACCTGTGATGTATATAACTTGTTACAGGAAGTGAAATTGATGTTCCCTGGAGCCCAGCGCATGAACAGAGGAAATCATGAGATTGCTGCCCTCGTGCGAGCCTGCAAAGCCAACAACGTCACAGACCTTGTCATCGTGCATGAAACAAGAGGACAGCCAGGTACAACATTTGATTGGTCTCTGGCTTTGAGCAGGTTGTCCCTCTAGCTGTGCTACAGGTAGCAATCACGAACAAAACTAAAGTGTTTTGATATATAGGGCCTGAGCTCCTGCACACACACACAGACACAGACAGAGCACAGTGCACAGTGGAGTGGTGTGGAGGGAGTTGACGACATAGCACTGTGCACAAAAGCAAATAATACACTCTTATATGCAGCCCCGCCAGGTCCGAAAATATTGCATGGTACTGTAAAAAACCAAGTACTATTATTTTTATATATATATATATATATATATATATATATATATAGTATTCCAAATTTTGGCATCTACTTGGTACTGAAGCATCAGTTCTCGTGACATCCCTAGCCAGAACTGCCAGTTACACAGCCCTATACCTATTGTCATACCACTCCCATGGCTAAAAATATAAAATTTTACAAGTGGTATAATGTGATTTTAAACGGAGTGCACCCTATAAATAGAGTCGGTACAGAGAAACTGCACTTGGAGTGTCTGATTTTCTTTTTTTTCTTCCTGTATGTTTATAGATGGCCTGGTGGTGTGCCATTTGCCTTTTGGACCAACGGCTTATTTCACTCTTTACAACGTGGTAATGAGGCACGATGTTCCAGACATAGGCACCATGTCTGAGGCCTACCCCCACCTCATTTTTCACAACTTCACGTCGCGGCTCGGCAAGAGGGTGAGCGAGTGCTGGACTGTGCACTGTACACATGCCATTGATATTCTCTTTCACCACTTGGTTGTGAGTGCAACTAATTAATTCTTCTTACACAGGTATCCAATATCCTCAAGTATCTTTTTCCAGTGCCGAAGGAGGACAGTAGGCGTGTAATCACATTTGCCAACCAAGAGGACTTCATCACTTTCAGGTCAGTCCCTCAGTGTAAATATCATACATACAGTATATGAGGAAACGGTACGATATATGAGTAATTACTTTTTTTTTTTTTGAACATTACAGACATCACACCTACAAGAAAACCGACCACAAGAACATTGAGCTGACAGAAGTAGGACCCCGGTTTGAAATGAGATGTAAGTATTGGTAGATAAAGAGATTTTTCTCTTTCTGGGTTCATCAGGACCTCAAAGATCCACTACTGCTCAGGCTAGCTTTTTTTACTCCCAGTGTTAATGTTGGTCTATCTCTTCAATGCATAAACATGATACAAATTTACATTGACTAATGTCTAATGACACCAGTGTCGACCTGGTCCTTTTTAATTTGGGACCAGTGAAACCCAATTAGAAGAAGCTTATGAAAGAAGTTAGTGTTATGTAAGAAAAATTGTCATTGTTAATAACTACTATTCAACAAGAGCAGAAATGGAAAATGATTTACTGATGAGGTAATGATTTATGAATAATGAAGAAAAATAACCACTGTGGAATGTGGCGATTTCTGTTTTCAGGAAATTCTGGGGCACTTTCCTATAACAATAACATTTCAAATAAACTGAACAATGTGCAGGAGAGGCTTAAAGCCAAAAATGGCTAAGATACCTCCCCTTTTATAAATGTAATCGTAACAGGAGAAAAACTGATAAAAACAAACAAATACATCATTCAAGAAGCTGAAATACGAGATTGAGAGAAATGTACAAATATTTTTTTAGAATGTTTGTAAAATCTTTAAAGAAAATACTGAAAGTTCTCTGTTCTGTACCACTTGTAAAATGTATATGTCTGTTCTTTTGTGTAGTGTACATGATCAAACTGGGCACCCTGGAGAATGAGAGCACCGCAGACGTTGAGTGGCGTCACCATGCATATACACATACTGCGAAGAAAAGGAGGTTCCTCAGTGTGCAATAGGAACTGATGAAGATGAACTTAAAATATGGAGTTTCTAAAATGACTGAGGAGGTTTTGTTTGAGAAATGTAATCAATTCAAGTCAAGGGTTTCCCATAGTCAACAATTATGGTCACATTTACAGTAAATGGGTAATAAAACTGCATCATACCCATCATGAGTGACTATTTTTCAAGTAAGAGAACCTTTTTTGATAGACCTATTGTAGGACCCAACACATACTTTACTGAGGGTATTAGAACTGTTGTGCTGTTTTGTAATAAAATGCATTTCTAATGACCTGTGTTGGTTCAATTGTGGATTTTCCTATAGTAAAAAAATGATATATACAAATATATATACTGTAAGTGTATAAATAGTGCAACCCTGCATTTCTATAACTTACAATACATTTATTTATTACTTATACTAACACAAATAACTAAGTAGTAGTCGTACATCCTTGCTGCAAAATCTTCAGTGTAGTTCATTTACATGACAAAACAGTATATTCGCAACTCCCACCCCTGACATGTACAGTTTGGACTGTCCAATGAGAGCACGCAGCTATAAGAACCAACCAATGACGACAGAGCATTTCCGAGGCTTTCCGCTTTCCCCGAAGTTCTTGACAGATCCAACTCCAGATTGAGAGAATTCAAGATGGCTGCCACAGGTAAGAGTTTTACTTCTATCCAAATTATATTCAAAGACTTTGACGGAAGGAGATGTTTCTGTTATCTAGAGAATGTATACCACATCAGGCAGTTCCACGCATGTCAATTAAATAAGTCAGTCGTAGTGTATTCTGGGAAGGCACTAGAAGTAGCCAACAAGCTGACGCGGTGGTAAACCCCCCAAGTTAGCTAACGTTAGCTGGCTAGTAGCATAAAAGCTGTACACAGTAAAGCTAGCCACTGAGTTAGCCAGATAATCTCCTCTCCCACTCTATAGTCAGCTCTTAGCAAGCTAGCATGCACAGTTTCAAGTCGATTTGAGAGCAGTTTACAAAGCTTTGATAACTTTGCATTGTTAGTACTGTATTGCTATTATGTGACTTCATTTATACGTACTACTGTGCTATCGTTTAAAGCAGTTGGCTAGTTAGCTAAAGTCGTTTAAGTGTCGCCCCGAGAGAAACATGGCCTCCCAAAACTCGAAATGTCATATTGCATAGCACTCAAATCTTATGCTAAGTTCACTGGCTAGCATTAGCATCGTGCGATTGGTTAGCAGTTTTGCCAGACTGGTTTGCAGCGTTGACTGTTAGCGCTTCATTTCCACATTAATTTAAAGCTCAACCCGGTACATGCTTGGTTAACGTTACATCACTGAGGGTAAGTTAATATTTGTTCTGTTAGGTAATCCTAGCTGTAAACAGCGTTTGCCTGCGCCGCTAATTTAGACAGATGTACCCAGTACCAACCTGTCTCTCTTGTATCGCCAGACATGATTCAGAACTCTGGCAATTCATTGTTTTAATCTTCAGCGCCAAAGGTTTACACCAGTGTGAGAATTATTAAGAGTATATGACGACTCATTTGTGTTCATTTAGTGTATCCGGCATAATGTGTCGGCCAAACAAACATGCATTTTCAACACAACGTTATAAAGTCAAGAAATGTCCGTTCCGCTTGCATCAAGCAGACTAGTAATTCTTGTTATGCGGGACATGTACTATCTCTGCTAGCTTTTGACATTCAGCTCTCCATACAAATAAGGGCAGTGTTCCGAGGGTAGAGACACCCACCTCCACTCATTCATTTAATGTATTTTTCTTTTCTAATTAATTATCAGTCATGGACAACTCAAATCTGCCCGTAATCAGTTTGTTCTACCTTTTCATCATAACTTGTCTTTATGTATAATTTGGTACTTGCACATTGATGTACTGTACATTGGTAATGTTAATGGAAATGGTTTGTCCTGATTCATGTCCTTTTTAACAGTATTTGTTTTCCACAAGAACAGTATATCAATATACAATCATACAAAATACATATATAGTTAAGGTAAATAAATAAAACATAAACAAATAGAAAGAAATTATAATAAAAATAAACAAATATACATTTCATTTAAATTTTATTTGTGTAGCACCAAATAACAGAAGCTATCTCAGGACACTTTTAATATAGAGCAGGGCTAGACCAGTGCTTCCCAGCCTTTTTCCTTAAGGGACCCTTTGCCTACCATTTAGTAAACTGACAACCCCTGACTATGTGACATATTTTATGAATATTTCATATTCTATTCAAAACTGCAATGAGCCAAAATCGTGAACTTGTAACTGCAGACAGTTTGTGTAAAACAAGTGACTTGGATGAATTATTTCCTGTTTACGGAACTTTGTATACAATTCTATCTGTATTATAAATCATTTAAAAAAAACAATCATACAGACTTAACTAAACTAATAGGCATCTTTTTTGAAATTCAGCGGTTTTGTCCCTGATGCTTGACCATTGTTCTTTTAGTCAATTTATTTTACATTTATTTTTCTTCACAGAAGTGAACCAAATGCTGAGATATAGGCCTACTGTGTATATTTTTTTACTTTTCTAGCACGCCTTAAAGGCCTCATGGGGGGGCCATGAAGCTTTGGCGACCCACAGTGGTGGTCCCGACCCCCAGGTACCACTGCTCGACGTCATGGTCCTTTATAATAAACTTCTATTAAATATTTACAGATAGCAAACAATACCCACCCAAAAATGTTTTTCCTACACCAAATAATGGCCAGTGTTCATGTCTTCCAATCATACAGTCAGCATAAAGCAAGGCATGCTAGGCTTCCATATCAATCATCTCCAAATTCACTCTGTTGGCCCAGTGTGCTTTACAGGTCTGTGTCCTCAAAATATTTAATAACGAGAGCCTGCATTTAAATATGAAATGGCTTGTTTGGATTCATGTCCCTCTCTGATATGGGCACATTTGTGCTGCTTTGTCCGTGCGGTTGTAGATGTCTTTCAAAAGTAATATATTGTTTAGTTGTTTTTTGCAACCACGAACAGTGTCAAGGGTGTTTGGCTTTGTGCATTCTGTTGGATTCTCATAGTTGATTTCTTAGGAGTCGAACCCAATCGTCATATCTAGAACACAAAATTCCCTTCTTCCCAACTATCAGACCCACTTAATGTACGCAAGACATATATTCTGTTCAAACTGAAATATGTTTCTGTTGTTGCAGGTTTTAAGTAGAGGGCTAACTCTTCTGGATCCCACTGTGCATGAAGCTTTCCTGACGTTGTGCTGTCTAATTCCTGAGTCCCCCAGCTCCTCTTGTCTCTCATCATGTCCTCCACCTCCTCCTCGTACTCGTCCTCGGGAGAAACCAGCCCGGAGGATGTACCCCGAGGTGGGGGGACCATCCGAGTCTACCTCCCTAACAAACAGAGGACAGTGGTGAGACAGTTGGCTCCATACTGCTCTTTATCAATGACACATTGACAGAAAAACACATAAATATGAGTATGCTGTAACTAGATGAATGAGTGAGTGATCGATGACTGTTACCACCTCTGTGAACAAATTATGCCAGCACTTGTGAGTGTAATTACTCACACAGAATTTGACATCTTTCACAGAATGAGTAAGCTAGTGGACAGTTGGTGTCGGGTTTCAAAGATGGTGCCTGCTACCATCTTCCATTTGTTTGACTTATTCCTATCAGGCATAGTTGACTTGGTTTCATATTCTGCAGTTGTCCTGCCATTGTGATATTGTGCTAAATTGTAAGTCCTAATGATATTGGTTATGCATGGTAGTTAAAATTGTTTCCTCATGTCTTTCATATCTAAAGCAGCAAGTGGTGTATGTGAGCTTTACAATGCAGAACAATTGTAAACCTCAACAAGACCTGATTTATTTTTGCACCACAACCTATTGCTGAAAAATACTGCTAAATGGATATTTAGACAATGCATGAGCTCACGTAATGTCATCATCACCACACACAGAAACCATGATGAAAGAGATCTTTACTGGCTGAAGGAAATCCTGTCAAGCCAAAATTTGGCTGAGCTCTCCCAGTTTTCCTGCTTTTTCTATAAAGTGAACAGACATAAAACACCGTGTACCAAGTCTGTTTTGTATTACTATGCTAGAAATGCACATGTAATTGTGAAACATCTTGTGTGGTAATACCACAATGGAACCAGCAGCTGTGGTTGACTGACATCCCACAGTGTCATCTTTAAGAGCTTTGCTGTGGTCAGCATTATTATTTGAGGGGGAAAAGTGATCTGTACATCTGTACAATCTGTTGTGTCAAAAATAACTCCTGTGCAGCTGTCATTTCTGCTTATCAGTACTTCAAGTGTGTACTTGGCTTATGAAAGTCAATTCAAAGTCACACTTGTTGAAATGCATTTTCCTGTTCACAGGTGAATGTTCGCCAAGGGCAGACTGTGCACGAGAGTCTAGATAAAGCACTCAAAGTGAGAGGCCTAAGCCAGGAGTGCTGTGCTGTATTTCGCCTTCTGGAAGGGTAAGATTGGATTATTGTCCGCTGAATGTCCTCCGACACCGTATTGAGTTAATGAGTTGCATTCCTCATTGCCTGCATACAACAGCAAATAGTTGCCATGAGATCTACGCATTGTACAGCATTTTTGGGTCCAAAATATGTTTTTCAGAATTTCTTCCTCCTGCTCAATACACTTCAAAACTAGAATGGAAACATGAGGTACCTAGAGATAATACAGACCAAGGCCCTTTTTCCTCACATGTCCACATGGAAACATGGAAGTTATTAGGAGAAACTGCAAAACATAATAGGAACCTCAGGTTTGGAAATCTATGGATTTTAAAACTGATATATACAAACTGTCATTTGTCTCTCCAGTCGTAAGAGGCTGACAGATTGGGATACAGATATCACTCCTCTGGTTGGAGAGGAGCTTTTAGTCGAGGTCCTGGATGATATTCCCCTCACCATGCACAACTTTGTAAGTAGCGGTCAAACACACATACTCAGTTTACATGTTTATAGCTTCTCAGAAATAAATACTTCTCTGTATTTACAGAATACTAATCTCTCAGGAAGTACCTTTTTATATTTGGATTCTTAATTATTTTTTTTACCTAAATGTTCTTAATCATTGCTGTTTATAGAAGTAAATATATTGAGACCTCTTTATCTGTGCAGGTACGGAAAACCTTTTTTAAGCTGGCTTACTGTGATTTTTGCCACAAGTTTCTTTTTAACGGCTTCAGATGTCAGACATGTGGCTACAAATTTCACCAGCACTGCAGTAGCAAGGTCCCTACTGTGTGCGTGGACATGGATACAGTGAGCAAACGGTGAGTTGGAGATAAAATGTTTGATATCATGCAGTGATTCTGCTCAATTTATTGGTGCATGAATGTCCCACTTAATTCTGCTAGCTTTTTACAGGAGCATTAGACCTCATTTCACCATCTTCCCCAATTTGACCATTTGGCAGTAGTGTTTCTTTTTTTTGTTAAACATTCAAAAACAAGAGTATTTAGGACCATACATATTAAATAATAAAGGCAAGACAGCTATGCACTCAGTAAAGAAAGAAAAACCCTATCGCCAGCATTGTTGGTGCTACGATCATCAATTCAGTTTTATTTGTATAGCGCCAATTCATAACAGAAGTTATCTCAGACAACAGCAACGATGGGGGACAACGAGCAGTGACAATAGTAATAATAGTAGCTGTAGTAATAATAATAATAATACCTATAATAATACCTATAATAATAATAATAATAATAATAATAATTAATGATGATGATGATCATAATCATAATAACAACAACAATAATATCAGTAATATTAGCAATGGCAGTCAAGCAGGACCATGGCAGGAGGCTCCACCAGGATCCATGAGAACCTGCGAGACGAGAAAGCACAAGAACTCCGGGGAAGAAGTGAAGTTACTACTAACTAAGGGATGGTTCAGGACTCACCTGATCCAGCCCTAACTATAAGCTTTATCAAAGAGGAATGTCTGAAGCCTTCTCTTGAATGTGGTGAGGGTGTCTGCCTCCCGAACCACAACTGGAAGCTGGTTCCACAGGAGAGGAGCTTGGTAACTGAAGGCTCTGGCTCCTGTTCTACTTTTAGAGACTATAGGAACCACAAGTAGCCCAGCATTCAGAGAACGTAGTGTTCTAGAGGGGTAATAGGGTACTATGAGCTCTTTAAGATATGAAAGGACCTGACCATGAAGAGCTTTATAGGTGAGGAGGAGGATTTTAAATTCTATTCTAAATTTTACAGGGAGCCAGTGCAGAGAAGCTAGTACAGGAGAGATGTGATCTCTTTTCCTAGTTCCTGTCAGTACTCGTGCTGCAGCGTTCTGAATTAATTGGAGCGTTTTAGAGAGAAAGAGAAGCACTGTCATTATCCAATCATTTACAGAAGAACATGAGTATGTAAAAATGTGTTAGTAGTTGATAATTATTATCCAGGGTTCTCACATACCCTGGAAATCCTTGAACACCTGGAAAATTAGAGACTAGTTTTCCAGTCATGCAAACACCAGGTAATTGATTAAAATTACCACAATTCCTGGAAATAACATGTGTTGTCCTGGAAAACTTGAATTGTATTTTTTCCCCCCACTCACAGATTACGTAAACCTTGGTGCGTGTTTTGTTTGAGACAAGCTGTTGGTAGGATGTACTGCGCACTATCATATTTTAAAGCATGTTTGCCACTCCATGTTAAAACTACTGTAAGCTGTAGTCCATTCACCTGAGACTGCAGCAAGAAATTGGCTGCAATGTTTTTTTGTTTTTTGGCTGGGCAATCTGAAATGAGTGTTCTGTCTGACACCTTGTCTCATTATGTTTCTGGTTTTGTACCATCCCTTTTCCTCTGTTTTGTCCAGGTGTGATCCCAATACTTGCACAGATGAGTACCCACGGATACTATTGCCAGATAATTCCCCATCGCAGAGCAACCTAGCCTTAACCCCAGAGCCTGCTGGGTAAGGTCCCATACTAAAGAAATCCTATTCAAACTGAAAGTTATAGTTACTCTAGTGTTAGTCAGTGAAAGTGATATTCAAATACAAATTTGACCATTTTACTTGATCACTCAGGATGGACCTCCTGTCCCCAACCTCGGCCTTTCGCTTTCCCATTCCGGGTGGAGATGGCCAGTCTCTACAGAGGCATCGCTCCACCTCCACTCCCAATGTTCATATGGTCAGCACAGTGGGCCCTGCTGGTGCCAGCATTATAGAGGTCAGTGTTGGTAATGTTTGGATAAGTTTGTTACGAGGACCCAATTGTATCTGTCGGGCGGCTGTGGTGCAAAGGCAGAGCAGGTTGTCCCCTAATCGGAAGGTCCTGGTGCCACATGTCAAAGTATCCTTCAGCAAGATACTGAACCCCGAATTGCTCCTGATGCCGTGCATTGCGACAGGGGTGCATTATGTCGGCAGGATCATTTAAAAGGCAACCATGACTACATTGTGCGTCTGAAATTTAACAGCAGCGGGCTGCCGCTCCAAAGTCAACATAGAGGAAACACTGGGATATCTGCATATGAATGCAGAGTCTTTGGCACTCAGATATCACAGATATCTTAACCGAAATCTGTTTTTCTTGTCATTGTATATCAAGTTGCTAATCAGATTGCACTGCTCGGATATTTTTCATTTTCCACATATTCCCTGGCTACACTGCAAGCCCTAAAACATGGGCTGGTTCAGAGATGCCATTTACTAACTGGTGTATGAAGTCAATGTCATGAAATCAAATGTAAATTTATAGTGATGATAATTTGAATGTTGTTTCTCTTCTCTATTTTAGGAAGCACTAAAATTCAACAACACAATAGGTATGTTTTTAGATTGTATTGTTTTCCTTTGTTTCAGAATATTCATTTGTAATATTACATGTTGTGTTATGCTCCTTTTTTGAAGCACTCTCTTGTCCTGCCTTCTCATTCCTGCAGGTCCTGAGCCCTCACCGAAGCCCTCCACCAGCCCACCATCTTCTCTTGGCTCTCCGGGGAGGAGGCCGCCCAAGTCTCCCTCCGAGCACAAGGAGCGCAAGCCCTCTTCGTCCGACGACAAAAAGAAAGTGGTATGTGGTCTTTGAGTTCACAGGTCATTGGTTGTCTTCAGACAGGTGTACTAACAGCAAAATCTTTGAAGGGCCGTTCATAAATTGGTTGTGCAAAAATTCCCCAAAGAGGGATTTACTTATGGTTAGTTAGTTAGTTGTTTAAAACATTCAATCCATGTGTTGTTTCAGCACCGAGGGGGCTACAGAGACTCAAGTTACTACTGGGAGGTGCACTCTCGAGAAGTCAACATTCAGAAGAGAATAGGTGCTGGCTCCTTTGGAACAGTCTTCAAGGGCAAGTGGCACGGAGACGTGGCAATCAAGATCCTTAAAGTCACCGAGCCAACACCTGAGCAGTTACAGGCCTTCAAAAATGAAATGCAGGTCTTGCGGTGAGAAGTCCTGTCCATGTTTTACCTCTCTTGAAGCCTTGAAATTTATTTAAAAAAGGACACTGACAACTGCAGCTGTTTTTTGTCTAACAGGGAAAATATATGCACGCTCATCATCAATAGGCTTTCACTGCACTTATGCAATCAGTAAAAATTTGTAAAAAAACAACGATAAAATTAAAGCTGCAAGCAGCATTGGGCGGGACCTTTTTTGCTTGTCCCATCATGAGACACATGCGTACCAATTTTCAAACATGGCGGTCATACTTGTCTTGGTGGCTGATTCTGGGGGGCGTGGCTAAGCCATTTTGCGACACCCATCTAAGGGACCAGGACAATACCTTAGCCTTTGCCACGACTGAATTTTGTGCAAAGTTTCATGAGTTTTTGAGCATGGGAAAGCCTCCAAAAATGCAGTCGAAGGGGCTAAAAATCTTAATAATAGCCAAGAATAAGAAACATAGTAAATACAATATGAACCTCCCAGCGGTCGCTGGCTCGGTCCCTAATAAATTGGCTTTAAACAATTTAGACGGAAGCTATAATAACTCTGTGGACACCACTTTTACCAACAGCTCATATTGTTGCCAGATTTCTGTTTTATTTAACTCTTAATAGTAACCGTTCTTTGACTCCACCTCCTAATGTGATAGTGAATGAGGCAATGGAATTTCTAACACTATTACCATTGCTGTTCTCTGCAGGAAAACCCGTCATGTCAACATCCTGCTGTTCATGGGCTACATGACTAAACCCAACTTTGCCATCATCACACAGTGGTGTGAAGGCAGCAGCCTGTACCGCCATCTGCATGTCACAGAAACCAAGTTTGACACTATGCGTCGTATTGATGTGGCCAGACAGACAGCACAGGGCATGGAGTAAGACTCACCACTGGATTCCGTTTAACCATTAACACTTTGATTGAGATAAATTATTTTATGAGATAATCATGTTTACATTTCATAAAGTTTCCTAATATGTTATTCAAATACTGTTAAACGTGTTTCAGCTTTGAGAAAGCTGATTGCTTAATGCTGTGGTTTTTTAATACTGTGCAGGATGCAATAAGTCAAAGTTTGGTGCTCTGCCTCTTTGTTTGCAGATGAAATAATTTTTTTTTCTCTCTCTCTCTTTCAGTTATCTTCATGCAAAGAACATAATTCATCGAGATCTGAAGTCAAACAGTATCCTTGCATTGTCCAGTGGTAGCTTTTTTTTTAACTGTGTTGCTGTGTAGATTTCTGTGAATAGACAGCTGTAGACCATACTAACCACAGCTAGCAAAGGTTTAACTGCAACTAACCTTTAAATAGACAGAAATGTATAGAGCTGTCAACGTATTAGGACAGTGATATGTTCTTTATTTTGTCTCTGTGCTACGGAAATTAAATAAAATATTGTTGACTTTCAGCTTTTACGGGTGTCCTCATCCATATTAGGTGAACCGTGTAAGACACATTGCTGTTTTCACACTGTTCCCCAATTTTGAGATATTGTAGCAGGATCCTAAACATACAGGCAACCATGACCTTTTTACGCTCAAGCCTCAAAGGCTTGAGCGTAAATGTGAAAACGTTTTGTTAATTAAATTACTGCCACTTGGACAAGTGCTCACTTGTAAGAACTGTTCCCATTGTTTTCTATGGGTAGTTTCCCTTCTACAGCTCTCACTTCTCATAATGTCTTGCTTGTTTAAGGTTTTGGTGCTAACTAATACACCAGCTGTCTGTTGGAACATTTCCTGAGCACTGCTGCTAGATATTTTCCTCCACGAGGGCTGGACTGTTAAGATTGGTGACTTTGGCTTGGCTACAGTAAAGTCTCGGTGGAGCGGCTCTCAACAGGTAGAGCAGCCGAGTGGATCCATTCTCTGGATGGTAAGCCTCTTGACATTAATGGTCCAGTGTGTAACTTCAATAATTTCTTCATACTTCAATAATTTCTTCATCGAAGCCATCAACCTGTCTGTTAGACCCGATCCCAACTAGGCTGCTTAAAGAAGTTGTTCCCTTAATTGGCACTTCTTTACTGGATATGATTAATCTTTCTTTATTGTTAGGATATGTACCACAGTCCTTTTTAAAGTAGCTGTAATTAAACCCCTTCTTAAAAAGCCCACTCTTGACCCAGGGGTTTTAGCCAACTATAGACCGATTTCTAACCTCCCCTTCCTCTCTAAGATTCTGGAGAAAGTAGTCGCCAAAGAGTTGTGTGACTTTCTACATAACAATAGTTTATTTGAGGATTTTCAGTCAGGATTTAGAGTTCATCATAGCACAGAGACAGCTCTGGTTAAAGTTAATAATGACCTTTTGATTGCTTCTGACAATGGACTTGTCTCTGTACTTGTATTATTAGATCTTAGTGCTGCATTTGACACCATTGACCATAATATTCTTTTACAGAGACTTGAGCATCAAATTGGCATTAAAGGAACCGCACTAAGCTGGTTTAAGTCATATGTATCAGATCGTTCGCAGTTTGTACATGTTAACGATGAATCTTCAATAAATACTACAGTTGGTAATGGAGTTCCACAAGGTTCTGTACTTGGACCAATACTATTTACTTTATATATGCTCCCTTTAGGCAACATTATTAGGAATCACTCCATTAACTCCACTAACACTATTATGCAGATGATACGCAGTTATATCTATCGATCAAGCCCGATGAAATTAATTATCCAAATTACAAACATGTCTTAAGGACATAAAATCCTGGATGAGCTGCAATTTTCTGATGTTAAACGAAATTCTTGTTATTGGCCCCAAAAACCTCAGAGACTCACTGTCTAAAGATATAGTTACTCTAGATGGCATTACCTTGGCCTCTAGCACCACTGTCAGGAATCTTGGACTTGTCTTTGATCAGGATTTGTCGTTTAACTCCCACTTAAAGCAGACCTCCAGGACTGCCTACTTTCATTTACGTAATATTACAAAAATTAGACACATCCTATCACAGACAGATGCAGAAAAACTAATCCATGCATTTGTTACTTCAAGGCTGGATTACTGCAACTCTTTATTATCAGGTTGCCCCAATAAGTCCATTAAAACGCTCCAATTAATTCAGAACGCTGCAGCACGAGTACTGACAGGAACTAGAAAAAGAGATCACATCTCTCCTGTACTAGCTTCTCTGCACTGGCTCCCTGTAAAATGTAGAATAGAATTTAAAATCCTCCTCCTCACCTACAAAGCTCTTCATGGTCAGGCCCCTTCATATCTTAAAGAGCTCATAGTACCCTATTACCCCACTAGAACACTACGTTCTCTGAATGCTGGGCTACTTGTGGTTCCTATAGTCTCTCAAAGTAGAACAGGAGCCAGAGCCTTCAGTTACCAAGCTCCTCTCCTGTGGAACCAGCTTCCAGTTGGGGTTCGGGAGGCAGACACCCTCTCCACATTCAAGAGTAGGCTTAAGACATTCCTCTTTGATAAAGCTTATAGTTAGGGCTGGATCAGGTGAGTCCTGAACCATCCCTTAGTTATGCTGCTATAGGCCTAGACTATCGGGGGATTTCCCATGGTGCACAGAGCTCCTCTCTTCCTCTCTCTTTCTGCACTCATTCATGTTCCATTAATGCATGTTACTAACTTCACTTCTTCCCCGGAGTTCTTGTGCTTTCTCGTCTCGCAGGTTCTTATTGATCCTGGTGGAGCCTCCTGTCATGGTCCTGCTAGATTGCCATTGCCAATACTGTTGTTACTGTGCGTCTCTCTCTCTCTCTCTCCCTCCCTCCCTCCCTCCCCAACTGGTCGAGGCAGACGACCACCCACCTAGAGCCGAAGGATCTGTCCTAGGTTTCTGCCTCTTAACAGGCAGTTTTTCCTTGCCCTTGTCGCCAAGTGTTTGCTCATGGTGGTACTGTTGGGTCTCTGTAAATAATGTTTTAAAGAGTTCCGTCTAGACCTGCTCTATTTGAAAAGTGTCCTGAACTTCTGTTATGAATTGGCGCTATACAAATAAAATTGAATTGTAATGTTTGCACTTTTGAAGGTGCCTTCTGACAAAGTTGATATTCAGTGTATGCCCAGCTTTATAGGTATTAGTTGTGGCCCATGTGAATTTATCGGCTCAGATAAATGATCACATTAACAGGGATTGGAAACAATGACAGCCGGTTTAGGTCATTACACAAATTAAATGCTCACTTTTGTCTGTTTGTTCTTTTTTTCCCCCCAAGGCTCCCGAGGTGATCCGAATGCAGGACAGCAACCCGTATACGTTCCAGTCTGATGTATACGGCTATGGAGTAGTGCTGTTTGAGCTCATGTCAGGGACCCTGCCTTACTCCAATATCAACAACAGAGATCAGGTTATATAACACTACCTCCTCTTTGTGTTTACACTGCACTCACTGAGTATCTGATTAATCAGATTCATCTTTCTGAAAATTGTGTCTGCACTCTAACCGTCTCCACTGTTTATACCAGCTGAGAACACACTTTACTTTCTAATCATTAGGAAGAGCTGGATATCAAATATCCACCCATATACACTGCTGTGTTAGGATTTTAAGCAGTAGTGTATTTGTTACAGGCTTACTTATAACAAACTGCACCACATACTGACTGTCTGTAGCCTGAAGTTGCTACAGATGTTCAGTTTTTTTATTACACACCAAAAAAAACATTTTAAATAAAAAAGGAGGGCTTTCAGGTGGCGCAGGAGCAAAAATCCACCCACCACTGCACCTGCGTGTACTTGCTGATAAGGCTTCTGTGTCTCCAGTTCAGTTGTGTGTTGCACTTAATACAGCTGGCAACTTGAGATTTCAGAAATATCACGTACAGTTGGAAATCTGTTCTGCGAGATGAAAGGTCAGGAGAAGATGACAAAGATGTTTTTTTATTATCACTGAACTTAACAACTGAAACTGCTGTTTTACTCTCCTATGTTGGGGTATAAAGGATTTATTTTGACAAAACCAAAGATGGTGATTATTAATAGACTAACAAAGACTGTTTTGGTGAGTTTTATTTAGTTTCTGGACAGTTTGAAGTGTGTTTTACAATTATCTGCAAGGTAAAAATACTGGTTTTGTCCATATAGTCTGGTCGTCAGAGATATTGTCTTCAAATTGCTTGTTTTGTCTGACCAGCAGTTCAGTTAAACTGAACATTCAGTTAACAGTGATGTAAAACAGAAAAGCAGCAAATCGTCACAATGGAAGTGCGGGAGTTATTTTACAGGTTATCATTTTACATTTTTGCTTGAAAAAAGAAGCGAAGGATTAATCATCAAAGTGGCTGCAAAATCATTTTTGGTTGATCACTGGTGCTGTCAGATTTCAGTAACTGTCTTCTCTTTGTTGTTTTTCTCAGATAATCTTTATGGTTGGACGCGGTTACTTGTCTCCGGACCTCAGTAAGCTGTATAGTACCTCACCCAAGTCAATGAAAAGACTCATCGTTGACTGCCTGAAGTTCAAACGTGATGAGAGGCCCCTGTTTCCACAGGTGAGTGTATGGGTTACACATGTGTCAGTAGAGGTGGGCGATATATATCGTTTGCGATAAACGTCATTGTTGTTTGACGATGTGCAAATTTCCATTATCGAGTATTTAAATTACTTCACAAAAACAATGAAACGCCCGCGGAAACTCCTCACATCCATTAATACACGTGCAGCAGCGCTCTCTACAGCATGGCAGGATTCAGTCACACAACTAGGGCCTACGTGATCACATGGCGTGATCACGTGACCTCTCGTTAGCATCCTCCTTGCAACAGTTTAGCAGCGCTGGATGGTAGAGAAAAATACAAGCACCTCCAGTCCCTGAAGCTACCGGTACTTCAGATGATTTAGTGCCGAGACGTGGGTCCTATGGGCTTCAGCGTTCAGAGCGCTAGCGCCTTCAGCGGAAAAGATGTCAGCGGAGACGGGTTTTTTAGCGCAGCGCTCAGAGCGCTCAAGTTGAAATCTGTTCAACTTTAACACCGCTGGGCGCCGGAAAATGAGTTTTGAGCGCTCTCAGCGCTGTAAACGCGTTTGGTGGACACAAGTACAGCTCAGACAATTCTAATGACATTTTAAAGGATATCGACTGATTATCGTTATCGCCAAAATCCCAAAAAATATTGAGATATTATTTTTGCCCATATCGCCCACCCCTATGTGTCAGTAAGTATGCCCACAATTAGCACAAGCACTGTATCATGTAGTATAAAGTGAAGCAGCAGTGGAACAACCTTTCTTTAAAATGACGGCAGCTACTGTCTGTCACAGTCTTTTTTGATGCTCACCACTGTGCCACTAAAGTCCGGAACCTTTTTTTTTCCTAATTTTAATTTTGATTGTTTTTTCAAAAAGACACACATTATTGGCTCGGTGTGTGTGTATCATACAACATAGATCAAAATATCACAGCAAACTACACTAAGCCTGATAGGGAAAGCAATGGTACTAGTGCAGAGGTCACTGTATCAATGAAGGAGATATTCTTGGAACTAGAGGTGGGCGATTATATATCATTTGCGACAATATCGTCATTGTTGTTTTGACGATGTGCAAATTTCCATTATCAAGTATTTAAATTAATTCGCCAAAAATATTGAAACGCACGCGGAAACTCCTCACATCCACTTAATACATGGTGCAGCAACGCTCTCTACAGCATGGCAGGATTCAGTCACACGACTAGTGGGCCTACGTGATCACATGACATGATCCCATGACCTCTCGCTAGCATCCTCCTTGCAACAGTTTAGCAGCACGTTGTGATGGTAGAGAGAAAATGCAAGCACCTCCAGTCCCTGAAGCTACCGGTACTTCAGATTAGGGATCGACCGATGTGGATTTTTTAGGGCCGATGCCGATCCCCCCCATCAGCCTTAGCCGATGACCGATACGGACTGCTGATTTTCTTGAGCCGATATTTGGAGCAAATACTACTTTTGCTCCCTCAATTTACATCATAAAAATTACACAATGATGATAACAAATTTTACGAATCTCAATTTTGAAAAAAGGAACATTTATTGAAATTAAAAAAGGTGAGGTAGAACAAGAACAAGTAAACAATATTTAACAAATATTAAAAACAGGTGAGGTAGAACAAGTAAAAAAAGTTTAGTGCTGCAAATATTGAAAATAAATATGTAAACATAATAAAAATTCTGAAAATAAATATTTAAGCATAAATAAAATAATGACACACAGTAGCAAAAATAATCTCTAAGATCAGATCAAACTCTTTACCCCACACAGAGGAGTTTCAAAGACATTATTGGTGATTTGTGGAAAAGAGAAATGTAAAAGATCACCATATAAGTTTTTAAAATGTCACTTGTGATATTAAATATATTAATGAGTTTAGGCTCCTGATGATCAGTGTAACCAAAACAGAGGGCGGTCATTTCACACACCCTGGATTGCTAATGCTAACGTGTGCAAACGGCTCTAAACACTAGTAAGGCCATCACGGTGCACTTGTCTGGTACATGATAACGTTAACACAAATTAATATTCAAGTACGTATAAAACACATCTCATCATTAAAGCTCTTCTTGAGGGGGGGTTGTGCTATGATATCGCCGCGATGGCAAGGGAACTCCGCCCCACTCCAAGTAGGGAGAGAGGGGGAGAGAGAGAAACACACACACACCCAGCTCCAAGGAGGGAGAGGGAGAGAGAAACACACACACGTGTCCAAACCTCCAGCCAGGTGGTCGCTAAATAAAACTGCAACACCACGGAACCACGGAACATCGACATTACTTAATCCCATGACCAGTGTTCGTAACAGCTACCGTATGAATACATATAGCCACAATGGCAAGCAGTTTTATAGACGAGGCATTCGGCATTCCTGTTTACCATTTGGACCCACAAACTTGCTTAGCTATAGTTTCAAGCAAAACACACACAGAGCATGCATTTGGCATTCGTGTTTCCACATGTTCTCCAGCAACACGGAGCTGCCTGTGGATGCCTGTCTGTAAATAATGCCGGATCGGCAAACGCAGCAGCCCGCATCGGCCAATGCCGATACATGTAAAAAAACTCAAATCAGCCGATAATATCTTGGACTTGGGGTCCAATAAATTCTGTTAAAATGTTTATAATTGATCAAGTGATTCCCCTGACACTTTAAACCATGACCCACAAAGTCAGAAATCTTCAATTCTCACACTGACTTTAATCCAGGTCATTCATTTGTTTTCTGTGAGAGACTGTATGACTATTGTCATTTTACTTATTGCTGTTGTCTGGCAGAGTTCCATATGTTATTATTCTAAATGCCGTCCAGATATAAGCTATCAGTGCAGTTTTTTGGGGGGAAATGTCATATTGACAGCTGCCTTTACATTTGGTTTTCTTTCATCAGATCCTGGTAGCAATTGAACAGGTTCAAGACCTACTGCCAAAAATCGAGCGGAGTCGCTCAGAGCCGTCGCTCCACCGGGCCGTCCATGCAGAGGACCTGAACCCTCTCCTGTTCCACACCACCAGGCTGATGCCCCTCTAAGGTCCCCACAGCGCTGGGCAGAGATGCCGTCACCCTGTTCTGATCCACAACATTCTCGTGCCTCAGAGAGGCCACAGGCTGACTATCCTGACAGACTGCGACCCCCAACTCACTCCCAGCCCCTCAAGAGCCCTGGAGCTTCAGCCCTCAACACAAAACTCAGTAACTGCAGAAATAACCGTTTAGTTTGATAGTAAATCTTCTTTTCGTTCCACAAGTGACGAAGATCTTCTCATTCGTGAAATAATTGTCTGCTGTATCTAGAAGTATATTAAAAGGAGCTATTTGAGGTTTAAAAACAGACATGTTTCGCACAAAAGTTCAGTAAAATATTTTTGGACCTTTTTTGAGGAGCGCTGTGGGCATAGGCAAAAATTAAATTCAGTTTATCAGCCATAGCGCTGGAGCTGCTGCTTCAGGTCATCTGATCAGCTCACATACTTCAAATGCTCAGTTGTCATGGGCCCCTTTCTGTCTAATGCAGTATAATGGGATGGAAAGCAAACTGAATGGTTGTTTGAGAGTGTTTTGTAAAGGATTGGAAATGAGTGCACATGCAACAACAAAACATGAGGAGGCAGACGAAAAGAAAGAAAAAACTATTGAATATTATATAATATATTTTGCCTTGAATAGACCCTAACCCAACTTAAGAAACTGGACTGTGCAAAAAGGTTCAGTGATTAATGAATAATAGTCACATACTTGGTGAAAGTGTCTGGATCTTTGAGAATCAAAATGACCTTTTCTTCACCTCAGAATAATCTAATTTGCATAGATGTCCTTAAGTTCCTCTTGGACCTTAGTTCCCGTTGTTGCAATGGACTGAAACAGTTTAAATCCAAAATGTGTAAGTTGAATAATGTAATTGGCTGTGAAATGACCACTGTAATGTCTGAGGGGTAGAGGTATGCATTTTAATTCACTTATTCCTCTGAGTCTTAAAACTGTGGGAATTTTACAACAGCATGCCAAGTTCAACTGGTTGGATACATTTTCTCCAAAGCCACTGAAAAAGAAAATTGCCCCCCATTTTAAGATGCTGTCAATTCCTCAGACAAATTAATTTCATGTTCCTTGTAATGCTATTTACCTTACTCCACTGGGGTTGCTGGGATTTTTTCATCTTGTTGTAATAAGGTCAGACAGAGTACAGGATTAAATTGTTAGGACCAATATTTTTCTTTTTGTACAGGAAGGTTTGTCTGATCATTTAGTTTCTGATGTTTAACATTTTCAGGACAAAATATTCCAAGTTATCCCAAGCATTTTTTTTTTTGCCGGTTCAAAGAGAGGCAACATTTCAATGTTGTGTAAAATCAGCCCAGTTTATTGGTCTGCCCCTAATATGCCCATGACATGACATTAATGTGTGCTTATGTACCGTTCACAAGTCTTTTTTTAAATTCCTTTCATAAGTGTTACAAGAATCATGCTCCAGATTGCAGATGAGATGGGTCTATAAATAAGGTTGTTTTCTTAAATCGCTGTTATTTTTTAGCCCAATGAGGAACTGACAGGCCTTTAGTAAGTTGCAGTCCTAATATAAATGGTTATTGTATTGCTGCTACATATAGTGAATTTCCTGTGCAGTTTTTTTCTACACGTCAGAGCCGAGACATATTGGGGCTGGACTGCACCAACACAGCACACAGCCTCAGCAAGTATTCTGCTGATTAGTCTTAAGTTTTTTCTTAATGCTCTGAAACACTGCACCGTGGATTAGCCACCAGTCCATATTTCTCAGATACATGCCCACACACATAAATTCTTACTTTAGCTGTTAATGATGCAAAAACACTGAGAGTAACTTGGTTAATTAGTCACCCCGATTTCGAATTACGCATGCAATTAATGTTCTGCAAATACCGAAGACTTCAGTACTCTGGCGGACAGTAAGACGTGTCGTCAGAATGTGTAAAAGCATAAAGTGTTTACCTGTTCCAAATGGCCACGCCCAAAAGCACCATCTCCAAGAACTCTGTCTTCTAGCCTTGACACCATGAGTCATTCAAATCAGGGTGAGGGTGCACCTTTTTAAGGACAGTCTCAAATCAGAGAATTCTAGAAATTGTCCGACCCATCTTCACAGTCCCACTGTGAATCATGTTTGCCGGTCATCCCATTGTTCATGTTTGTGGAGCTAGCTGGCAAGTTGGGTAGCATAAATCATTCTCTTTAGTATCAAATCCAAAGAGTAAAAAGAGGAAGCACGGAAACCTGTTGGTAGCCAGGGTGGCCCACTGATCCAGGGTGGCATGTGGCTTTTGTTAGATTCACAAAACATTTCTGTGTGGACCTTGCACATTCACCTTGCTAGCATGTTTTGTGGACGCTTATACACTAGGGATGTCCTGATCTCAACTGAGATCTGTATTTGGGCTGATGAAGGGATTTTTTTATTCTGATAATTATCAGCTATATTGAGCCAGATGTGATGCTTTGGTTTATGTCAGGTCTTACACGTGTTTTTACTTGCACAGCAACACAAAGAATCAATACGAGTCAGAACTTGATATCGGATACTCAATATTAAAATACTTGGATCAGGATAGGGGGCAAAAAAACGTTATCAGGACATCCCTAATATATACCCTAATTATTATGTAGAGGCCATTGAATTACTGTAATGGAGTGGCAACCCAGACAGTTTCCCTGCTTGATCGAGTGATCAAAGACAATGGACAATGAGAATTTGACAGGCGCCCACTGTTTCTTGTTTGTCGGTCTCACTCCCTTCTTTCCTTGCTCTCTCCTTGGGAAAACCAAGCAGTGACTTTTTAATCCTGTTGCTCGGTGCGATGTGTGAATTAGGCCTGTAACTAGTCGCTGTTGTAGTAAATGGACTCACTGAGGTAGAAACTTTTGGATTAAAGGATTGTGTTTGACCCCCGTAGGCAATGTCCAGTACTCAGGTGTATACTGCTTCATGATGCAATAATGTATACTAACTTTATTTTATAGTTTCTAAAACGTGTGAAACAAGCTGCCTTATGGAACTACTAGATGTGGTCAAACTAAAGCTACAGATACACAAAGACCTTCTTAAGTACTGATATACCCCCTTTCACCAACGCAAACCCAGTGCTAGTGCTGGTTTACAGTTGGTTCAACTCGCGAACCTTTTAGGAACCACGGGCTAGAAAGCCACCATAGGGTCACATAATTAGTCCCTGTGTATGTCTCCAACATTAGCTGTTGTTACCAAGGTTAGCTGGCTAACTTACCCAAGCAAGTGTACAACTACAGTGTTAAGAACATTACATCAATGATACAGTTCATGTAAGAAATTAGTAGCTTTGTTTGCTTGGGTAATGTTAGCTAACGTTGCACGTTGTTCTTGGTTCTAGACCAACAAAGTGTTGGTGGAAGAACTAGTTTTCCTGGCCGAGAGCCGGTTCTTTGGCCGTAGAAACACAGAACCGATTGGAGATTAGGCTCTGAACCAGCCCTCAGACATCATTGGTGGAGAAGGGGTAACGGTGGATCCATAATGCTGTGTGGTGCTCTCTGGTTGTTCTGTGCACTGTGAGCATATGTTGACATTGAGAAGCCCTCGGGACTCTGCTACTTGGATGGATTATAAACCTAATCCTGTGAAAAAGCACTGTGCCTCAATGTGGAACCATCAAAAGCATACATGGCAGAGGGGCTTTGTGCTGGGATCTCCTTTACTCGATCCACACCTGGAGCTGCTTCTCCTCTCAGCGTCCCATGTGATCTGTGACACTAGTGGAAAGAACTGTATTCCCTGAAAGCTCGTCTCTCGTCAGTGCCTCCACTACCAGTGGAAAGGATTTTGATGGGTTTTGGCTCATGCCTGAAATTCTGTCAGATTTTTAGGACTATAAACCATAATAATCCAATCATGTAGTTTTGAAGCAGACACTTGACAGTGCACAGTGTGGAGCAAACGGATAATGTATAACTATAAAACTTTTGGATTTGATAACGTTTTCTGTTGAGAAGTGTTTCAAATTTAAAAATACCAACTGAGAAAACTGTTCTATTTTGTTCTTTGGAACTGTTCAGTACTGAGTTCATTGCTCTGTGGTGTAATTGGTAATATAGGAAGTATTAGCACCATGATACTAGAGCCACATGGTTTGTACTGTGGACTAGCAGCAGCTGTGAGGTGATGTTTTGGGTGGTGTTTGGTGTTCTGTGAACTGGCCTTGCTTCTCTGTACATTCTTTGTGATGTGACTGAGCATAAAGCAGGACAGATGTTAGCGTCTGTTGGTCATTAATGACTGACAGCCGATCAGATGTTGAGATTCTAATGTTAAAGTAGGGGCTGGGTACCCGAACTGTTCTTACTCATTCCAGTTTCAATGTGTGATTGTGGTCATGGGGATATTGGTTTAACCAGCGGCGGTTGGGTTGGGGATTTGTGAACCAGGGTTGGGAAAGACTTTTGTCTTTCTCTTATTTATTGATGTCTTTGCAGATGTTCTCGTCTCTTTGAGGTGGATTAAATGTTTACAGAGAACAACATTCACACCATCACAGGACACTCTCTCTTTAACAAGAATGTTCTTTAGGCACGGTACTGTCTGCTCCTTTTTTTAAATGACTTTTATTCTGATACCGTCTCCTGCAGGGGCATTTCTAATGGCTTTTCTTTTAATTGTCTTGAACAAACTAGGTATCAAACATTTTAGCAACATTCTGTTTATAGGGTTTCACTACAACAGCATTTATTAATGGCAACACTTCAAAATACTGTAAAAGTAACTTTGTTATACGGTGGGCTACGTGTTGAACTTGAGTGTGTCCTGTGATATGTAAGTGTAGCTTTTAAGTATTTCAGTGGCCTAAGGCTGCTGAACGAAAAAAAAAAACACCTTTTCTACACAAGCTGCTTTTTATAACCTTCCAGCAATAGCAAGGACAGAATGTCAAAGTCAGCATGCTTTACAATAACGTCGCACCAACTTTCCTGTAAATCAATGTCACAAGCCCCCCCCACTCAGAGGAGGACGACTCTTTCCCTGTACAGAAAGGATAGCGAGTCATTTTGGCTTAGTTTTGTGTTAGCGTGGGGTCTCCCAGAGAGGGCCATGTTCATCTGGTGTCTAAAAGGAAGAGGGAACAAGTGCCACGGTTACTGGAAATCCCTGTTAAAATGGACCCGACGCACAGAAGACACTGTGCTGCCCGCAGCAGAGGGGGAAACCAGGCTTAACACAGCTGTTTGTTTCAGAGAAGATGTGAGAGCTGTATGAGAGTAGTTATTTTTTCTTTGTCTTTTCATATCTCTAGGTGAATTGCAATACTTGTGTTTATAGTTTCTGAGGTGTCAGGGGTGTTCAGTTTGCAATAAATGGTATATTCTGCTGTGTACAGTTACTTTTTTTTTATTACAAAAATTGTATTTGTTTCTATTTTTTGTGTGATGGTTTCAAAAAGAACAAAATTATTTTAAAGTGTAAAGGAAATCTTAGTATTTTTTTAGTTTTGTTTTTTTTTTGTCTTAAAATATTGATGCAGGATTTATTCTTTAAATAAATTTCGTCTGTGTTACTTGTCTTGTATTCAACATTTTGTACAATCTCATCTGCCTCCTTTCAATTGGGACAAGGAAATGTTGACACTTTTATATTTATTTAGGGGTTAATGAATTTAAAACACTTTTTGCTGCCGCTTACATAATGAGATGTAGAGAAACATAAGTGTCAGGCAGTTGTTGTTTTTTGTTCCTTTAAGAGGAACCAACTTATGGTTAAACAGGGTCAAAAGAGGAAGTGGTTACTTTTATAGCTGCGAGCCTCGATGCAGGAAATCATCTGAAAACATGAAGGCAGTCAAAATGGAGGCTATGGTGCAGTCTTAATACTGCGAACAATACTTTATTGGTTTACTATAAGATTTCTAAAAGTTTTTTAGTTTGAAAAATTACAGTGGATGTGATATTTTACAGGAATTGTTCACTTAAAGAAATTAGAAATTAAACAGCAAGCAAGTCATATAGAACAGCTTTCATTTCACACAGCTCAGACTGAAATGGCAATTTAGAATTGTCATCTTGGAAACATTTTTGCCTTCAATGAATGACAAAGATTGTTCTGAGTCAGCCTCAAAAATGTTTTGTTATTACGGTAAAATGAAAGCTAATAAATTCACAAAATCATCTTTTTCTGATCTTAAGCGTTTTCAGAAACATACCATGCCTTCTCTAGCCATCCACAAGGACAGAACTGTACAACAGCATTAACTAAAACTACATAGACAAGATATATTGTGAGAGAATATTGTCTATAACTTGTAGCCCAGTCCAGATCTACTGATGTGGCAGAAGAGCGTCATGGCAAAACACATTCCCAAGACCTGTCAACAAACAAGATTTTAAAAGAAATTGTAAAACATGACAGATTAAGTTGTTGCCTGATGTTTGTCACAGAATAGAACACAGAGAGCTGTTACCATATGTAAAAAACAACAACATATTTCTTATTATTTTTGGAAGCAAACACATTTTTGCAATTGAGCAGATTTACTATTTAACCTTATAACAATCCCACAATGCAATTTGTCACACTTTATGAATGCAAAAATCCGTCACTGGACACTAGTATCCAGAAATGTGTTTACTATAAAGGGAACTGTTGATTCTACTATATAGGGAGTTGTGAATTAATGAAAGCACTATTGCCACCATATGTAGCTGCTAAGGAGTTCATCTGAAGTCGTGTTTATGGCCAACCCTAACCTGTAAGTAAGGGCCGATCTAGAGAATGTCCATGACATGTCCAGAAGCTGGTATGGAGACTTTAAGGGGTGGCAAACATGGGAATATGGGAATTTAATTACAATAACGTATATCAAGATTTGCTTGGAAACGCTCCTAAAAGAAGATATTTATACTCAAAAACATTATTGTGGCACATAAGTAAAGCATTGAATAGAAATATCTAAGGGTGGCATTAGAAATCAATACATTGTTTTATTTCCAAATCTTCAGACATTTTTACAAACGCGTCTTTTTTCATTAACTTAAGGTCACTCTAAGTTATCACTTGCAGTCTTACATGTGGACATAACAGATAATTAATGTGTGTTAAGTCATGTTTTTAATGTGTTATTTTTGAACATTTATTTATTAAACTGGGGTGGCAGCTGCCACCTGCCTTTTTTATAGACTGACACACACAATAAGTGAATCATTACTTTTTTAATAGAATGTTCATCAGCATCTGCCATAGCCCCACAGCACAATTCATGTGCCTAGATTTTCTATGGAGTCGTTAACAAATTGTAAGTGTTTTTCGTGCAGTTTGGTGCTGACATTTTATATTTAACATGTTAGATATAATTGGTTACTGTTGTTGCTGTGCACCTGTCTGTCTGTCTGTCTGTCTGTCTGTCTGTCTGTCTGTCTGTCTGTCTCTCTCTCTCTCTCTCTCTCTCTCTCTCTCTCTCTCTCTCACCCCAACTGGTCGAGACAGACGACCACCCACCTAGAGCCGGAGGATCTGTCCTAGGTTTCTGCCTTTTAACAGGCAGTTTTTCCTTGCCCTTGTCGCCAAGTGCTTGCTCATGGTGGTACTGTTGGGTCTCTGTAATTAATGTTATAAAGAGTTCGGTCTAGACCTGCTCTATTTGAAAAGTGTCCTGAGATAACTTCTGTTATGAATTGGCGCTATACAAATAAAACTGAATTGAATTGAATTGGTTTACCTCAACAATGCAGAGGACAATGACAGAAATCCCAGTTGTTAAGAAATTCTCCTCAAACAAGTTCTTCAACGTTAACAAACAGCCCTGCAAACAAAGAGCAGAAAGGTGAGAGTAGCAGCAGTAGGTAACGTTTCTAAAAATACATTTTTGTCATATTTTATGAAACTTTAACTATATCCTGACAGTAGTACATGAAGCAGTTCATCTGTGAAACAATCAGGTTTTATCAGGAATTAGACTCAGGTATCAGCTAGCTAACCGGTGGAGCGCTGGGAGGAGCCAGAGGAATCTGAACAGTCAAATGCAACGATACCCTGACCTCTACAGTATGTCAAAACAAGCCTTAATCCAAGCTGGTCGCAGCAGTTACACCACTCTACCTTTTCCCAGTACTTCTGCGGGGTGATGTCACATTTCTCGCAGCAAGATGAAGGCACGTTGTTGTCTCCCCAGTCTGTCACATTATTGACTCCACAGCATTTAAGCTGAAACAAAATCATTCAGAGAAAAGAAAATGTTTCATAACAGACTGAGATCGCATAGCTCTCAGTATTTCAGCACACCACCCACACCCATTATCCTTTGTGTCACTGTATCACATGAGCTGTGATACACTTACCTGCTCCTGAACCAGATCCCAGTCACTCTTAATCCCATCCGTTGAATTTGAATGTGTCGATTTTGCCTTTTTCAAACCCTCGTTGAGATCATCTGCTACCAATTTAGCAATCTAAATGGTGAGGGGGAATTTGCAGATTACACATAGTGAGTAGTGTTCCTTATATTCACACAACACACTGTGAGTCGGACTGATGGATGAGACCCTACCTCTCTTTCATACACAAGCAGCAAGCACGCCACAGTCAGTTCCACCAGCATGAGGAAGAACAGCAGCAGGAAGAACTGTTGACAGAGTATGTTTCACAACCTCTATTTTATTTTTGCTCTTTGAAATGCATGTAAATACATGACAGCACCACATCATATTTACAGAAATGCAAGGAAAATTCCAGATTATTGGAACTTGGGTCTTGTTTTCTTTCTTCTCAGTAATCATTGTACTGACTGAGGCTACATTCACTGCAGGCCAGTGAATGTTTCCCAAATCAGATTTTATTTTGCTCATATTCGATTCAGATCAGTTTTTTTCAGTGTGAACAGCACCAATCACATGGAATCTGATCTACTGGATTCTGATTCGGGCCACTTTCACATGTGGTCCAAATCAGATACAGGTCGTAATTTTGGAAATGCGACTTTTATCTCACTCTAGATTTACATTTGTCAGGTGGGTGCAACCTGTTCCCACTGGAATCTGATATGGGTCACATTTAACAAATAATTATACAGTCTAATAATAATAAATAGCCAAACAAAACAAAATCAGATCTGAACAATAAATCAGAACTGGACGATAATGCCGGAGAGCTACAACAACATGCATCTCAGTTTGCAGACCAACTTCCTGTTTCAACTTTAATCTACAGCTCCTATTGTTGTTGTGCACACACTGTTCCTTTGCCCCCTTTCAGCTTTTTATGCTAACATCATGTTAACATGCTAATGTTTATCACGTTATGATTAACATGCACGCTATCTTAGTTTAGCATGTTAGCATGCTAATGCTAGTAGGCAGTGAACTACTGACAGTGTATAATTAGTGGACCGAGCCTCCAGGTCTGTGAAGTGAAACACTGAAGTGTCTTAAACCTGCATTCTTTCTAATGGCCAGCAGGGGCAGCTCTGTGGGTTGCAAAATAAGAGGTCTGATAGTATTGAGTCTTATGGTAAAATGACCTGACTCCTCACTTGATTGGTATACACAGCAAACACAGTGATGTAATCCTGGCCCTACACTGTTTCCATATTATCTACTGGCCACCTGGCCTGTGACCCCAATTCATTTTAATGACAATAATAACTTTACTTATATTACACCTTTCAAAACTACCATTAGTGCACAAATCAAGGCTAAATCAGCAGGAGAATAATCAAATAGAAAATTGCCATCAACAAGAATAATAAAGAAAAAAATAAAATAGTTTCAGCCACACCCAAAATGTATTAGCATTTGGCAGACCCTGCCAAAGCCATAAGGATACAATGTGATCCTAACTGATAGAAAAGTTGGTAAAAAGCTGTGAAAATAAGACCAAAGTATATTAAATCTAAATGATCTTTTAATGACTTAATTATTTTATTATAATATATATATCTATATATATAGATATTCAACAGAACACTCGACAGTTGGAAATGAAGCTACTTTCAACAGAAAAATAGTCCCTATAAAGTAGGTAACTAGGTAGACTTGTTTATCATCTGTGAGGCGATTATGCACTACAAACAATGTCAAAGTTAGCTAATGAAAGTCTTGAATAGCTGACAATGAAAAGTTAGCAGGTGGACTAGAACATCACCATAAAGAGTTGGAGCACCAGGGGGTGTTTGTGTGTGTCGTACCGTCAGGAGGAGGCAGCGGTTCTCTTTCAGAGCACCCAGGAAGCCCAGGAAGGACACGCAGGTGATGACAATGCCGCTGATCAGCAGCATGTTGGCCAAGTTGAAGCTGGCCAAGGTCGGGGTGAGTGCGGCAAACTTAAAGTTCACCATCATGTACACGCCGAAGCTCAGCACAGCCACACCGCACATCTGACAGGAGAAAACAGTGCGGTCAGCTCCTGCTACACACCATCACAGAAACACCACCAGAGCCTAGTGCCTTAAGGTTAATGTACCATTTCACTCCATTACATTTATTTAATGGCTTAAGCTAAGTTTATAAAATACAAATACATAATGGTTTCATTTAAAGCAGCCCCTGTAGACCAAAGCAGTACTGTTTTCACTGCTTCTTTTCATTCCAATTCCAACCCGGTGGCAGGCATTTATAATAACTACAACCTTCTCACTGATGGTCATGTTTGTTTATAGAGGCATCAGTATTAAATCATAAAAGTTTAATGAAACAGTCTAATTAAAATTTAAAGATGCAGTAGGTAACTTTTGGCTTTTGAAATACTGTCAGGATATAGTGAAAGTTAAAAAAATATATAAAAGTTACCTACTGCAGCTTTTTAGTACGGATGCTTCTGTATGACCTACATAAACAAGACCATCAGCAAGAATATTGCCTATTTCTATATATTTATTCTTAATGCCTGCCACTGGGTTGGATTTGGTCGGATTCCCCTAGAAATCAATGACACTACCGCTTTTGTGCCAGAACCAACACTTCCAGATAGTTCCTTCTAGGGGCTCTAATTTAGGCTTTTCTGACAGCTTGCTAACTAGTTTTTACACACTCTCAACAAAAGCAGGTGGTATTCAGGTGTTCCATATACTTGCGTACTTATCATATTATAATTTGTATCAAATCATACACTACAATTGTAGATAGCAGTAAATAGCAACATATACCATAATGAGCACGGAATGTGAAGCTGGACATACGTACAAAACAAAGGAAGTTGGCAACACACATGGTGACCTTTAAACACTTGAGGCAGCCTTGAGCCATTCTGTAACACCTCTAATCAGACCTGCAACAAGAAAAAAAAAAACAGAACATCAAATGTTTTCTCGAATATGAAAAGAGGAAGCCAAAATAAATTTGATCTGCACACAGCAGCATACTATTTAGGTGTGCATGTATTTGATTTTTTTTTATGACATAAATACATCATAGTTGGTGTTGCTGATGACATCACCGGGGTTTGGTTTAGTTTGGAAAGTCCACAAGTTCCCCAAAATATTACATGGCAGAGAATATATGTTTAAAATGTTATTTTAATCAAAAGCATCAAATTGTCGATCTACTAATAACCAATTAGTTGCTGTAGGTTTAATACAGACACAACTATAAAGTAGTTTGCTAATATTTGATCTATTTTTAGGTTTTATTATACATTATAAATTACTAAACTATAGCTGCCATACTTAGTTTTTCAATAAAGTATGTATTTGTACATAGTTAATGTACTATAATATGACAGATCATGTGATTAATTCTAAAGTCATTTTTGGCCTATTTCTTCTTCATTGGGTCTTGTTTTTCAAGTATTATCAGGACATGTAACGTCAACACATTTCTATATTATAAGCGAAAAAGAATAGTTTAAATTAAACATAATCTTTACAATCTTATTCAGACACACAGAAGAAACGAATAAAGATGGAAAATAAAGTTTAGGTCTAACCTGATTGGGAGAATAATCCGCCTTTTTGTTTTCGCACTTGTGTTTAGTGAACTTTCCTGTAGCTAACACTTCCTCTTCTCAACGGGCGATGGGCCGTGCAGTGTTTCATGGGGCTTTCAGCACCTCCTTCTCACTTCCTCTTTCTCATATATGGAAGCCTATTTCCGCTAATGTGATGAAAAAGAAGAAAAAAACATTTTCAAAGTAATGTCCTAGTATTTTCAAGTATGTATCTCAAATGACTTAGTATCTGAAAATAATGATGAGTTATCTCAAAATAACGTCATAGTATCTAAAAATAATAATACCATGTCATTATTTTGAGAAAGTTTCTCATGATTTTCAGATACCAAGTCTAAATAAGGGATCATTGTGGGCGGTGGTGAGAAGCGAGCATGTGACCAGAAGGTTGTCGGTTAAATCCCCTAGACCGGCAGGATAAATGTGGGTGAGGAGCATGTGCCCCACATGCTTTCTCACTCGACTTTTCTTTTTAATCACATTGGTAGAAATGGATTTTCATATTATTCTCAACATTAGCAACACGGAAAATCTATGACTGAGAAAGTGCAGCGGGGAACAAACCAAAATAACAGCAGCAAAGAAACGATGCAACTGTGTGACACACTTATTTTTAAACCAGTTGTACAATCAGAAATAAATCCCTCTAGACCATTGACTCTAACAGTCAGAATGCGGTTGAAAACATGCTATATAATTATAGAGCATATGAACTGAACATGACTTTATATATATATATATATATATATATATATATACACGCATTCTGACTGTTAGACTCAATGGTGTCTAATGGTGGTACTGTAATTAAGGCCCCAAAATCCCATTTCCCCCTAGCACTGTAAGTGTGATTGACTTGAAACTGGACACACAAGTCCCTCTCAGTGTGCTCTACAAAAAAACCCCTCTGGATCATTAAAGTGCACCTGACAAGATTTTCCACCATTTAGAATTTTTGAAAAACACGATTGCTACCAAATGTAGTGGAACATTATTGGACAATACTCATCAAAACTTGCATAAGGCTTTTAATGGTAAGGTTGATATCTTATTTTGGTTTTCAAGATATTGAACAATGAACCGTTAAATAAATTAAATCAGTCTATATTGTCATTTCACAGTATTCACAGTATAGTTCAGAAGGGGTGTAGCTCAGAACATAAATAGACAGCCAACACTCACCAACCATTCGGCCAACAAAACTCACAGGAGATGTGCATATCAGGACCTGAAACATACCCTGAGTTTCATTAGAATCATGGGGTGATACAAATGCAAACCACTGGGTCTGGTATAAAACAAATAAGACTATAAATAGGAAATAGTTTTTTCAAACATCACAAAAGTTGCAGGATATTTCAGAACAATGTTAAACTGCATCTGTGCAAATATTTTGAACATCGGTCTGTGTTAGCTCAACCCTGGAATGCTGTTATATTTTATTTTTGTTTTGTATTGTATTGACCTTTGTTTTCTTGTAATATTAATTCTAACTAAATAATTCAGCCGTTCTCCCTGAGTAAGTCCCCATGGGAGTCTGTGTAAGTTCTGTGCATTTTAATGGACTTCATTCCTGACATGTCTTTTTATTCATTATTATTATTATTATTATTATCATCATTATGTTTCTTTTTTTATGTTTTAAGTTTGTCTGATTAATACGAACATTTAGACTTCAATAACAAATGTTGATAAAAAAAAAGCAACATGTTAGATAATTTATGATATAACCTTAAGCTTGGAACAAGAAGTACTAGTAAACTAAAAAAACATGTCAGTACATCAAAGAAAGTACATAAATATGTTGTGATTATAGTTTAATAAGACTTCAGCAGAACAATCTGTGCTTGTATGTCTCTACTGTGGCACAGTTCAATAATTAGAGATTAAATAGGGAACATTATCACAGATGAGTAAACTTTACCAGATTGTAGCACGGTAGGAAACAGTGAAGGGCTCCCTGCTGACTGAACATTACTGTAAGTTTCAGTTTGAAATGGGGACCACACCCTGTTAGTGGACCACAGGGCCGAGGTGCCTGTGAAAACAAGCTGCTTGAAGTAAAGGTGCAGTAAGAAAGTTAGCTGGTGAATATACTGATAAGGGTGTTACAGCTCTCTCCTCAGGGATCAACAACCTCAGATAAACTGCCCAGCAGTGGGAAACACTGTGCCTAGGATTATATAACATGTTGTATACAATCCTTACCTTCTAGCATGTGGGCCTACTGCTTTATAACCTGTAAATCCTTAAAGAGCTCATGTTGACCTTGAACTCAGAAAGAAGCAGATACAAAGAGCCAGCTGGCCACAACGACATTAACATCAGCATCTTAATACAGCACACCCTTACTTATAGTAGAGGCCACAAGATGGTGCAGTTCTCTGGCTGGCTGATGAGATTAGTTGACTTTCTCTCCCAGATTCACCACTTCAGCAGCAGTTCCGTCTAAATGAACCAACTGACTCATGGGAGTGAGTTGTCTACATGATTGGAGTGATGTCTGTCACTGAAACACCAGACCAGTATCCTTCAAATCCTTCAAATCCACTCTCAAGGTTCGGGAACTCTCACCAGAGCAGGGAAACATGTAAAAAGCAACATGACTCAATTACAGCTTTTTCATTGCTGTGCTGCTATGTTTTGATTACTTTAATGCATTTGGTCTTTGTGTCCCTCAACTAGACGGGGAGAAAGCAACCTTTGAGTTGCATGCAGGCACTGTGAGGCTGTACTTGTTGACTTGCATAAAGCCGGAAAGGGTTACAAAAGTATCTCTCAAAGCCTTGATGTTCATCAGTCCACGGCTATGTCTATAAATGGAGAAAGTTCAGCACTGTTGCTTCTCTTCCTAGGAGTGGCCGTCCTGTCCAGATGACTGCAAGAGCACAGCGCAGAATGCTCAATGAGGTGAAGATCTGTCCACCAATTGAAGCTCAACAGAAGATGGGTGATACATCAGGACAACGACCCAAAGCATAGAAGTAAATCAACAACAGAAAGGCTTCAACAGAAGAAAATACGCCTTCTGGAGTGGCCCAGTCAGAGTCCTGACCTCTACCCAAATGAGATGCTGTGGCATGACCTCAAGAGAGCGATTCACACCAGACATCCCAAGAATATTGCTGAATTGAAACAGTTTTGTAAAGAGGACTGGTCCAGCATTCCTCCTGACCGTTGTGCAGGTCTGATCTGCAACTACAGGAAACGTTTGGTTGAGGTTATATATATATATATATATATATAGGCCAAAGGAGGGTCAACCAGTTATTAAATCCAAGGGTCACATACTTTTTCACCCTGGACTGTGAATGTTCAGATCAGAACACATTTTATGACCAATTTATGCAGAGATCCAAGGGTTCATATACACTTTCTTGCAACTGTAGTATTTGATTTTGTTTCTATTATATTTCCAGTATATTCTTTATATTATGTATTCTATAGATATTCTACAGATGTATAGCTTTATGGAGTATGCCACGTTTTTTCTGAAACTCTGTATTGAGCTATTGTGTTGTATTTCTCTTTTCTAGTGTTAATAATTATATTTATTCTGATAACTTGTTATCATTGAAGGTTATAGACCATTATAGGTAATCTGACCATTACTCCTTTGATCTAAATGTTCAGTAGTTCAACCTTTGACACCTTAACTGAGTCAGAAATCATTTTATTTTAACATGGCAACAAACAGTTTCCACAGAAAAAACAATCTTCTGGACTTTTCCATTTAGTGTTTCGGTTATTTTGGCTTTCACAACAGGACATCTTAGTACAGTGCAGGTTTCCACCAGTTTGATCACTAAATATACAATTAAATATTCTAAAGCATTCTACATTATTCAAACTACTGTAGTTAAAAAATCAAAGCAAACTGAAAATGAGGATTTCAGTTTTACATAGGCAACGTCAGATAAAATAATCTAACATAGTGGTAACTGCTCCCTATTGACAATAAATCATTAATCATCATTATCCAAGATGATATTTTGATTAGTATGTCACCCTCTATACTCATAAGACTTTTTCCTTTTCAGTCATAAAAACATAAACAGATAACTAGGAGTTAATACCACATGAGCTCTGTAACAACAGTGATTAAACAGGAAAAATGGCTGAAAAGCATAATATTGCATTAATTGGCAAGTATTACTTTCAGTCTAAGTAATGATCAAGTTCTATGAGTTTGGACATTTTTTCTTTAAAAAAAACGACAAATCATAATTGACTAAGTAACTGATTAGGTTTTTTGAGTATACAGGCTCAAAACCTGGTTACTATGTAGTTTGAAATCTAGTATAAGATTGGGACACAGCTAAAATATCATAATTGCCAGTGTTACTGTGCTGAAAATAGACCTGGTACTAAAAGTTTTAGCTACTGCCTCTCCTGCACTGCTGTGCTCGGTGTGAAAATCTGAGTGAGACAGGCACAGGTTAGTTTGTCAGGATAAATGCAAAAAAACATGTTCTCCCGCTTGCACTAGTCGTTACACTGCCATGATTATATAGAAATATAGTAATTTTTTCTAATTAGGCAGGCTCTGTGTAAGAAATACATTCATCATATGCATCTGAAGTGCATGATTGCTATATGAAAAAGGTTATTATAGTCACTGTTCACATTACACAGATATCCCCACTCTGACAGAGGACAAATCCCTTCATCATTGAACATTGAGGGTAACACTACATGAACATAGGCACATAAAATGTGTACACACACACACACACACACACACACACACACACACACACACACACACACACACACAACAACCTCACGAGAACGTGCAACAGTGTCTTCAATAACTGTGCGTCGGAAAATGAGGGAAGAAATGGAAAAAGGAAGATTGGTATAAGTGTTGAGGACTGATGAGTCCAAGTTTGAACAGTTTGGCAGCAAGAGTGTATGTTCGACGGGGGGGGGGAGTATCTCTTGCCAACAGTTAAACACGGAGGGGGTAGAATTATGGTGACTTGAAAATTGATGGCATCATGGATACCACAACATTCTGGAGAGACACAAAATACTATCTGGGAGTCGTCTTATTGGGCCTGGATTTATTTTCCAAGAGGACAATGACCCTAAACATTCTTCTAACTATTGCCGGAACTACCTGTGACAGAAGGTATCTGCTGGAACACTGAAAATGATGAACTGGCCCCCTCAAATTCAACCCCATCAAGCAATTTTGGGGCGGGTTGGAAAATAAACTGCACAGATCTATTGTACATGATAACATTAGTGTTGAAGTTCTCAGGAAATATACTGTCACTATGCCAGAGAGATGTCTTGCTGGAATTGCTGCGTGTGGATAAAAACAGTAGGATTCACTTCATCTGATATTTGTTGTGCTCAGAGCAACCATCTGCATGTTTCATGAACATTATGAAATGAAATCATGTTTTGCAGGCAAAAAAAAAGGTCAATATTTTCAGATCTGTCAGATGTTCTAATAATTTTGGCCACCACTGTATATACTGTTTTAACTTATCTGTAAACATTGTAAAATGAGCTGAGCTTATTGTGGTAGGAACCAGCCATGCACAGAACTGTCCCAAAAAGTGGCACTGCATATAATGAGATATTATGGCGAAGGATTCTAGTGCATTTTAAAGTTGTGTCTAATGTACTTGTAAGAAAATACCAGTCCAAACAAGTCAATGAATGTGTCAAAAATAAAACAACAAAACAACAACACTCCCTTAACTTAACCGATTTGTACAATTCTTTGCTATTTCCTGATTTTCCCAAGTCAACAGAGAGAAATCATGGATTTCCCAAATTGACCCTTCCCAAGTCCTGCCGGTATTGGTAGATAGGTGTCAGAACATACTGTGCATGACAGTGGATATATACATGTCCCTTTTATCCATTTACCATCTTCAAAACAAAAAGGGGCGGGACTTAGGAAGGGTTAGTTTCATGACGAGTGAGAACCGTGGTTGTTACTGGACTGTTTAAACAAGTGGTTCTCAACCTTTTTGGTGTCAAGAACCCCCACACTGATACAAATCCGGCCATATTTGATGAGATGTAGTCTCAGGGATCCCCGTCTGATAATGAGAAGTTATAATAACTGATTAGCAGATTAACAGTGAAGAGTGTGATTCCTGAGAACAGAACAGAAACAGAATATCTCATTGGGATAACTTCTAGCCCATGAAATAACAGGGAGATTAAAATATTTCCCACTTTTCTGGGGAGCCCTGGAACCCCCTCTCGATTTAGACCCACTGATTTAAACAGTGCTGGAAACAATGAGACCCACTCTTTTTGAGCAAGACACTGAGCATGCTGCCGGACTGCTCATTGTATAAGCATCAGCTACACCTTGCTCAATGAAAACTGAGGGAAATTCTCAAAGGGTACCAGAAATACTGCATTGAAATGTGTGTGTTGTGGACCACTGTCCACAGCCCTGACAGGCAGTCACAGCTTTTGATGGATGTCATGGCCCACTAGGAGTTTGTGAGGCATTGTTTGTGCGACGTCGAATTCGGATTGGAATTTCCTCATCCTGAGAAACAGAGAAAAAGCAAAAAGTAATCTCTGATTTCCCTTTACTTTAAGATGATTGCATCTGTGGTGATCATAAAAAGGTAAGGATGATTACAATGACTTGAAACAAGTGGACGATGTTGGTTTTTACATACCGTTTCAGCAGTGTCTGCCGTCTCCTCTCCCTCAGTGTACTCACTGCCTGGGGTAAAACCCTCAAAGTCAGACAGGGCGCTTTCCACTGCCTCCTCATCATAATCGGTCTGGTATTCATCAGACAGTTCCTCTAGAGGCAGACAAAAAAGCAGACAACATCAGTGAGTATTTTTTTTTAAATTAATATTTACAAATATTGTCCATTTACAATCATAAAATCATATCAATAATGTAGCTTCCACAAGGATAATAATAATAATAATATGTTATTGCTTATTTGACATAAAAACACCTGCATACAATCAAAAGTAGGCTTTATATTAAAGCTCCAGTGTGTAGCATTTCAGAGGATCTATTGTCAGAAATGGAACATAATATTCATAGATATGTTTTTATTAGTATATAATCACCTGAATATAGGAATCATTGTGGTTTTGTTACCTTAGAATGAGACGTTTTTACCCCCCCCCCCCATTATATAAATTCTATATATACACATTATTTTTGAGGCACTGATTTGTTATATTAATATTTCACAGATACTAACCATTGATTAAGGCATTCTTCACAGGTTCGATTCTCGACACTATCTCTGCCAGGTCAGTGAAGGAGGCGTTTGGACAGGTGACCACCTGAAAGACACAAACTGCGTTATTCTGATGAAGCTTCTCTGTCTGATTAAACATTTAAAACAGACATCTTATTAGAGCCCATTTTCCGTATGTATAGATCAAGTGCAGTGACTTTGTGCTGACAAATTCACCTATTTGGTCATTTCATGCCTTGCCATGACATCAGAACTGGTGGGGGTGAAGCAACATTTTGGTATAAAGCCTTCTGCCTATGTCTCTGTCTATAAAAGTGGTTCCCAACCTGTTTCCTTAAAGGACCCCTTTTGTACTGGTGATTAAACTGATGCCCCTGACTAAGCAACATATTTTATGGATATTTCATATTATATCAATAACTGATATGTACTGTACAATGAACCCAATGATTATTTCTTGTGAATATTGATCAAAGTTTTCCTGATATTTTTAGGAGCTTTTTATACAATTCTGTGTCTGTGTATACTTTGTAAGTTTCTAAGTTGTCATACACGCTTTAAAATCAAGAAGGCTTTAGCTTTGGTGACCCCTAGTGGGTCTAGGTAGGACTTCAGCTACTTTACTAAGGATCCTTAAGATAAGACATTAGCCAGAGAAGAGGAGCACATTTTGCAATCAAAACCGACCCACAGACTACTACTTCAACTACATAATTATGCATTTTGAGTAAAGTATATGTTATTCTTTACTCCATACACTCATGAAAATTGGACAACTATGTCATGCCTACACCATCCTGGGTAATGAAAATTTAGCTTGCAGAACACTACTGGATGATGTGCAGCAGAGGTGATTTAATTCAATTCAATTCAGTTCAATCAATTCAATTAAATTTTATTTGTATAGCACCAATTCATAACAGAAGTTATCTCAGGACACTTTTCAAATAGAGCAGGTCTAGACCGAACTCCTTGTAACATTTACAGAGACCCAACAGTACCAAGCAACGCTTGGCGACGGGGGCAAGGAAAAACTGCCTGTTAAGAGGCAGAAACTTAGGACAGACCCTTCGGGTCTCGGTGGGTGGTCGTCTGCCTCGACCAGTTGGGGTGAACCAACACAATATTGACAAAAACAATAAGTAGGTATATTCTGCTCTACATCTATCGTTACACGGCAGATCAGCTATCAGAGTTATAGCAGCATACCCCAGAAAAACACAAGCTCACACCATCTTTAAAACATGACATTTGATTTCAAGTGACATCACAACTTTCCAACCCAAACATGGATCTGGGACTTTAATACAGTTAGGCTTATGCAAAGGAATACAGAAGGTCTATGGTTAGTGCTTTTTTTTGTGGCCAAAATCCATTTCCTGCAGCCCCTGTCCACCGAAGTACGTTGCTCTACTTCCCTGCTGAGACTCCTGTCTGTTTCTTCAAACTGGGCATGCTGACGTCTACTGTTATACACTGACCATAGATAAGTACCTCATACAATCCCACTTCAAAATACCTGAACTATCCCTTTAAATCCCTGGGATTTTAGAACTATGACAGACACATTCACATTACCCAGACTGATTTAATCTAGTGTAAAGTTAGACAGGGTGTGTTTGAATGCAGAATATTTTGTGATTAACAAAATGATCCTGTCTTCTAACCATGTATCTAACTATTCTATTTCCACACATTCTGAATTGTGTCAACACAAAATCCCCCAAAAATGATCATGGTTTTATAATCCAGCACCCGGGTCAGCAGTAGTGTCTGTAGTTTACACTCACATGGCCAGTTTTGGTCTTGTGGAACTCCTCCTGATGTCTGTCCTTCAGCATGCTGTCCACCACGCCGCTGCGCAGCCAAACATCAAACAATGTCTTTCCGTGCTGGTATCCAACCTCCTGCAGCCACAGTGAAGGAGGGTTACAGATATTCAAAGCCAAAAGATGGAAAAGACATGCATCGAGGTACGGAGGGAAAACTCACTGCGATCTCGTCAAACTTGCTGAACTCTAGCGTGCCGTAGTGGTCGATGGGTGGCCGGATGTACTCGCAGTATTCACTGTCTTTGACCAGTTCCAGCTGCCGCACACAGCAGACGTAAGCAAGCCGGGTTTGGATCTCTGCCATGTTCAGGACCTGGAAAGTAAAATTAGTGGAGTTCAACAGGGCTGTGAAGTATCCCTCGATTTTACAATTCTCTACATAATTTCTCTAGAATAGGTTCAGCGGCTAGTAACTTTGAGAGTTTCCCACTTAACCATACATCTCTGCAATATTTTTGGTAAATGGCCACAAGAATAACAACAGAGCACATCCATCTGACATGAAAGTTTACCTTGACTTTCTCAGCCAGAGGGTTGAAGCGTTTCCATAGCAGCCACCAGCCATTCAGGGAGTCACCGTAGTTGGTCAGGTTGGTTTCATCGCGACTTCCAACATCGATTGCAATCACAACCTTGGCCCCCATGGAGCGAGCCACATCGGCTATATAGCAGTGAGACAAACACATCAAAGACCCTGGTGACCTATTTTCAGCTTTGTTCAGCTGCTAGTAACACAATATACTTACTTCAAGGCTGGATTACTGCAACTCTTTATTATCAGGTTGCCCCAATAAGTCCATTAAAACGCTCCAATTAATTCAGAACGCTGCAGCACGAGTACTGACAGGAACTAGAAAAAGAGATCACATCTCTCCTGTACTAGCTACTCTGCATTGGCTCCCTATAAAATGTAGAATTGAATTTAAAATACTCCTCCTCACCTATAAAGCTCTTCATGGTCAGGCCCCTTCATATCTTAAAGAGCTCATAGTACCCTATTACCCCACTAGAACACTACGTTCTCTGAATGCTGGGCTACTTGTGGTTCCTATAGTCTCTAAAAAGTAGAACAGGAGCCAGAGCCTTCAGTTACCAAGCTCCTCTCCTGTGGAACCAGCTTCCATTTGTGGTTCGGGAGGCAGACACCCTCACCACATTCAAGAGTAGGCTTAAGACATTCCTCTTTGATAAAGCTTATAGTTAGGGCTGGATCAGGTGAGTCCTGAACCATCCCTTAGTTATGCTGCTATAGGCCTAGACTATCGGGGGATTTCCCATGGTGCACTGAGCTACTCTCTTCCTCTCTCTTTCTGCACTCATTCATGTTCCATTAATGCATTTCTCCCCCCTCCCCCCCCGGGGTTTTTGGGCTTTCCTCCTCGTGGGTTCTCATGGATCCTGGTGGAGCCTCCTGCCATGGTCCTGCTTGACTGCCATTGCCAATACTGTTGTTGCTGTGCACCTGTCTGTCTGTCTGTCTGTCTGTCTGTCTGTCTGTCTGTCTGTCTGTCTGTCTGTCTGTCTGTCTGTCTGTCTGTCTGTCTGTCGCTCTCTCTCTCTCTCTCTCTCTCTCTCTCTCTCTCTCTCTCTCTCTCTCTCTCTCTCTCTCTCTCTCACCCCAACTGGTCGAGACAGACGACCACCCACCTAGAGCCGGAGGATCTGTCCTAGGTTTCTGCCTTTTAACAGGCAGTTTTTCCTTGCCCTTGTCGCCAAGTGCTTGCTCATGGTGGTACTGTTGGGTCTCTGTAATTAATGTTAAAGAGTTCGGTCTAGACCTGCTCTATTTGAAAAGTGTCCTGAGATAACTTCTGTTATGAATTGGCGCTATACAAATAAAATTGAATTGAATTGAATATACCCGACAATCTGGCTGACCATTCGCTGGGCATTGTAAGCAATGTAGGTGCCAGGTTTTAAAAAAAAGGTAAAGAAATGACGATATCTGCGGTACTGCTGTATGCATTTTGATCTTTTTGTGTTAGCTGTCCATTGTGAGTCTGACAATGTTACAGGACTGCAATGCTAAATTGGTGGAATACTCTGTTCTCAAAGTACATTTTTATGACAGTCTAAATATCGAAAAACCCATATCCTGTGTCCCTAATCTACAGAAACTAACAATTTGTATTTTATCCAGCATTTACATTAATAAGGAAGGAAAGCAGTGTTTTGTATTAAAGTGGCTCTTGTCCAATGCAAAGTTGCCTCTGTGATGGACTATTTTTGTACTGATGCCAAATGTCTGCCACCATTTGATCGATGGTACTATTTTAATAATGAATACAAAGCCATGTTGAGCATCTTCCCTAAAATAGAGATGATCCATTAGTACACAGTAAGTTGTTTCATTCAAAAAAGAATGTTGATTTTTAAAGCTTCTAGATGTAGGATTTATAAAAGGTTCTTCATTACAAAATAAATTACTTTTTAATGGAAAAAAGTGTGATCTTGACATGACTGATATTACAACATTATAACCACCTTCCTTTCGTATTGGACTGTACTGAAGAGGATAAACATGTGTTTTTCCCCACAATATTGTTAACATATAAGCATGTTATAAATGTTGTAAATAATCTTGTCTTTCTATGGTGCAGTCCAAGGTAACTGAACTTCAACAGTGATGGTGCTGGAAGAACTCTATATATATATACTGTCACAGAGTGTACATACAGTACAAGACAGCTAGAGCCTGGGAAAGAGTGTCATTCATGCTTGTGTTGTTTGTTTATTAGTAAATTAGTAAGTGGTAATGACTCGGTGTAAATGCAATAGTTATCATCTCCAACGGTGTACAGTTTTTAACAAAAGACTTGAATAACTTTGTAATAAGCCGTTGTTGTTCTTCTTCTTCTTATGAAATATATATCATTCCCACTCATATGAAGTCCTCTACTACCCTCGCTCCCAGTGTTTCTCACCAGGCAGGTTGTTGATGTACCCTCCGTCCATGAGCAAGTGTCCATCTTTGGGATCACAGAGAGGCGGCAGGTAACCAGACAGCGACATACTGGCCCGGACATACCGCCACAACGAACCTGAAGAGGAGAGTGTGTGATTGACAGGTTGACAGAAAGAAAAGACAAAGCAATTAAAAGACATCATGAGAACATGACTTACATTACATAACCAAGTCCAAAAAATTAAAGGTATTACAAGAAGCTTTTAACTGGTTATGAAACAGTCTCAGATGTTATAATACTGATAATACCGCCTCTATATGACCTAAATAAACAAAAAAGACCATCAGAGAGAAGACTGGATATTTCTATTTAGTTATTCTTAATGTCTGCCACCTGGTTGTATTCAGTGTTTTCTGCTCATTGTTCTATTTGTTTGAACTTTTCCAATGCAGGATCAGGCTGTTCATCAGAGAGTGAAGGCTCTGTGAATATACATTGTGTTCAGCTCTTCAAACTTCTTAAATAACAATCTAAACTGTAAAAATAATAATTTAATTTAGTTTCCTACACAGAACTGAATGAAATGTAATTTAAAAAAAATGTTTTCTAACAACCCTTAAAATCAAAAAGGTCTCGTGACCCTCAGGTGCTTTGAGGAACCATGGCAGTAATAACATTTTGGTTAATTAACATTGCAAATCACACATACATGTCCATTTGATTCATTTATTTCAGTAACCATCTCCAAAATGTCTTTTTGGAGGGGATTCAAAAAAAGGATGTTTTTAAAATAATAAAAAAAACAGTACAAAGTGGTACAGACCATAAGTGTGGACTCTCATGGAGGAAGCTGTGATATCTGTTGTAATGTTGAAGTATGGCAACCACAGGTCCTAGCATAGATGAAAATTAACATTAGAAATCAGACGATTGTTGGTTTGTAACAAATATGCCATCCGTATTTGATACCAGTTTGTTGTTTTAACCCATGTGCTAAGAATGAAATATTCTCACAGAGCTCCTTTAATTAACACTTGCATCTGCCCCCACTCTGCGGGGGGTAGAATGCTCACTTCAGGTATGAAATTAAGGTAATTTTCAGCTGTGGAACCTGAACTCAAATGATGCAGAATAAAGTTTTAGATTCATTGATTAAGTGATTTGGAACAATCCCCAATTATTCTTGGTCTTTTCGAGAACCTGTTTTAAAGAAAGGTTTTTTAAGATGACTTTACCTCTATCTGTTTGCCCTTGAAGACAGAGCTGATGCTGGAGTTAAAGGAAGCTCCAGAAAACATAGAGGTAACAGGGTAGGTCAGATCCAAGATCTTCTTAAAGTAAGAGGTCATATCCTGAGAAAGGAGGAAAGTTAAAAAGGGAAGTGATGGGTTAAATATGAGAGCAGATGTCATAACAAGACCAAAATCTTTAAGTAAAGCAATTTCCTAATAATAATGAGAAAGATCATTTTCAAACTGTGCTTTTTCAGTGTAATGTCAACACACCATGGCCCACTCACGAGCCCGGACCCTCATGCGACTGTTGCTCTTCTCCTCAGCGTACAACGCTCCCATGAGGGAGCCGATGGAGGTGCCGCCCACCATGTCGACAGGGATCCCTGCCTCCTTCAGCGCCCGCAGGATGCCGACCTGAGAGCAACCCCTGAAAGGAGACAGTCGTCCATCAAATAACATCAGACATGATATATGATATCATTTTGTTCAAATAAATAAAAAAAAGTCTACCAGTCTGAATTTTTTGGACTTCACAGTGAAGTAGGAGACATCTTGTGTCCAACAGGAAAACTTTAATTTAAAGACATTAAGAAAATTTGCATACTATATTATCACTTTTTAGTGATGAAATAATTGAATTTCTATTAGAAAAAAAACAGACACACATTATTGTTCCAAGCAGACTACTTGTATATATGCCTTGACACATGTCTGGAAGGGGTCTCAGGTCATAGCTAAGAGGAACCGGTCCCTACCTTGCCAGAGCTCCAGGACAAGCCAGAGCAGTGAGAAAAAGAAACAGATCAATCAGAACAGAAACAATCAGAATATACCTGCTTATTGGAAAATACATACTGTATCTTGTAAAGTGATTATCAGTTGTTTGCTGTTTTATATTGACATTTCTGCAATGCCAGCATGGGGATTATCTTATCTTTTATCATTCTAATGCTAAACTATAATTGACCCTTCTTAAGCCCGCCCCTTTTAAGATTATCTAGCTAGTTATCTCAAGCAAAACACTAGCCAACTAACTACCTAACCAGCTAAGTTAACAAGGATTGATGCAGATTTGCTAGCTAGTTGGAACTTTAATCATTTAACCAACAAAAGTGTGGTTGTCTTTTCCACATAGATTAGCCTAGCACACAGCATATCTAAGTACAGGAAAGTAGAAAGTTGAGCGAGGCTTGCTCAACTGTGATGGGAGCACAGAGCAAAAAGTGTCAGGACTGGGTGGGTGGGTCAATGCTCCTTGAGGTGAAGTCTTAAAATGCTGGCATTGAATGTGTTTGTATATAAAGCTGCACTACCTGGCACCCCCTCCACCCAGCACAAGGGCGATGCTGTTTCCCGTCAGGATCCTGGCCAGACGGGAGAAGTCGGAATGACGATCTGGACACTTCTCAAACACACGCTGGTACAACTCTCTCTGAAGACCAAACACACACAAACAGAAATGACTCATTGGCAGACTGGGCTAGAACTGCCCATAAAGAAAGTGGGTCGGTGGTTTGTACCAGCTTAGGTAAACTCCTCTTGGAGAACACTCTGCGGGGGCAAGACAGGTGATGGTGTCTGGAGATCCAGCTCCGCATGTTTAGCCACTCGGCTGTCCCTTTGGGTGGTGGGCCGTCTTCTCTGTGCAGCAACACCAGCTGCTTCTGAGCACGAACTGCACTGCCCTCCAACATCCGCTCCAACTACAGTTGGGGAAGAGGAAGAAAAAGTAGGTACTGTAACTTTCAGTAAGCTCATCGTAGAGATCCATTGCAGAAAGGAGGTGCGTCAATACTGTGATGGTGTGGCATAGAAACCAATCACCAACTAGCGTTTTGGCAGTGTTGTTTGCAGAGCAAAGCAGACACAGCTGTGTAAGTATAAATGCTAATAATGGTGTAAAGGCTCGACATATAGACAGTGTAAAACTATAAATCAGCCTTTAGTCATTACAACTTAAGAGAATGGATGGGTCTATGAAATTGTTGGGGTGAGAGCTAGTCCCACTATAGCATCCAGGCTGATGTGTGTTAGCACAGCTTTAAGTCACACTGTTCACCGTCCTGAATTTAGTTTTAAATCACAGAAAACAGAGCTGGTGTTAATCAACTGTTATGACTGTGAACGTCCTGTGTGATTTCTGCAAAAAAAACCTACAGCAGCTGAACAGGTGTAGGTATATTTACTGACCTCACCCACGGTGGGCTCCTGCTCACCCAGTCCAACAATGATGATGCAGTCAGCTTGGCGGATGCAGCGCTGGGTCCAAGGCGTGAGGCCAGAGTCAGACTGGTAGAGGACGATGCGATGGATGTCTTCCTGCTGTCCGAGCCAACTGGACAGACGGTATTCGTGGACACTTTAAGAGATGAGGTACAAACGTCACCTGTTACTGTATGTACAGTATATGCAGGGTTGCTTCTCTTTTGTAATGATACATTTCAAGGACTTTTCAAGGACTAATTATTTCAAAATCATTTATATTATGTTCACATATATCAGTCTGACACAGCACAGTACTAGATAAAGACTTGAATATTTTACCTTAATTAGATGTTGGAAGAGATTTAAAGCTGCAGTAGGTAACTTTTATAAAAAATTACTTTTTATCATATTTGCTGAAATTAGTCAAGAACTGGGTAGACTGTTGAGTCTCATTCCCAGGGTCCCAAAGTGTCTTGGAATGAGACTTAGCAATCAACTATCTTTCTTGGCTCTGATTGGTTGTTTTCCTTCAGGCCCGGTGGATTCTTGCAAATATCATTAGGAGCACTAGGAGGAGCCAGAGGAACCTGATTTTCTTCACAGATCTCTAGTGCAGATGAATAAAGATCTAAATATGAATAACTTTTTGTATTATGACTTTTTAATGTTTTACCATTAAATTATGCAAACAGGCAATTTCTCATGTTCTAATTTGAATATTGGTAGAAACTTTTTTTGTTTATAATAAATGAAGCCAGAACGTTTTGTCTTGCTTTGTTGTGAATAACTAAACAGCTGGTACTTTTTAGTCAAAATATTCTGATCATTTACCACATAAAATGCCTCATATTTTTCTCTGGAGCACAGTACAAAGATATCTGCTGTGTATATACTGTATATATTGTTCAGTTTTATTTCTGTCTAATATTGTTTTCTTGCACACGCAGTATCTATGTTTTAATTGTTATATTGACTTGTCTCCTGAAGGTAAATAAAATAAGTATATGAGGTATATGATGTGTTTATTCAGAAGGAATTTTACAATTGAATCACTCAATCAGATGTCTACCTGTCCAGAGCAGCAGAGCCTAGTCGCTGTTTGATGATGTCACTGGTCAGAAGTAGAGTGGGGCCTTCAGAAAATAGAAAGACATCAAACTGGGCTTTAAAATAGGATGTATGACACTGCTGTGAATAAAAGTGTAGAACATTGTTTCATGGTACAAATCCTAGTGTAGATCTTCCTATCCCCTAACAGTGGACATGTACTTCCTTACAAAAGAAGGGAACCAGTGTTTCTTTGGGCCCTCTGCAGTCTGCTCAGTGGTCCGATTGAACAGGTTTAAACTGGGTTCTGTCAGTCCATAGTATGTTCAGCTGATATTCAACCAACACCAAACCTCTGAAGAGAATAGCTTAGCTAAAGTACAGGCCTGTTAATTCCAGTTCATTTGACCAATGACTGATTTCTTAGATTCTTATTGAACTGTTGCTTAGAGGGACCTTTGTCTCTCTCAGTCTGGTTGATCCATAATACAGTTTTGTTCTCCATGTACAAAACCCTTCATACAAAATAACATCTATTTGTAAAGAGGACTGTCTACAACCTAAAAGCATTAACCCTTTATTGCAGGTGACCCCAAACCTTTCAGGGGTGTGGGTGTGGGTGTGTGTTTTTTTTTTTTTAACCATTTCTGTGACATCCTGTATATTCTTTGGAGGCTGCTGAAACTGTCAGACTTGACTACTGCTTTTTGTCACCACCCTGTGCTGCTGCCTGATCTCCACTTTCCAGGCAAGGCGCCGTTCATATTGTCTATATATATTTAATTTTGACTTAAAGTTACTTTTATTCAACCAGAAAGTTTTTGGGTTTTTTTGACCGGAAATGACACAGACGATGTACGGGAGGCATCATTGTGGAAAAAAATATTTCTCAGCTTTTATTTACATTTGAACAAAAAGTGGCATGTCCAAAATTATTCATACCCTTCTCAATAATCAATAGAAAAGCCTTTATTGGCTATTACAGCAATCAAACGCTTCCTATAACTGATGACCAGCGTCTCCACTGGTAATTTGCCCGTTCATCTTTAGCGATGAGGTCCAACTCTTTCAGGTTGGAGGGTCTCCTTGCCATCACCCTGATCTTTAGCTCCCTCCACAGATTCTCAAGTGGATTCAAGTCAGGACTCTGGCTGGGCCACTGCAAAACGTTAAAGGTTTGCAGTGGCCATTTCTTGTGTGTTTTGGGTCGTTTGTGCTGAAATGTCCACTGGTGCCTAAGGCCAAGTTTCTCTGCAGACTGCCTGATGTTGTTGTTGAATCTTGATGTAATGCTCTTTTTTCATAGTGCCGTTTACTGTGATTAGGTTCCCATGCCATTGGCTGAAAAACACCCCAAAGCATTAGGTCCCCACCACCATGTTTGACAGTTGGGATGGTGTTCTTAGGGTTGAAGGCTTCTCCTTTTCTACGCCAAATGAAGGATACATCATTGTGTGTTCACACAAAAAGAGCCCAGATTCACCAGGATGGCCTTGGTGGTGATCCTTGGATTCTTTTTCACCTCTCTCACTATCCTCCTGGCCAGCACAGGTGTCACTTTTGGCTTCCGACCACATCCTCTGAGATTTCCCACAGTGCGGAACGTCTTGTATTTTTTAATAATACTTTGCACTGTAGCCACTGGAACTTGACAACATTTAGATATGGCCTTATAGCCCTTTCCTGACTTGTGAGCCGCCACAATGCGCAGCCGCAGGTCCTTAGTGAGCTCCTTTGTCTTAGCCATGACTGTCCACAAACCAACTGCAGAGAGCTGCTGTTTTTTTTACCTGTTGAGTGGATTAAAACCGCTGTTCCCAATGAATCAGGGTAATTAGGATGCTTTAGAACAGCTTGGACTATTTGGAATGGTATAGAACTTTGGATTTTTCCATAGACTATGACAGTTTGCAAAGGTTATGAATAATTTTGGACATGCCACTTTTTGTTCAAATGTAAATAAAAGCTGAGAAATATTTTTTTGTTCAATGATGCCTCTTGTACATCGTCTTATTATCTTTTTGTAGACGCCTGTGTCATTTCTGGTTCCAAAAAAAACTTGCTGGTTGAATAAAAGTAACTTTAAATCAAACTTTTATATGTATATACAAGTGACACAGCAATTGGTGACAGTGTAGATTGTGCCACACAATCCTGCCTGATATTAATGGTTGTTGTTACTGTTGTTAATGGTGTTAATGGTGCTCTGTCAATCATGACTCCTCAGGTAACCTGGAAAATTGGATTAAAAAGTGGACAAACAGTCTGTCTGTGTGTGTGTTTATGTTTATGTGTATGTGAGTGTCTGTGTCTGTGTGCGTACCGATGCCACTGAGTGCATGCTGCAGCTCCAGAGTGAAGGCAGTGAGTGGAACCTCTTCAGACACAGGCAGGATGGCCACAGTGGACAGGTTGGAGGCTGGATTCCCAGCGTCCCACTTACTGGTGGGGGTCTGGAGAGCCAGACTACGAGCTGCATGGCAGAAGAGTCTCATCGGATATTATATTCAATTCAATTCAATTTTATTTGTATAGCGCCAATTCAAGACAATTATAATTCAATTATAGACAGAAGAAAAAATGCTCTTTTTATGCCTTGTATATATGTTGATTTGTATCTTATCTAATACTGAAATGTAACACATTTTAGTAGTGTAGGGCATGTCATCACTCAGCCAGGTAACATTTCACAAGCCAACTTGATTTCCACCTAATAACTGGTGATGTTCTTATTATTAGTACATTCTTTCTGTACCATACACATACTAACATAAATTGTATGTGATTACCAGCCAAAGGTCCATTGACTTGCTGCATGTTTCCCAGAATCTTCTGCCCCAGCAGATGAATCAGCCTGGTGACAACCTGAGGATACCGCCTCTTGATTGAGTTCAGAGCTCCGTCGGGTAGCTTGGCCATCTCGGAGTCCCTCACAGCATGGACCGTGGTGGCTCGGTTCATGTGGGTAAGGGCCTCAACCTGGACAACCCACATAACAGGTGCTGTACTACAATCTGTAGCGCCTAAAATGTGTTTCCCCAGAGCAGTACGTCTCTATATTGTGTCTTTTTTGGGGAGGATTTTCTGAAACACTCACCACACCAATCAGATCCCCGCGGCCATACTCTCCAGCCAGCTCCTTCTTCCCATCATCCTTTGCAATGACGGAGCGCAGTCTGCCACTCAGGACGATGAAGGTGCTGTCTGACTTGTCTCCCTGTCTAAAAACAAAACAGAATCCAACATTACCCTCACACACTAGTATAATTTAACTTATTTAGTAATTAGTTATTTTTCCCACCACTGGTTCCCTAGAGTAGATACCTGTAGACGGCACGGCCAGCCTCCACAGCCATCCAGTCCAGGGCAAAGTCAATCTGCCTGACAAATGGCGACACCCTCTTCACCACAGTGTGAGCTACGTTCAGCACTACCCTGGGCTCCTCACGCATTATCCTGCAAAGTTTAAAAACACAGATTTGTTCTGTGTGATGGGAAGAACCCACTTTTGAACCCTAAAGCAATATTTTGTGAGTGAGCTTGATCGTACTCGTAGAAGTGGGCCTTGGATATGGAGAGGAAGGTGCAGTCTCTCTGAGCTCGGACAGTGAAGATAAGGGGCTCCCCCGTGAGAACAGCCAGGTGGCCCACCATCTCCCCTGGGTGGGTGACAAACAGCAGGGTGTCCTCCTCGCGGTCTATCATGCGCTGGTAAACGTGGAGCAACCCAGAGATGACAAACGCCACACTCACATCCTGCAAGTAATGTGGAGAATACACACCAGTTTTATGCTCAGGCAAAGGGTGGCTTTAATTTCAGTTCAATATAATATGTCCAATAAATAGACCTCCTTAGTTTGTTTACAAGACAATTTGGTTTATCCAAATGTGTGCGCTTTCATGTTGCCTCTCACTGAGGCAGGACTGCAACGCTTAACTTGTGTTATGGTAGTTGAGACATTGTCACTCTGTAGATGCAAATCATTTCCATGTGAGAATTTAAAAAATGTAATTCGGTAAGGACCACTTTTGTCATATGAAAACTTCATTTGCAAATGTAGTATGTTATATTTGGTGGTATGGCCCTGTTCTGGGACCTCCCTGTCCTTCCATGTGCTGGAAAGGAGAGCAACAGCAAGACCCGGGGTTACAGAACAGAGCAAGCATCAGTGACATTCATTCATTATCAACTTAGTTTCATGTATACTTTGTGACCTGGCCATTGTTTTTGCATTCAGAGCTTTAACAAGTTAGTTTCTGACAGTGTTGGCCCGACAGTCTGACCTGGTCTCCCTGGTGGGCCACAACAGATCCGGCTTTGACCTGGCGAAGATTCACCCTCCCGTCCAGCAGACTGGGGTCCTGATAACGTGAGACACAGAAATGTTCTTTAACTGTCTGTCTTAGTATCCAGTACTACCTCACTAAACACAGATTCCCAATTACAAAACTGTTGCCAGATCAATTCAAATTCACAGATTCACTCATATTCCACACTCATATGCCATATATCTGTAATGACTTGAAATACGATTTTCCCACTTTGTTCAAACTCTTGAACAATACTGCATTTTTTCACATCTAAAACAAGAATGAACCAGTGAATGTTGCACATTAGATGTAGTGTGAACGCTACCTGTATTTGGATGACCTGCAGCAGATCCTTTTTGGCAGCTTGGAAAATGGCATTAACCTTATTATGGTGGACATTTCCTCCTCCTGCTTCACTATAGTGGTAAACAGCAGATGGAGTGTGCAGCATTGTCACACTCTTCTTTAGAATAGACTAGTAGACAGAGAGACACAAGGAAGTGTAATAGAGACTTTAGAAAAACACTAAACCACAGACTAAGTGAAAAAAATTCCCTGCTTGTGCAAATACAGTGTACTAAAAGTAGTAGTAACACTGTTGTGTAACAAGCTGCTCAAATAATAATTATTTTACTTCAACCAGGGGGAGAATATGCTGTGAAAATTAACAGTTTACTGATGCTATTGTGCTGAGTTTCTTTTCCTATTGGAAATGACTGGTCAAAATTGTAACTAGCTTGACACTGCAGACTATCCTAAAGTGCAAGACAGAACATTCTCATCCAGAGACCTTCACGGGAGTGTGAGGCGCCGTCTCCTCCTTGGCAACTCTAGCCCGTTCATATACTCTGTTGAGGTCAACTGACATTTCACCTGCAAGATGCAAAAAGTTGACAGTCATCATATTAAATCAATTATTATGACCAGATGGACAAGCAGCTCCCTATTCCACTGTGTCTTAGAGGCTACAGGATTTGTCATAGTCCTGCTGACGCTACGGCTGATGCTACGGCTGATGCTACGGCTTACGCAACGGCTGACGCTACGGCTGATGCTACGGCTGATGCTAGTTTTCACTGCAACTCAACTCAGATATCTTGTGTCTTTTCTTGCTAATAGACTTCATTTAAAGTTTGCTAAAAATTGATTAATTGACTGATTGTTTGATATTTGGCAATGTATTTTGCATATGTTGTGCCTGTCCTTATCCTTTGATAAGTATAAATGATTAAGTATAAGTGTCTCAGAGGAAGAGCGTGTCGTCCATTAATAAGAAGGTTGTTGGTTCGATCCCTCCTCCCGCCACGTGTAGAAGTATCCTTGAGCAAGATACTGAACCCCAAATTGCTCCTGATGCTGTGCATCGGTGTGTGAATGTGTGTGAAAGGGTGAATGTGCCACGTAGTGTAAAAGTGCTTTGAGTGGTCGGAAGACTAGAAAGGCGCTATTCAAGTACAGGTCCATTTACCATAAAGCTTGCACAGTAGACCTTGCGTATGAAAACATAGGGATGTGCTTCGCCTCGCCAGCTATATAGTTCAATATGTTGCAAATATTTTGATTTTATTTCTTTGCTTCTTCTAAAGCAGCTTGATAAACAGTTTAGAGAGGGGGAATCAATGTAGAAATAAAATGATGGTATATATTCATTATATATAAATCAATCTGGTTTTACCGATATAAAGATGTTAGAAACGAGCTGACAATTGTATTATATACACACTATTTTAATTGCGGCGATCTCATCTTGAACTTTTATGTATGTGCACCGATTGGTGAACCTTACCATCCCTAGAATATTAGCAATAACATTAGCTGCAGACGTGGGCAATTATTGGTGATTTGGAAAAATAGTATTTAGCTCACATGGAACTGACACAAAGTTGGATTTCACTTTCAGCGGCAGACTGCATTTTCTAAATGTTTATCTTTAAATGTAATGCCTTCTTTTCTACATGTAAAAAGGTTACAGATAGTTGTGCATGTGTGCTATTGAGACAGGAAAGGCAATGTAAATAATATATCAAAGTATGAAGAAAAATATATCAAATATGTTGTATGTATATTTGTGTATACTGTACCTGTAACAGCCATTGGGGTGGAGAAAGCGCGAGATTTCTTGTATTTAGACGTGGACATGTCAGAGAGTCCAGACTTTTCTGTTGTGGTGCGAAACAAGAAAACATCAAACTTGAGACAAATATTATTTCACACACATTACTGCAACTTGAAACTTGAGAGGCTGTTATTTGTGACCTGTGTCAGATTTTTCAGAGGCCACTTCATCGGAGTGGGAAGGTTGCCTGCGGAGGCCTCTGTGGGGGTGAGTCTCACCCAGAACATGGGCCACCGACACCAAGGAGATGGCTTGGCTCTCCTGTAACGCGCCCAGGAATCAAGATTAAATAAATACATCTCGCCATTTATAAACTTTCTCTAACTTATAGAAGCCAAGGTGAAATAAATCAGCTATTGAGTGTGGCCCATCTGTGACATAATGGATGGATGGATATGATATATACGTTTATTTATCATATATACTCTACATATTCTAAAAAGAATGCCACATTTACATCAAATTCTATATACAGATGTATGTATAGGTCTGGGCACCTCTTAACAAATAACATATTTAGGTGTTTTTTAACAGAAAAGATGTAAACACAGCCTTTCAAGGATATGGAACATAAAATATAATATTTTCAGCTAACATTCATGTATAGTTACATTTTATATCATACATTTAAAAAATAAAAACATAATTGTCGAATGTGGAAAGGTTTGGGCAACCTACACTGTCAGTAGTTAGTGACACCAACTCTGGCAGTTATCATAGCTTACAAACGTTTTTTGTAGCCCACTAAGTCCATCAAGTATTTGGGATTTCCCCCCCCCATTCTTCATGCGAAAGGTTTCTGGTTCTGTAATATCCTTGGGGCAATGATTCAATGATATTTAAGTCAGGGGACTGTGAGGGCCATGCAAACCTTCAGCTCCTCTCTTGAGGAAGTCTGTGGTGGATTTCAAGTATGTTTAGGATCATTATCCAGCCCTCCTCTTTTCAACTTTAGCTTTTTTACAGATGGAGTGATGTTTCTTCCAGAATTTGCTGGTATTTAGTGGAATCCATTCATCCCCCCACCACTAGCGGCGCCAGGATTTTGATTGTAGGTGGGCCTCCAGAAAACTGGATGGGCCAATTAAAATAAGCCCAAAAAAAACCCAGTTTGCAGCACGGAGGACAGCGCCTCAGTAGCCTACCTGTGTGGCTCTTGTGTCACTGTCCTCAGCTCAGTGCTGAAGCGGACAAAGACATACACCTTGGCAGTAAGCCTAACTTCATTTATCTCTTTTGAACGTTCAATACACAAAAAGACTGAAACGGAATTATATCTTTGGAGGGTCTGTTTCTCTCTCCATTTATTTACCCAGCACGGCGGGCAGGGAACTGTCCAAAATTAATTAACAGAATGACAGAAGAACTGTGTCGACATGAAATAACAGCAGCATTGAATCCGACACAGCTGCTAAACACAAACAGCAGGAAAATTATTTCTCCTCTAGCTTATTTCTTCAGAATAATTAAATGAATAACATATCTAACCATATAAACAACAGCATAACAATCCGAGATAGCTGATAAATAATCACACATGCACACAATTCAATTCAAACTTGCTTGTGGGACTTGGGGCTTGTTACAGCAGGAGACGGGGGGGTTTCGTGCTGAACACAGCAAGAATTTCTTGATATTCCAGTGAATCAGTCAATTCCCTTTCAAATGAAAGCAGGGACAATGAGTTGAATCTGTCAACATTGTTGCCCTGGTGCCTGTTTTTATCCAATTGACAGCTGAAAAGAGTCTCTCCACAGTACATGTCGTCATGGGCAATGTGAGGAGGGCCTGCAGGAGACTGTTCACGTTGGGGAAAATATCACGGGGGCATGCGTCAAGCACTTCTACAAGATTTTTTCTCGTTTGTGGTCTTGTTGGCCTTTGTCTTCCACGGGAATGGAAAAGTGCACGCAGGGTCGGATGCGAGCCTTGTCACCAAAGGTGTCTGACCGTGGCAAGCAGGCAGCAGCAGCTCTCATAAAGCCGTATGTGTCGGGCTTGAAACGAGTGTTCAGCTCCATCATCAGCTTGTCCAGTATGTCATTCCATAATTTCTGTAGGTCCGAGTTTTACTGTACAGGTGATGATTTGCCCAGAGTAGAATCAACGTGCGTATTGTCTAACCTGGCCGGCAACTTCCTCTTGCGTGATCCACTGATATCCCAGCGCACAATCTCATGTTTATTCATCAGCTCATCTGTCAGTGCAATAACTTTATCAAATGCATAATTTTCATTCCTGAATTGTATGTAGCTGTCCTTGAGCCCTTCAATCAGATCAATACAATCTGTAACTGATAGTAAGGAAGATTGCAAGCCCTTAGTGGCGTAGTCGCTGACTTCAAATAACTGGTTGAATGTGACAAACAGAAACAAAAACTTTTTCGTTTGCATTTGGTGCAGCAGGGAGTCAGCTTCAAGTTTTGTTTGGCCAGAACTTTCGGAGAATGTGGTAAGGGTTCATTTGACCATGAGCTCCACCTCACGTCACAGGATCTCTCCAGCTCCAGTGTTTTTTGTCCTGGTCGCATTTGCTTTTGAATTGCCAGAAATTTGGCATGTCTGTGCGCCCCAGTCATAAAGTTATGCAAGCTGTTTATAATATCGAAAAACGTTGAAATGCCAGGAGACACTTTAGCTGCTTTGCACAGGACAAGGTTAAGTCTAGGTGAGTTACAATGCACATATTAAGCGTGGGGAAATGTCTTCTTCAGTATCACATGTACCCCTCCTCTGTTACCCGACATGACTGATGCACCGTCAAATCCGACGCACAGCCCCAGGTCCAGCTGCAATGGCTCCAGCACTTCTAAAATCTTAGCCGATATTGCCTCTGCAGTCATGTTCTCCGTTTCCACAAATCCCACAGCCCGTTCTTTCAATGTGCCGTTGTGCAGGTATCTGACGCATACTGCCACTAGCTCTCTTTCTGACAAGTCTTTGCACTCATCTGCTAAAATCGCATAATATGTGTCCGGCTCATCATGCAAATCTGCCTTTATTTTTTTTATAAGGAGTGATGCTGCAATTTCCAGTATCTCATTTTGTATAGCGTTGGGATCCAAGGATACCCCTAAATATGAACTTGTTCATTTGAAGTGTTTAACTGAAACACAAAGGGACATGTTGGAATTTGACCATGTGCTCAGAAACTCTTGAGGCCTGTATGTAAAAGTAAAGGCCTGATTGTAGTAGTCTTTTAGACAAAGGGGAACACGCCCGCCAGATAACAGACCCCTCCTGCGATACCTGCACGCACACACACACACACACACACACACACACACACACACACACACACACACACACACACACACACACACACACACACACACACACACACACACACACACACACACACACACACACACACACACACACACACACACTCCTTTCTCCTTTTAAGTTAGATTGTATATTGTGTATTTTTCCTCCACCAATACAGTTAGACCACTCTAACACCCTACGTCGTAGAGCCCAACATAAATGGTGCCCCGTGTGAGGCGTAGTACGACAGTAGCGTCGTGCAGTAGTTTACCATTCTTAGGTAATTCATCCAGTCGCCTTTTTATTTCCAGGTCATATTTGGAAACTAGGTCAAGTTGTTCCAAAAAGTTACCCTTGTTTAACACATCTGGATTTTCCAAATCCCCACGCAATGGGATTTCTTGTTTTGCACAGAACAGGACAAGATCTATTACCATCATGATGTGCTGTCTTTCAATGAAGGATTTGTCACTGGCATCGTTGTTCAGCTGGTTAATAATATTTCCCTGTCCTGGCTGGTGACTTTGCTTGAAACCATCCATTTTTCCCAGGGCTGCAGCATGTGCCCTGCTGGCTTCATGTTTGCCACAACCCTCAGATAAATGTTTCCAGTCTTTGAAGCCAGTATTAAAGAATCTATCCTCATAAGCTGCTTCAGGGAAATGACGACAAGACTTACAAAAAACAGCATCTCTGGAGATGCTGTATTCCAGCCACTGGAATTTTGAGTTTAGGTTTATGTTGGATATGTCTCTCCGCTAGCATGCAGGAGAAAGCATGATGTGGCAGCCCAAATTGACAGAGAGGTTGTCAGTGATGTCACTATAGCTTCTCCTACACTCTTCACAGCCCGTTATCATTCCCAGGTCATCAAATACAGATGCAGGTGGTGTTCAGTTGGTTGCAATCTGCAACTTCACCGCTAGATGCTACTACACACTGGTCCTTTTAAATGAATACAGTACTAATAAACTTTGGGACCTCTCAAGCTGATGTTTGTTGACAAAAGTTGATGAAGTTAAAACAGAACTCTTTGGCATGAAAAGCACACATCCCCAACTGTTAAGTATGGGGGAGGATCTGTCATGCGTTGGAGTTGTGTTGCAGCCAGTGGCACAGAAAACATTGCACGGGTGGGGGGCACCCGCGGCGCTACTATTGCTACCCACCCATTTTGACCCAGGCCTATAGTGAGTAGTGAGTGATTTTCATTCTAGCTGTTCATCCAATAAGCAGCCTGAGGAAAGCTTTGAGTGAGAACTCCTCAGCCAATCAGCGGCTTCTACCCCACGTGTGGACTCTTAAGCCTGCCCACAGGCTGCATCGTCACCAGCAAGTGATCCAATGAAATAAATGACATTGGCACGCAAGCTTTTCAAGCAAGCTCAATGAGACAGACAAAGACAGTAGCTATTAGATAACATGAAACGTCAACATGGCAAAGCAAGCTTGTTTTCATTTAAATTCACCAAGAAACACTCAGAGGAGCAGAGTTTATTAGTACTGTATTCATTTAAAAGGACCAGTGTGTAGTAGCATCTAGCGGTGAAGTTGTAGATTGCAACCAACTGAACACCACCTGCATCTGTATTTGATGACCTGGGAATGATAACGGGCTGTGAAGAGTGTAGGAGAAACTATTAGATGACATCACTGACAACCTCTCTCTCATTTTGGGCTGCCACATCCCGCTTTCTCCTGCATGCTAGCGGAGAGACATATCCAACATAAACCTAAACAATGCATCCAGTAGAATACTCTCCATAGCCCTAACCAGAGCAGAGCAGCATGACAATTTATTTTGCACAATCCATATCAGTCAAACCAGTCTAGAGCGAAGAGTGACAAAATAAAAAAACAGTACCGGGTTGAAGAGCTCAGTGGTCAGGCCAAGGTAGTTGTGTAAGGCAAGGAAGGTGACTCTCTGGAGACGCACCATGATTATCTACAGACGAAAAGACATACAAAATAAAGACTGCATCTTGTTAATGTTAATGTTTTAAAGAGTTCGGTCTAGACCTGCTCTATTTGAAAAGTGTCCAGAGATAACTTCTGTTATGAATTGGCACTATACAAATAAAAAATTGAATTGAATCTTAATCTCAATTAATGTGTTGAATTTGACACCAACAGTTTGGTGACTTGGTTAATCAAATCATCTTTCTCGATGCACATACCTGGGTGACACGGACCAGAGTTTCAGGATATTTCTCAAAGACTGACTGGAAGGCTGCAGCTGGAAGACGCAGGACAGTGGAGGGAACTGCAGCTCTCGCAGACACTGTTTTGTAAGGCGCTGGATAGCCCTGAAATACAGTGATAGAGTAATACAGTAATTGAAACTTTTTTCACCAACTATTTGAAGACGTTGATTGAACATTTATATTTAGACCATATTTTACCAGGATTTGCAATTTGTGAAAATCTTCATCCTCTACAATGTAAATAATAGCCTTGTCACTTTGGAGCCTAAAACCACATCTAAATGACTTAGTTTAAAGCCAGTACAAATACATAAACTTGTCTCATGCAGGACTCCTGCAGGAAGGTCCAATACACTATAACATAACCCACTAATCTTCCTTTCAACATGAACTGTGTAGCTTCCTATACTATACTTAGACTAAGACCAGAAAGCACTTTCTGGCCAAATGCTAACTTTACTGCAGACGTTCAGACCAAATATCACCCAGTTTTCCATAAGAAATGAAGGTTGGCGCTTACTGGGAAGGATGTTATTATGGGAAAAACCTTCACAATACAGAGAAAAATTGCACTACAAATATACAAAGTGTGGACAAAAGTGAATTAAAAAAAAGGGCTGATGTCCTGTATGATTGGACCAGTATGATAAGATATAGAATATAGGTCACTGTTCCAGTAAAACCACGTCAATAAAAGCACTCAGCTCTGCCTTTATAATGAGCAAAATTAGAGCTGATGTAATGCTATGTATGTGCAATGTGAAAGCTAAAGTAAAGTAAAACTGCAGGCGTATCACACATGAGGATGAAGACTTACAGTAATGATGTCCAGGATACTGAGCAAACTGTGAACACTGTCTCCTGGTAAAACTTCCTTTACCACAGCATCTGTGCCATCCTGCAGTAAGAAAACATATCTCAGCATGAGAGCAGAACAACAATCACAATGCAGGTAATGCTTCCAGCTCTTCCTCACTGATCAGCAGTATGCACAAAACAGCAAAGAAACAAGCACTAATCCAACGCTGAGTGTGAAATATTCTTGGGATCTTGTGTGAGGCAGCAGGCATTGTGGTGGACCCTGCCGGTCTTACGCTCTCGTGAATGCACAGCTCCAGGCGGCCATCTTGAACCACGTAAATACTGTCATCGGTGTCGCCCGGTCGGAAGAGTGCCTCCCCCTGGTGCAACGGGATCAGCACCATGTGACGACACAGCTCCAAGAAAAGAGGCTTCTCGAAGTGGCCAAGCACCCTGGTTACAACATACGTATACATACGGCATAGTTATATTACTGCTAATGATAATAACCACGGGTCCATTAACAGTCAGGGAATGTAAGGCTATGAACATTCCAGATTAAGGTATTCCCATAAATAAAATGTAATCAGTTAACCTGTATCAAGATATAACAAATACAGTTGTGATTCATAGCTGTACAACAGATTCAGTGAAGTATTGAAACTAACTAATGGTTCTTTGAATGTAAGTAGAATGTATTGAATGTATAGCAGCTAATCACAGCTAATACCTGTTCTTAGTAAATGATACCTTGGTTAAACAGTAAGTGGAAATTCTATTTTAAATACTTATCTTAATCTCTGTACTTACCCTCATATTTACCTGTAAATAACCTTATATCTGATGTCATTAGGGCCCGAGCATTGCCCATTAAAAGGACCCTATGGGAACGCTATTTTCTCATATAATATCTCTATAAACTCAAGAAACATGGCACAAAATTCACTTGAGGCTAACATTTATGGATTCTGTGGGTCTTACAAATGGGCGTGGCAACATGTCACCACAGCGCCCCCTAAATGTAGCCCTTGAGGTATGTTTGACCAATATGCATGAAAATCATTATGCACATATATCATGACCAGATGTACAAAAAAGCCCCTGGACCCATACGCCAAACCAAACAGGAAGTCAGCCATTTTGAATTTAGTGATCTTTTTTTTAGATTTGCTCATGTACTTTAACAAACTCCTCCTAGGGAACTAATCGGATTGACTTCAAATTTGATCAATGCAATCTAAAGACCTTCACGATTAAAAGTTGAGTTATTTTTTACTTCTTGGTACTGTGGCAGCTGTGGCTCAGAGGTAGAGCGGGTCATCCACTAATCAGAAGGTTGACAGTACATTGAGTGGTCGGAAAGACTAGAAAGGCACTATACAAATGCAGACCATTTACTTTGACCAAACTTCACGTTTGATAAGAGTCCCGCTCTGAACACATCTACAAGCCAATATTCAATCATAGTCATAGCGCAACCTACTGGAACCACCAGGAAGTAAGCCTTGTATGGCAATCATTATATTATTTACATGAAATTTACATGAAAAGTGTTGTCTACACATAATGTGCTGAAATATAACACAACCTCAGAACGCCCCAATGCGAGGGTATGTTCTTTGCTGCTTGCAGCTTTAATTGTGTGTCCATATAAAAGCCTGCCAACTACAACACTTGGCTGTTCCTTCGAGGAAATAGTATGGAGTTCAGCTGACTGTTAATCTCAACATAGGCTTACAGAGAGCTGAGGGAGAACAGAACACAGAGTATGGAGAAAGAAGAGGCCTGTGAATCATACAAATCTAGAGTATAATACAAAGACAAGTATCAGATCCTCTCATTTGAGAAGATGGAACCAGAGAATGTTTGGCATCTTTGCTTGGTCAGTTGACTAATCAATTAATCTTTTCAGCACTGACTTTTCACTGTACATTCTATATGTCACTATGGACCAGCATAGAAACTGCGCAGGGTGAAAATAAAGCTTTTACTGACCTGACATTTTTCAGCATGTACAGCACCTCGGAGGGAAGATGGGAGTTCTGCACATCAAACTCAGTCAGGTCAGCCTCAAGCAGACAGGGAGGAGGCTCCTTGGGCTGCAGGGTGGGGGGTTCTCTCCGGATACGCAGGATTCTATCTCAGACACACACATAGAACACAAATAAGTTCATTCTCCCCTTCTATTCCGCAGTTATGATGTTAAATAACAGCCAAAAAGGTATTTTTATAGGACATAATGATATGATGTTACAGTGATGTTGCCCTATGATCTTTTGGCAAAATTTAATTGTATCCCATTAAACATCTGTGTGAAATTAACAAGTCACCTATTCATTGATCGACCAATTGTGAAATATGGTCATCAATTGCTGAATTATGGCCAAAAATGTGTTTCCATCTCATCTTTTCTGTGATGTCCTTTGACAACCAAAATCTAATCAGTTCTAATCCAAGTTTGTGCCAAATTTGAAGAAGCTTGAGGCGTTTCTGAGATATTGCGTTCACAAGCGGGGACAGACGGACAGACAACCCGAAAACATAATGGCCATGGCTGTCGCCAGCACAAAGGCTAGTAACACATTCGATGACAAGATTCTCTCATCTAAATTGCAACTTTTCTGAACTCCTTAAAAACTGATCACTTAAAAGGTGCCTTCTATAAACCATTATATTTAATAAAAACTTGGAATTGTGATGCACTTTTTCTATGTATTTATATCACAAAAGTTCCTTTAAATAAATAATAATAAATAAATAAATGTATGTCTGTTTATTTTATTGTTTTTAATTGAAATTCTAATGGACTGCTCACGTAAATGATGAATGCTTTTAATATTGTACTTTACTGAAAACGTACTTTGAATTACTCTCAGCTCAAATTCATCATACACAGAAGATCCAGTATTTAGTGGTTTGATAACATCTTTTCCTGTTTCCTGGTATCTCATACCAGCTTATCTTCTTTGACCAGATAATCTTAATCAAGGTCCACTTACCTGGACCCTGAGTTAAGATTATATTGCTCCCAAAGTGTAGAATTAACTTTCAACACTCAAAGATCCTCTTCCATCTACACCACATGATTAAAAAAAGGGACTCACTTGCGAGCTATAGACAGGACTTTGGTCCTCTTCCTTCCTCTCTGCCGGGACGCTGAGTTTGAATTAGAAGCAGGGGCTGAGGACAATGTCTGAACCTGCAACAGGAAAGGTTTGTTGATTAGAATTTTTTATTAAAGTGACGATTTACACAAGTGATGTCTTATTGTCAACAAAAATTTTAATAAAATGTATTAAATACAATTATTTCATGTAAATTATTTTTTGCAATTTATTATTTATTAGCTTCTCATTGTCCAGATTGCCATGTTTTCGCCTTGTAACTTCTGGTTTTAATTCCGTCATAGAGGACAGCAAAAAGTTAAAATATTTTAACTGTAGATGGTAATGCTGTCTGTTGTTATTGTTGTTGGTATTCCATGCTGACCTCACCTAATTTTACCATCCTGCTCTCATCCACTAACATCTAGTCTGCCATGTGAATGCAGCATAATTATTAAAAAAATACTGAGTGGGATGTTGAAGAGGGCACTGACCTTTCTCATAATCTTTCGGCCGTAGAACATCACCTTGTCTCTTTTCCTGAAGCGATAGTGAGGAACGCAGGCTGCTTCTTCTGAGACACCAAACACCATGTGTCAGACCATCTGCAGTCTATTGTATGAATAGTTTATGCTCCTCATACTAACATTGCACTGATGTATCAGGCTGAAAACAGCTTTACTGACTACTTGATTTATATTCTCTTGGCAAGCAAGTGGCCACAAAAATTACATACATTATTATAATATTTTCTACCTGTACTATAATAACAAAATTATTCATTGATGCAGATTTTTTTTTTCCATAACCAATTTTAACCTAACTCATAAAAAGCATGCTGGTTTGAACTGCAAAACTGGTTATGTTGCCTCTGAAACCCTGTAATGATAAAAAAAACCTAATATTGTACTAATCATCACTCTGACTAAGCTCCCAGCAACCCATAAACACTGTATCTGGGTGTATTTTGCACATGTTTTGATACAAATGTACTCTGAAACAGAACAGGATGTACAGTGTGCAGGGAACTGACTTGACAGTTTGTATCTTCTGTAAAGAAGAAACACGAAAACTCCAACAACAGAAACAACTGTCACAGCTCCAACCAGCACTGCCGTCCACTTGGAGAAAAACAGACAAAACATGACAAACATAGAAATTAGCTCTATTCAGTTCTATTCAAAACATAGTATACATATCTAATAACAGAGCCCTCTCGTTTATTCTACCCATCCACATATCAGGAGCGGCTGTGGCTCAGAGGCAGAGCGGGTCTCCCACTAATCGGAAGGTTTTGGTTCGAGCCCTGGCTCCTCCCGCCACATGTCGAAGTATCCTTGAGCAAGATACTGAACCCCAAATTGCTCCCGATGCTGTGAATGTGTAGGAATGCGTTAGTTTCTGTTCGAACCATTACTGAGTGAATGTGTGTGAAAGGGTGAATGTGGCACGTAGTGTAAAAGCGCTTTGTGTGTTTGGAAAACTAGAAAATGTTATAAAGAGTTCAGTCTAGACCTGCTCTATCTGAAAAGTGTCCTGAGATAACTTCTGTTATGAATTGGCGCTATACAAATAAAACTGAATTGAACTGAAATGAATTGAATTGAATTGAATTGTCCTCAATGTCTGCTGCTTGACCTTGTTATTATGAACCGCCGTCTTTGAAATTTTAAGGATGTAGGCAACCTGGCGCTCACTGTATCTTTCTGCCAGTAAAGCCAGAATTGAATCCTTCTATTCCTCACTCTTACTTTTGAGGTACAACTAGGATAGTGATGACTATGATGATAATGAGGATTTTTATACTTTTCCTTGTTAAATAATATTTGGTTTAGGTGATCACCTAATCAGTACCTCATTAAGTAGAATGAGGTGCGCTTGTGTTGGAATTCAACAGACTCTGGAACAGAATGGCTGACTGGTGATTCCAAATAAATCAGGAAATCAATATAAGACTGCACATTAGCCAGACATACAACTTTTTCAAGTCACTTGTGAGGATATTCACGATACTGAAAATTCACCACGATTAATATCCAATTGTTTTTTCGCAATAAAATTGTTTATCGTCCCATCCCTAATCTGAAATTGCCTGTCAGTTGTTACCATGTTGGCTTCCGTCCTTTCCTCCACAAACTGCTGCATCCTAGCCCTGATCTCACTCCCGAGAGGAACCAGGATCTGAAATATAAAGCACAGAAAAAACACTGAGGGCTCTGCTAAGAAGTGTAAGAGAAATTCAAGCTAGAACAAGGATTGGTGTAGCAGTTTATTTATTATTATTATTATTATTATTATTATTATTATTATTATTATTATTATACCTAAATACCTAAGGAAAAGGACATGGAACTTTAAGGAGTATGGTCTAGACCTGCTCTATTTGAAAAGTGTCCTGAGATAACTTCTGTTATGAATTGGCGCTATACAAATAAAATTGAATTGAATTGAACTGGTCTAGACCTGCTTTATTTGAAAATCGTCCTGAGATAACTTTTTATCATTTGAAGCTATTTAGCTGTGGTTTTAACCACAAGTGAATCCAAAATATCTCTATCTCCCTCTGGTGGCTGACTGCAGTATAGGTCATAAAGCACACTGCTTCCATATTAGCAGATGGGACAAAAAAAAATTGTGAAAAGTACACATCAAGTAAATGTCATCACGCCGATCTTTGTTCAAGTGTTAATTTTTCTGATAAGTTTGGTTTTGATTAGTTATTTGAGGCTATAAAAAGGGGGTTTCACATCATGATTGATAGCTGAGCCCTGCTTGCGATTGAGTCGGTTGGGTGTATGGGAGGGACCTTGATACCGCAGTGCCAACCGCGATCACTACTGCCCAAAGTCTGGCTCAGAGTGGCGAAAGATGGGAGTGACATCTGTCTTTTATTTGACGATGGTTTAAAATAATTCAATACAATATCACAAAACAAAATATCGTGATACGATATTTTTTGATATTTTTTCTAACACCCTTAATTTTCAGACATTGAAGTGCAAAGAATGGAGTTGAGGAACAACATACCGGGTATATACTGCAGTTCTCCTCTTCCTCATTGTCTTCCATGACTGGTCAAAAAGACAAGGCGATCTCTGAGACTGAAATTAAAGAATTTAAACACCATGGTGCTGTATTTTGATTAAGCTTTTGTGGTCATTATATTAATAGCCCAGGATTCGAACCCTCAACCTTAGATAGCAACATTAACACCTTGCTCCACCAAACTGAGCAGCACAGGGTCACAGAGCAAAAGGTTTCAGATATCCGGGTTAAAGATCAGCTAACGTTACCACATCAGTGCAGGTAACCAGACACCCCTCCTGCACTGATATACACTGCTAAGCTCCAATGGGTTCTACTAACCGACTGACAGACAGACAGACAGACAGACAGACAGAACTGAAAAACATGCCAAAAGGGTTGTCCAAAGGGGAAAGATTAGGCTACCATGTTTATTTTGTTCTCCAAATACATCAGGCTCGCTTATTTACTAGTAATCCTGAGTATGTCTTTTTGTACCAAACTCCAATACATGTTTATTTATTAGTGTACTATGGATTATGTATGCCAAATTGGAAAATGGATCTTAGACTCAACTGAGTTTGGAGACAACAACAATAATGCAGCTTCATATCCCTGGTTGACAGGTTCTAAATGTAGTATGTTGTCAATAATAAACCGTATATTGGCAAGATCACGACACAGGGGTCACGGTTCAATATACTGCAATAGATTGCGATACTGTATGCAAGACTATAACCTGATACATTTTTAAGAGGAATCGGAATTTGCAGCTATTTGTCACAGTCACTGTAACATAAAAATCATTGCCTTCAGTTTACATTTACATCACGGCTATCTCGCTGTTGGGGGTTTAAACGCAAAAATCAATATAGTGTTTTTGAGAACCAGGACAATACCACAAAACTAAATACCGCGATACTCAAGTATAGATATTTTCTTACAACCCTAGTCAATAAAACACAACAACTCACACTTATAATATTTACCTATAACGTAGCTGACAATAGAAACAAGTGATCAAACATTGTTCTCACAGACTTCTGTGGCTGCAGTCCGCTACACAAGAACACAACGAGAGCGAGAACGAGTCCGCACTGACAGAGTGTGTAACGCACACAAACGCACACAAACGCACAAATCCACCTTCAGCTAACCCTTTCCGACTGAAGCGACCAACTGTTTTTCCCACGTACCCTTCTCGTGTCAAAGTTTTTTGTGTACGGCTGCATGCCCCAGAAAGCTATAAAGACAGGTTGATAAAAACAATCAGAATATCCTGTCATTCATACCAAAATAAAAGCCTTATTGGCGAAAACGTACGGAGACTCAGATGTAATGCAGGCATAGACAATGGCTACATTTGACTTTTTAGTCATAGAGAGTACAGCCATAGTTCAGCTAAACATTAACAGAGAACTCTGGCTTTGCACACACGAATGTGCCTTGCATGCATTTATTTTGAAGGGTAAACTGTCTGCGTTTTAGGATACTTTGGCTTACTTGACGCACCCCAATCACTGACAGTTCACTACGAGTATCTCGGATTTTAATTGGTGGATGGTGTTTCCTTTCGGCCAATCACTGCACATTTCATTGGTAAGTCGGGCACATCGCTCGTATTGGACCCACACTGCTCAAGGTGAGATGAGTGGAATTTTGCAACAATTTATGAACTTAAAATTATAATATTTTAACGGGTTAATCTATTATTTTAGTGTAAATGTGCTTGCTAACAGACGATGTAAGTTAGCATTAGCTGGCTCGTTCGTTATCGTTAGCTAACGTTAGCTAACGTATATAAAAAGAATCCCTTTCTCTATCTAACAAATTAACGCAGGCTTTTCAGACCTTGACCCATCGTTACTGTAACAATAAGCAGTTCTAACATCTTACGTCGATTCAGCCGCTCACCCTAACCCCTAACCCCTAACCCCAACCCCTAACCCCCAACCCCTAACCCTAACCCTAACTAACGGAGCATGTGACACAGTGTGGTGACTGTTGCGTTGCACTCTCTTGAGCCCGGTGGCTCTACTTTGTCCAGTCGTATTGACAAGGATAGAAAACATTGGTCAATGTATAGAAATGAACTGCTGTATAACTGTTTAATGGTAATATTTGGTATGGTATATTTCACGGTATATCGCGGCAAGTCCTTTTATATCGGTTTATTATTCTACTGTCAGGAGTACATAGAATATAGAAGGTTATAATGGCATTAGAAATATAAAGACCCTGAAGGCTTTGGTTACTGTAGGGCTTTCTTGGCCCCGCAGATTGATCCAATACATGAAGGAATCAGAATGTAAACGTCTGTTATTGTGCAAACTGCAACGTATTAAAAACAGAACTTAAAGATAGGAAATCTAAAGCCAACGAATTTATACATTGCTTCCTTTTCAAAGCCAAATATTTTAGAATAGCACTGTAAACTGACAGTGAAGTATTCAAAGAGATATTTATCAGATGTTCTATTGCACAGGAAAGAAATGAGTCACAGCAACCCTTGTGTTGTGATATGTATCGTATTGCCAGACTCTTGCCAATACACAGCCAGTGGTGTATGGTGGTGTATGACAAATTCATATCATAGGGGAAATTAAAATCAGTATCACCCAGCACTACAACAAATCATATTTCTCTACTGCTAATTGAAAGACCATCTTATAACCTACAATTCTGTCTGTACTTGATCTTGGGGATAATTGTGTCTATATGCATGGTTCTCCCTCCACCTTAAAGCCTCTTGACTGTGTATCACAGTGCACTGGCCTTCGTCATAGGCAATGCATTTCTCACTCACGGTTTCATCCTATATGAGAAGGTGGGAGGGTCCTACTTACAAAAACAGAGGGGAGCAGCATTGTATGAGTATTTATAAGGCACTAATGTAGAAACGGCCTGCTGTTGGATACATTTATGGTTACATTTATGTCAGGTCACAAGACATTTTAGCGTTAGCTGTACCTCTTGTTCACACTGAACTTGGTGGAGTGGGTTTATATATAATGCTGCATTAAAATGGAATGAGATCCCATAAACTTCAAAAGTTGCATCCTCTCATTTCAATAGAGTTTTAAATGGCTGTCCTTATGTATTTGCAATCATACTTGAAAGTATGTAATTTGTGTCTGTCTGCTTCCCAATCTACCTTTCTAAATACAGAATTATTATTATAATTAATATTTTTTTAAACAATCACTTATTCTCCACAGGTTTTCTCTGTCGTGGCAAGAGTGGCACGATGGGTGTGTTATCCACGCTGATGAGGGGTCTGATAAGAGGAGCAGACAGAATGGCTGAGTTTACCAGCAAGCGTGGGTCAAGGACTCACAATAAAGGCAGGGGCGCACGGCCCACTGGACTGAGGCTCCCAAGCAGAAAGTTTCTGACCATACGGGCCATGATTCCTGAGTTTGTGGTGCCTAATTTGGAGGGATTTAAACTCAAACCCTACGTATCATATCGCTGCCCTAGAGGAACAGAGCCTCCACTCACAGCACAAAGCGTGTTTGATGAGGTTGTGGCTCCTCAGATCAGGAAAGACTTCGAAGAGGGCACTTTCAGCAAAGAGCACCTGGAGAAATATGGATTTGAACCCACACAGGAGGAGAAGCTCTTCAAGCTGTATCCCAAGAATTATGTGCGTTAAAGAAAGGCACATGGCTGCGGACCAACTGTTGTGACACTGAGGAAGATCACAAATGGGACTGTATTTTATGTTGAGAAAGTTATTTCCTACCACTGGTTGACTCCTGTTACTTAATCATTGGGCAAAATAAAACTGAAGGGGCTGAGATCCATACTGCAGAATTGTGCATTGATCATTGTATTGAACAGCTTGAGCAATCATTATTTACATGACATACCTAACAAAGGTTCAAACCAAGGGTTCTCTTGTATTTGTCACAGAAAAGATTGAGGATTGAGGCTACTGATTCTCACAGAGAGGATTTCAAGCAGCTTTTAAAAAATTGCAATACATGTTGCGATGTTTGTAGGCATTTTTTGCAGTGAAACTGGGAAAATTAAAAAGAAATTATTGCCACTTCTGTCATGGAAATTCTTCGAAGATTGAGAGTTGCTAGTTCTGAAGAACTTTCAAAAAAAAAAAAAAAATTTTTTTTTCTTCTTTTAATAATAAATTTTTTTTTTTTTTTTTTTTTTTTTTTTTTTTAAAAAAAAATTTTTTTTTTTTTTATTTTTTTTTTTATTTTTAAGAAAGTGGTTTAAAGCCGTGCAACTTTATCACTTTAAAACCAAAACAAAACCCAATTAATTCAATTATTTAAGCGCCAATTCATAACGGGTATTCAGGACACTTTTCAAATAAGCAGGTCAAGACGAACTCTTTAAAACAAAGCACTCTATATATTGATGTCAAAATAATAGCAGGTGTTTAAAACGTTTTTTATGTATTCAGCGGCCAGTTAGCTCAGTGGGTAGAGCTGGCGACCCATGTACCAAGGTAGTTAGGTAGGTAGTAGTCCTTGCTGCAGCGGCCCAGGGTTCGAATCCGACCTGCGGCCCTTTGCTGCGTGTCATCCCCTCTCTCTGCCCCCTTTCCTGTCTATCTTCAGCTGTATCTATCAAATAAAAGGCCAAAAAAATAACTTTAAAGAAAGTAATTTGATGTATTTAAACTGATCCATGATCCCTGGTATGCGATAAATAGGTCCGACACCATAGTAAGAGAAAAATCCCCATATCATGATGCTTGCACCACCATGCTTCACTGTCTTCAGAGTGTACTGTGGCTTGAATTTAAAAAAAAAAAAAAAAGAAAAGAAAAGAAAATCTTACTTTCATCAGTCCACAAAATGTTTCTCCATTTCTCTTTAGGCCAGTCGATGTGTTCTTTGGCAAATTCTATCCTCTTGAGCATGTCTTTTTTTTTAACAGTGGGACTTTGCGGGGGCTTCTTGCTGATAGATTAGTTTCACACAGGCGTCTTCTAATTGTCACAGTACCCACAGGTAACTTCAGACTGTCTTTGATCACCCTGGAGCTGATCATTGGCTGAGTTTTTGCCATTCGGTCTATTCTTCGATCCATTCGAATGGTAGTCTTCCGTTTTCTTCCACGTCTCTCTGGTTTTGCTTTCCAAGCTTTCGAAGCATTGGAGATCATTTTAGCCAAGCAGCCTATCATTTTCTGCACTTCTTTAAAGGTTTTCCCCTCTCCAATCAACCTTTTAATCAAAGCACGCTGTTCTTCTGAACGTCTGGAACAACCCATTTTTAAGGTTTTCAGAGAGAAATGCCTGTACAACATGTGCTGGCTTCATCCTTAAATAAGGGCCACCTGACTGACACCTGTTTTGTCACAGAATGAATGACCTTACTAATTGAACTCCACACTGCTATCATTTTGAACACGCCCCTTTCAATTAATTATTCAATTAAACAGACTCAGGAGCATGCATATCATGAATGTTGGCTCTGTTGGTTTTCTATGACTCTACTACACCTATTGGTAAATTATTTGCCATGTAGTAATATAATTTCTACCAAAAACAGTGATTGATCTGGTTAGTCATGTTGGACTGCTATTATTTTGATCACAACTGTACATTAACTACCCACATTACCCCCTTTTGACACAACGTGTCAACATAAAAACACTACCCCATTTGAGAACACCTTAATTAAAACTACTAATGAGTAATGAATTACAAGTTAATGTGGAAAACATTCTTGAGAATCAAAAACCCAAAGACAAAACCCAAAGAAAAAAATCAAAAACAAACACTTGCCACCACTCTAACTATACCACTACCTCATCTCCAATTATCCCACCTATCCATCTGTACAGGAGGGCTCACATACATGTGAGTGCACATGTACAAAAACATAACGTTATTCCTAGAACAATCATCACAGGGATAAATACATGAATGATCATCGTACCCCAAGGACCAAATTGGTCAGTTATTATTTAAGCTAAAACCTGCAGACTCAGAGGGACCAAATGCATCACAAATTTTCTCGAGTGCTGTGATCACACTAGTAATAATATCTGCATTATCTGGAATGACTGTAACACATGCTTCGCCTGTTACATTCAGAGTCATACAGAGACCACCTGTTTTTGCTAGAATATAATCAAGGGCCATTTCATGTTTTAGTAGGGTTAATCTATGGGATTTATCATTTGCAGCCAAATATTGGAAACCTTTTAGTTTCATTAGCAAAAGCAGACTTTGAATAAGTGATGTTATCTATGTGATCTACCAAAAATATAACACCATACCAAGGAAATATGCCAATACTCCATTTTCACCTAAAGACACCCTCCAATAGTATGATGCAAGGCTGGCAAACTGTGCCATTTCTCGTTTGTGAACATGGCTATTAGCTAAAGCAAAGTCATGGGAAGTAATGCAAGGTTAGTAATTGTGAAATTTACAAAATAACAACAACCAGACCATCCTGGAGGTAAGAACAGAAAGGCCTTTTTATCACAAAGCCAATAAAAATGCCCAATAGTTGGTATACCTTTATATGCATGCGCATTAAGATGATTATCAACTAACACAGTTTCCCCATTTTGAAATGTGATATTAGTAAGGTTAGACCCAGGTGGATTTAGACTAGCAATAGGGTTTAGCACATCGTGACACTCCCATAAACTGACCACTACCATTTCAACATACATTTTCTGATGTTAAACTCAGAAAAAAAACGAAATTCTTGTTCTTGGCCCCAAAAACCTTAGAGACTCCCTGTCTAAAGATATAGTTACTCTAGATGGCATTAACTTGGCCTCTAGCACCACTGTCAGGAATCTTGGAGTTATCTTTGATCAGGATTTGTCATTTAACTCCCACATAAAGCAGACCTCTAGGACTGCCTTCTTTCATTTACGTAATAGTAGAAAAATTAGACACATCTTATCACAGACAGATGCAGAAAAACTAATCCATGCATTTGTTACTTCAAGGCTGGATTACTGCAACTCTTTATTATCAGGTTGCCCCAATAAGTCCATTAAAACGCTCCAATTAATTCAGAACGCTGCAGCACGAGTACTGACAGGAACTAGGAAAAGAGATCATATCTCTCCTGTACTAGCTTCTCTGCACTGGCTCCCTGTAAAATTTAGAATAGAATTTAAAATCCTCTTCCTCACCTACAAAGCTCTTCATGGTCAGGCCCCTTCATATCTTAAAGAGCTCATAGTACCCTACTTGTGGGTTCCTATAGTCTCTAAAAGTAGAACAGGAGCCAGAGCCTTCAGTTACCAAGCTCCTCTCCTGTGGAACCATCTTCCAGTTGTGGTTCGGGAGGCAGACACCCTCACCACATTCAAGAGTAGGCTTAAGACGTTCCTCTTTGATAAAGCTTATAGTTAGGGCTGGATCAGGTGAGTCCTGAACCATCCCTTAGTTATGCTGCTATAGGCCTAGACTATCGGGGGATTTCCCATGATGCACTGAGCTCCTCTCATCCTCTCCCTCTCTTTCTGCACTCATTCATGTCCCATTAATGCATGTTACTAACTTCACTTCTTCCCCGGAGTTCTTGTGCTTTCTCATCTTGCAGGTTCTCATGGATCCTGGTGGAGCCTCCTGCCATGGTCCTGCTTGACTCCCATTGCTAATATCACTGATATTATTGTTATTATTATTATTACTATTATTATTACTACAGATACTATTATTACCATAATCACTGCTCATTGTCCCCCATCGTTGTTGTCGTCGTCGTCATCATCTTCTTCATGTTCATCATCATCAGTCACCACTATTAGTGTAGTTGTTGCTACTGTTGTTGCTGTGCGTCAGTCAGTCAGTCAGTCAGTCAGTCTGTCTGTCTGTCTGTCTGTCTGTCTGTCTGTCTGTCTGTCTGTCTCTCTCTCTCTCTCTCTCTCTCTCTCTCTCTCTCTCTCTCTCTCTCTCTCACCCCAACTGGTCGAGGCAGACGATGTTGAATGAACGAACATGTCTTTGATGGTCGTGAATATATGAGACCTTTTGGACCCCATTTATTGCCAGTTCTTTGCTTTGTTGGAACAATTCTCATCTTGTTGCTGAAGTGATGACCAAGATTTAGCAACAGCCACCACACCAATGATGAGAATTGCAACCAAGAATTTACACCTCACTTCCTTATTCATTTCCCATACATAAGGTTGTCTCCTTATTAGGGAAAGATTTGCACTGGGATGCATGGATCCACGTGTCCCTCTCCGCTATCTGGCCAGCGGTTGGTGTCATCAACAGCACTTGGTATGGTCCTCTCCACTGGGGTTGATGCCAGTGTTTCCTCCTCAGATCCTTGACCACTACCCAGTCTTCTGGCTGGATGTTGTACAGTTGTTCAGATGTAGAATCAGGAAGGGCAGATTTTTTACCTTAGGGAAGATAAGCTTCAAGGCATGGTTAAGTGCACAACAGTATGTTAACATCTCATCATCCATCCCAGTTGGAGTTAACCTATTTTAGGGAAAGGAGTGTTAGTCATTCGCATTGGAAGCCCAGTGATTACCTCATACAGTGACAGTCCAGTTGCCTTGCCTGTGGGTTGCTGATTAGACCTTTCCACTGCACCTCCACTCGGTGGATGGTAAGCACAGTGTGTTTTGAGATTTATCTGGAAGCTTTCTGACAGACTTTGAATGATGCGATTTAAAAAATGAGGACCATTATCACTTCTCAGTTTTGATAGGAGTCCTCATTGTGGAATTATTTCCCTCAACAATGCTTTTGCTACTTAGACAGCTGTCGCCTGTCTACATGGGAAACATTCAATCCACTTTGAGAAAATATCCACTATCACAAGGCAATACTTATATCCCCTGCATGGAGTAAC